TACTTTCTATTTGACTTCTATAAAGCCCTTTTATATAGGGAATATTAAGGTTATTACTAATAATTCCGAACCTGAACCTGTTTCCGAACCTAATAATAAGGCTAAAGGAAATACGGGTATAATTCCTCTTACTATTCTACTAAAGTATAGCAGAGGATACCTTTATAAAATCCCGGATATTATAGTATTCTTATAGGATAATAAATTATATAAGAATTCCCGTTAAGTTAAAGTTACTGGCCTCCTGGAAAAGAATATATTTAAGGTTATTTCTAGATCTCAGGTATTAAAAAAGGTATATATCTTTAATTCCCGGTTTATTAATAAGATTAAAAATAAGGGTATAGAAAAAGAGCTTAAGAAATCAAGACTAGTTATTTAAGCTTATAATAATAGTAAGAAATATATAGTATTAATATAATTACTTACTATCTAATATATTAGCCAGAGAATTATCCTTAGTATTATTACTATAATAATAAATATTACGGAATTATATTTATATAATATCTTATAAGCTTATATCTAATTAATAACTTTACTTAATTATAATTTCTATATTAATCTATTCTATAAGCTTACTAGAAAGCTAAATCTAAAGAACGATTCTGTTCTAAAGGTTATAAAACTACTATATAGTATACCGGAAGCTAGAAACTACTAGTTTAAAACTTATTATTTCTATTATATTAACGAGCTCTTTATAGAATAGTCGACTTATAACTCTTATCTATTCTATAGCAAGTAACCCTTCGGAATTATTAGTCTTTAAACTAATAATATCCTATTTATTAGAACTAATAATTTTATAAAAACAGAGTAATTAAAGCTTTATAAAACTAAGTTCTTGGCTAAGAAGTATAAATTTCTTACTTTTAACTATAATCTCAAATTTAATAGAGGTATTATCTATATAAATATTACTAGAATTACTTTTATATAGGAATACTAATATAAGAATCTCCGAACCATTTCTATAAAGAATACTACTATTATAAGTAATAGGAGTACTATTTATTAAAATCTCTCTATTAAGGACTAATATATTACCTAATATATAAGAGAAGTATATATTATATTAGTCTATTAACCAGAAGCTTTATATAACCTATTAATTACTATTTAAGCTATTAAATCCTCGGAAACTAATATAAAGGCATTTAATAAGTATATTTAATAGTAAATTGAGAATACTACTAGAGAACTAAGATTTATAAAGCTAGTAAAAGAGTTCTTATATTTAATTGTTTTTATAAATGCTTTATTTATAAATAATAGAGATCTTTTCTCTCAAATCGAATATATTCTAGTTCTAGTAAATAGAACTAGATATACTAATATTATTTACTAGTTCTCTACTAAATACAAAAGAGTTACTAGAAGTATTCTAGCTTTGGAACTTTATAATATAACTTATGGTTTTAATATAGGTACTTTAGTTAAATCTATAATTAATAAAATACTAGAAATAGAACTACTACTAGTCGTCTATATAGATTCGAAGTCGTTATATAAATACCTCATTAAATTGGGTATTATTCGAGAGAAATACCTAATAATTAATATAATATATTTCTATTAGGTATATGAATAATAAGAAATTACAGAAGTTAAGTAAATTAAGGGAGAATTAAATCCTGCTAATTCCATAACGAAATCGAAGCTAATAAATACCCTTAAGTGCCTAATTAATATGAATACTATATAATTGAATATAGAGGAATAGGTCGAATATAGATAGGGCGGAAAATGGATATATAAAATGGGAGGATATTATAGAAGGGGAAGTTATATATAAAAAACTGCGGCCTTTAGTATATAACCAAAACCTTAGAAGTAATATAGATATATAGAGTATTTGGGAAATCTGGTACTAGGCCGGATTAGGGAATTTATATGCGATTAGAGGAAGATACTATTTTTCGCGTTTTTAGAGAGTTTCTAGTATTAGTATAGCTATTCCTCTGGGAGTTATATATATAGTTACGGGATACGGGATATAGGTAATAGATAATAGGTAATAGGATATAATTATATAACCTCGTATCTTATTAGTAACTCGACTAGTAGACTAGACCCCTTTAGGCTTAGCAAATTTAGGAATCGCATATTAATACTATAATACTATAATCCCTACTTCTAAATAATAACTTTACTAATCTTATATAAATAATACTTTTATACCTATATAATAGTACTATATATTCCTGGTAAACTAATAGCTATAATAGCTATTCTATATTATTTTAGAAATAATAGTAGAATATTACTAGATTAGGTAATTAATAATATTATTAATAGTCTATATTTTATTTATAAATTAATAACTAATTATTTGAAATTAATAGAATTAATAAATAAAATTAATAAAATCTTATTAAAAGATTAAATTTATTATTAAATATAAGTTATATTTTTTTAAAAATATTAAATTATACGTAGAAATACTAGTAAAATAAAGAGATTTCCAAGTTATATTATAATATATATAAATTAAATAATTATTATTATTTATTATATAAAAGAAATAAATTAAATAAAATATAAAAAATAATTAATTACTATATAAGAAAATACTATTTCTAAGATATTACTTATATTATATTATAGTAATATAATACTATTTTTATAAAAGATTATAAATTCTTAATTATATTTAGTTAAAATAATAAAGCCCTAGCTTTAAGCCTAATTATTATTTAAAAAAAAATTATAATCTAATCTAGTATTATTAAGTTTAGTATATATCTCTAAAATATCTCTTTTAGATTATATTAATTTTATTTAAATAAATATTTAAAATAATATATCTTTTTTATTATAGCTAAGATTATTAATATTTAATATTTAAGATTTGGTTTTTTATTTTTTTTATTTTTTAGAAAAGGCTTTTCTAAAATACTTCTTTATAATAATAATATAAATTTTAGTAAACCTATTTATTATATTTAAAGTATTTTAAATTTCTTGAAAAATGTTTTTCTAATTATAAATTTAATAAACTATATCTGAATTAGAACTAGTATTATAATAGAATCTAGAAAAAATTAAAAGATTATTTAAAAAGTTTTTATATAATCTTTAGAACTTATTTTTCTTTTTTTAATAGTTTTATAAATTAAAATTAATTAAATTAGAATTTATAGAATTAGAAATATTTTAATTAAATTTTCCTGTTTTTGCTTTTTTTTAATTTAGAATAAATAGTATATTCTGCTTTTTAAGCTTTTTTAAACTATTTAAAAATAGATATTATTTTATTTTCTAAGAAAATAAATATAAATATCTAGTAAATCTTAAAGTTAAATAAAAATAATATTAAAAATCCGAACCTGATTTCTTTTAGAATATAAATTCTAATTAATTTTAAACTAATTATTTAAATATATAACTTAATAATTATTTCTCTATTTTTTTTATTAAAAATCTTAAAGTTTCTTAAAGTAATTTTACTAATAGATTTAAAATACTTAAAATATATTAGCTAAATAGACCTTAAATTACTTCTAATAAATCTTATATTTAAATAGGCTTTATTTTATTAAAGTTTCCTAAATATTATAAAATTTGTTTCTAAAAGCACTTATAATAGAATTAATTCTAGTAAAATATCTATTATAAGTTTAAGATTAGATTCTAAAAACTGCCTTTTAAAAGAATAAAAGTTTTTTATTTCTTAAAAGACTTTTTATAATATAAATCAAGTATTCGAATCTTGAAAAGTTTCTTTTAGTTTAAATATATTTTTATAATATTATATAATAGCTTTTAATAAATAGTAGTAAAATTATTTTTAAAGCTTATTATATTAGAAAAGAAAATATATTTTAATCTTATCTTAGAAAGTTTTTTATTAGAATTATTAAGGAAAATAAAATAGACTTATAAATAAAGTTTCTATAAAATATAATAAATCTCAAAATATTTTATAGAATATCTTTATATTATTCTAACTATAGAATATATTAATTAATTATATCTATTAATTCCTGCTTTTATTAGAGGGCTTTAACTTTAGTATATAAGCCTTATTCTATAGCTTAAATAGAAGTAATTTAAGTATTAATTATAGTTTTTTTAATTATTACTAGAATTATTTCTATTATTATTATTAGTTCTCGGAGGCTTCTAAAAGACTCTATTAAATATATTAGACAAGTCTTTACTATTATTTATATTAGAATTAATTTAGTTAACTTTTTCTATAGAAATAGATTTAGTAAAAAGTTATATATTTTACAGATTTCGAGATATAATTACTTATTAAACTATTTCCTTTAAGAGTAAAGAGATTAGCTTATAAGACATTTATTAATAGGTAATAAGGTAATAAAATAAATTAGTGAATTATAAAACTATAGTATTAAATTTAATATAGAACTAATCTTTATCTCTCTTATAAGATTTAGGGAAGCCTTTTCTAAATAGGAGACCCCGATAATATATATATATAATTAGTAATTTATAAGCCTAATATATATAATATGAATAGTAGTTAGTTGAAATATTAAAGGGCTATTAATCTCTCTAATTAATACTCGTAATATCCGAGGTTTATTATATGCCCTTTAGTTACGTGCGATCCTATATATATTATACTAGAATAATAAATTATTTATAGTTCTATCTAATATCCGGATCTACTTTTTGCTTTAGTTAAAAATATAGTAAAGTTTATTATAGTAAATAGTATTTGCTATACTATTTACTGCTTTAGAAAGAACTATATATACCATAATCTCATATAATGAAATAGTTGAATTATAATTTCTGGAAGGAATATTATATAGAACCAAGTTTCTATTTTCTGGGATAAGGTCTTTCTTAGTTGCCAGCTTTTTAAGTATATTTTCTATCCGGTTACAGGCCTTACTAAAGGCACTCGGGCAGCCCAAAGGTTGAATGGTCTGTTATAATATAAGGCTTCCAGAAAGCGTACTCTCTCTACTGGTTTATTAATAACTGAAACCAGGTTTTTACGGTTTCCGGAGGAGATATTAATAAAGTGGTAGTATAGATTGCACTATTAATTGTTGGTAATGGATGCCGGATTAAAGTTCTTGCCACCCAAGAATACAATATCACCCTTCTTATCCTTGCCGGTTTGGATATACGCAATACGGGTATCTGATTGCAATCGGCCTTCTCCTGTAGCAGTCTGCCTGTCAATCCGTATAGTATACAGGAAGATGGAGCTATACCAACTGAATGCAGATCTCTCTCTCGTTGGGGTGGTGGTCTGCTCACAGTCAGCCAGGCTGTCTTCAAAATCCCCAAATGTAGAATGCAAGACGATATAATGAGTGAGTTTGAGGGACTTCCTGTTCTCAGCAGCCTGAATCAGCTCATCATTTGTAGTGACAGCATTGACAACGTTGTCCCTGTAGATCAGCCTCGTCCACTGCAATTGATCCTCATCCTCCACAATCTTGAACTCCCTTAGCTTTCCCTTCAATCTGCCCAAGGATATCGACTCCAAAATAACGTCCACCTCCGTGCATTCTCCTGGCGATATCGTTGATCGCCACCGAGAGAGGTAACCCAGAAGCCTTTGGTAAAGGTATCCATGTTTGCTTTGTGATACATGCTGTACCAATGAAGCTCGGGTTTGCTCTGGCTTTGTCCGCATGAAGTGATACCGGGGTCTCGAACGGCCGATGCCGTCCCATTCTTCCAGAGTCTCCATTGCGGGGTTCTCTGAGCTGGGCATCGTGCGTCTGGTGGTTGATGGTGACTATGGATGACTGTCGGCCAGTTTGTGACAGTGAGTAGTCGGCCTTTGGACCTAGCCACTGTGGAGCGATGAAGAGACATTTCCGTTGGATGGGGACCACGCCCAGGACCGGAGACGAAGCAGCGAAGCTCGACGGAGATAGCATGAAAGAGAGAATGCAGAAGCATGGGATAATAGGCAACCGATCTTCAAAAAGCAAGAACATGACGAAAGTGAAAGTTGAAAGTCTCAATACCATATCTGTTGCTGATGGAATATTCAATTGCGTTTTGATCACGCTGGTGCTACAGATCGAAAGGGACTGCTTCCGCTTCAGCTTCGAGCACCTGGAGCTTCCAAAGCATTTTCGACGCTATAATATACTTGGCAAAAAATAATATCTGGGAAAGTTGGGGTTTGGGGAGGTCTTGTGTTATTGGGGTTTAGCTCCTCCCGCTTAGTTGTGTGCCAACTGGTTAGTACTCTGGTGCCCAGCCGAGCCAGAGCGACAATTTCGAAGCGGACAACCGGTTTTTGTTCGAGACCTTTTACAGCTTTATCGGAGGAGTGTCTTGCAACCTGCTCTAACGTGAGATAGCCCCTAAGGAGGCTTTTGAGGCTTGGGTTTGGGGCCGCTGTTAGCTGTGACTTCTGCAGTAAGCTTACGAGGACGCTTCACTTGTTTATGTGGAGCTGAGGAAGCATGTCGTCGAGAGCGTGGTCGTCTTGCATGAATATCGGCTCGCAGATGGCCGGGGAGGAGCAGGAAGGGCATGGTAGTGCCATGTAGAATTATGCGATGCTAATAGAACCAGAATTTCAAAGGGCCTGCAAGAACACCACGTGATAACGGTCACGTGTAACGCCCCTGAATTCCGCATCATTGCGAGAGACCTTGGAAGTAGCAGTACTACAACTTTAGAAGCGTAAGGAGCAGGCAAGCAAAATCTCAGAGACGAAAAAGTCACGACAAATTCACACTGTCCTCCTACTCGCTGAAGTGGGAATGCCTGGATCTGGTTTGCGGGACTTTATAATCAACGGACTTGCAGCCACCTCTGACATAGCCAAGCTTCCTGAAGACCATGCAGGAGATGTGACTAACTCCGGCCTGTGGGCTGCGTGTATCTCTGTTTCTGCTTGACAGATTATTGACTTGCTTCAAATTTCTGTTGGCACTCGGCGGCATTTGAATTCGACTCATTGTGGATTTATGCCTCATACTTCGTATCCCGCCTTCGTATCTGAATAAAAGTCTAAAATATCAGCATTGGACCCCCACGTGCATAAGCTACGGGTCGCTGCTGGCCCTCCCGGTTGCAGATTATATACTCGGTCGGATGCAGAACGAAAAGATGTGGCGGACCGTGTCAGTTGGCGCCTGAAGCAAAACTCATGGGTGATATGGCGTTCTGGATATGCACCGATTCAGAAGGACAGATCGACAACTTAGGCCGGGTGGCTTATCTCTCATAGCAACGGCTGGAGAACAAGGTGTGATTGATGATGTGATGATGAAAACAATAGCACGGTGGAGGCTTGCGGCTGAAGGAGCTTTCTTTGAACTTGTCTCGGTTTCTTAAATTAGAGTTGGCGGGTCCATGGACCCATTATTGTTCCGTCGACGGTCGACCCTCCGTACAACCCCCTATTGACACTCGCGCGCCGGGGGTCCTGATACGAGCAGAGGCAAAGAAGTCGTCCTGTCCTGTCCTGTCAAGAGTCGGCTCAACGCCGGAACCATCCGAGCCATCTAGATCTAGGGTTTGACAGGATACAGAATGCAGAGAGTTAGAGACCAGCAAAGCCGGGTTTTCTCCCCCTCCAGATGCCCAATGGGATCCCAACAAATGGGCGGAGGATTGGGCGACAGAGGGAGCGAGTGGCGAGCTGGAACCTTCAGGATCGGGTTTTGCAGTGCTGGGCGATCAGACGAAAACGCAGCGGGTTCAGGGATGCGCCAATAGCGCAGCACACCCGGTGCCATCCTGGAGCGGCGCCAGCCTCCTCGACTCTTCGAGACAATAATTTCAGGACACTAGCAAGACCAGAACACTGTCCCCACGCATAAAACCTTCCTGCCTGCTGCTGCCGTCGTTCTCGCTGCTGTAATTGATTACTGCGGATCATCTGCTTACTGTGAGTATTCCTTCTTCTCTATGCCCAGGATCCACCTACCGTTTGAAGGCTCTTGGCCCAGCTTCAGCTTCTTACCTGACGTCAGCGAGGCATTGTTTTGAGTCCCGGCTAATTTGAAGCTCTCCCACTCTTATAGACAGCTATCTGCTCTCCATCAACAAGCTCCCATCGACATTACACTGCACGTATAGTCAAAGAATCAACAGCGACACATCACAATGGCCTCCTTCAAGAGCGCACTGCCTGCACACTTGAACCCGAAATCTGCCCTTGGCAATGGGGACCCCAATGCCGAGTTCGCGAGAAAGCACCATGGCAAAACCCAATCGCACATGGTGAGTGCAGCCCAAAAGCTTCTACAAATGATCAAATGCATGGCAGGCTTTGGGGGAGAGTGAATAGACAACTGGCAGATGCTCGGCTTTAGCGAAGCTCGAGAAGTAGCTGCGGATAGGCATTTGTCTGGCAAAGTCTTTGAAGGTGAATGCTCGGACACGTCGTCGATGTCCCCGACTCGAAATGGAAGTCGCTCCCCCGAATTGCCAGCAAACCGATGAGTCGTCACCACCATGAACGAATCAGGACGAAGACGATGGTGTCTGTACCTTCCCGGGCTCTGCCTCCATGCAGTTCCTGTAGCACCTGGCAGGCACGAACAGCTCCATGTGCAGCACCCGCGGAATCCTCCCGGCTTCAAATATTATCCTGTAGAGCCGCGATATACCGGAGAGCCTCCCCCGGAGCGGGAAGCGGTATTACAATACATCGAGATACCAACCCCTTTATACCCTGACGTTCATCCTGCTCTGCAACGGCCGTCGCCGCCTTCGACCCCGGAGCGAGAAGATCCATTAATACACTCCTTGTACACTGATGTCTACCCCCCGGTCTATCCTACGTTTCGAGGGTCTTTGATCAGATCGTTCACGCCAGAACCACCTGTGGAAACCTTCCCGAGATCTCGACTTCCTCTTCCTAAATCTCTCCCTAAGATACGCCGTCCTTTCCAGCGCCGTCCAATTCCTGATTACACTCCTCCCAACATGCCTGCCATGCATTCAGAAGCTTCTACTCCTGGCACGACAACACCAAATTTTGCAGCTTTGGGAAAGCTAACAATTTATGATAAGGCTTTCGAGAACACATCCACATCTGTAGCTGCGAGCCAGATGCGAAATGCCCTCAACCAACTCGCTGATACTGTCAAAGACCCAGAAGAGAAGAAGGTACGAACCCAATGTTATCGAAATCGAGGGATTGCAGCTGACAGCCTTTAGCTCTTTGAGACAGAGATGGACAACTTCTTTGCCCTGTTCCGAAGATACTTGAATGACAAGGCGAAGGGAAACACACTGTAAGCACCTGCTTTGATACTTTTACAGGACCTTTTTGGCTGATGCGTAGCAGTGACTGGGAGCGCATTGCACCACCCGCACCAAACCAGGTTGTTGACTACAACGAGCTCGCCAACTCCGAATCCGTCGGTTTCTTGAACAAGCTCGCTGTTCTTAAGCTCAACGGTGGTCTCGGTACTTCCATGGGCTGCGTTGGTCCCAAGTCCGTTATCGAAGTCCGTGACGGCATGTCCTTCCTCGATCTCTCAGTCCGACAAATCGAGTACCTCAACCGCACATATGATGTCAATGTCCCGTTCATCCTCATGAACTCGTTCAACACTGATGACGATACCCAAAACATTATCAAGAAGTACGAGGGCCACAACATAGATATTTTGACCTTCAATCAATCCCGATACCCAAGAATCCTGAAGGATTCTATGCTGCCAGCACCAAAGTCGTTCAACTCTCCCATCTCCGATTGGTACCCTCCCGGACACGGAGATGTTTTTGAGTCACTTTACAACTCTGGCATTCTCGACAAGCTCATTGAGCGAGGCGTTGAGATCCTTTTCCTTTCCAACGTTGATAACTTGGGTGCTGTTGTTGATCTCCGAATCTTGCAACACATGGTTGAGACCGAGGCCGAGTATATCATGGAATTGACCGATAAGACCAAGGCCGATGTCAAGGGTGGCACCATCATTGACTACGAAGGATCTGTCCGCCTTCTCGAAATCGCTCAAGTGCCAAAGGAGCACGTCAACGAGTTCAAGTCGATCAAGAAGTTCAAGTACTTCAATACCAACAACATTTGGCTGAACTTGAAGGCTGTTAAGCGAATTGTTGAAAACAGCGAGCTCGAGATGGAGATCATCCCCAATAACAAGTCTATTCCAGCCGACAAGAAGGGCGAGTCAGATATCTCCATCGTCCAACTCGAGACTGCTGTCGGAGCTGCCGTCCGTCACTTCCACAACGCACACGGTGTTAACGTTCCCCGAAGACGCTTCTTACCTGTCAAGACCTGCTCTGATTTGATGCTGGTGAAGTCAGATTTGTACTCATTGAAGCACGGCCAACTCCAAATTGACCCCAACCGCTTCGGCCCAGCTCCGCTCATCAAGCTCGGCAACGACTTCAAGAAGGTCTCGGACTTCCAAAAGCGCATCGGCAGCATCCCCAAGATCATCGAGCTTGATCATTTGACCATTACCGGAGCTGTCAACCTCGGCCGGGGCGTCACACTCAAAGGCACCGTCATTATCGTCGCCACAGAAGGCAGCACCATTGATATTCCTCCAGGATCCATTCTGGAGAATGTCGTGGTCCAAGGTTCCTTGCGATTGTTGGAGCATTAAAAATGGGATTGTAGGCTGGTTGGAGGGAGGATATGTTTGTTTGGGTTTGCATGAGACCTGGCACGGTTCTTGGTTCTTTAGCATTTCACATGCGCTGGGTTTTCAGCGGTAGGCAGTAGTACAGAACGAGACCCTGAGAACTGCATTCGCGTGTATTAGTTTTTTTTAATGAACTGGTGGTTGATATACATTCGCTTCTGTGCAATGTACGTGATATCCGTGATCTGTGTCGGCGTTGAAGGGGCGAAGTCCGCTTACGTGATTGGCCTGTGGAGCTGCATGAGTTCCAGCTGGAGCTTGCTGCATCCACCTACACCTCGTCTTCATTGAAAAGAGAAAGTAAAAATCTGCAATTATATGAAACGATTCCTCAATTTCCCATTACTAGCTCCGCGAGACTATCCACAGCTTCATCGTCACACCCCAAGTCCTTGCACAACCCCAATCTACAACCCCGCAATTACACCAGCCTTGGCAACGAGACCGAAATCAGTTGACAACAAACGAATGGATCTCCAGTCCTTACGTTCAAACGAAACATTCGATGATCTCCTACCAATATGCTGGCACATAAACGATTGCTGGCCTTGTCTGAGAGAGAAGAGTGCGCCTTGTAGTTGGTGTCCTAGTGTATTCTCCCTCCCCTCTCCTCTCCTCTCCTTCCCTCACTCCCCCACCACAACTTCCTCCCTCCCCATAATTTTCCATCACTCTCTCTATATTGAGGGGATACAAGCTGATGTTGAAGTCTAGTCGATGACATGTATCCCCAACCTCTCAACTCTCCAAATCCTTGCCCCGATCACAAACGCAGATATCTGCCCGCTGTGGTCTGAGCGCTGGGAGGTTAGGACGAGGGGCTTAGGCTGTCATGTGAGCACTATCACGCTGCTGACTTGTGTTGTGAGTGTGGTTTCTACCTTTCTTGTTATGGGCTTGGTAGCGCTTGCCTTCAGAGTTGGGAAATGGGTCGGGGAGAAGTGGAAGGGGGAGGAGGGGTGGTGGAAGTTCTGGAGGTGGGAGGCTTGGAGATGGCGGAGGTGGGGAGTTTGGAAATTTGAGTGGGCGAGGGGGTGGAGGGTTAGATTGGTGGATGTTAGAAGGGATGAGGAGAGGACACCGTTGTTGGTTGAGGAAGGCTGAGGATTAATGAAGGACTTCAATTTGGTCTGCTCCTGTTCTGCGTGACATATTGTCTGACAGCTTGCTGGATATTGAACTAGCAAGGGACGTCCGTTTGCCTTTATCTCCAGCTCGCTCTAGCCTCCGAGTTCGATACTGTTCTCGCAGAATCTGCGTAGATTTTCCCACCTCGGACCTTGAGTGGGCAGGAGGGGCTTCAGTAGCGCGGACTATTGGTCTGCTGCTTCATCGCGCCCTGAATCGATGCTCTATCAAGACCATCGACCTCGCAATATGATTCACCGAATGTTTCCGCCTAGAACCCTTCATCCAGAGCTCACAGGCGGAATAATGGCAACCTCATCACCTTCCTGTATAACCATTCCCTCGTCATTCTCATCCTCTGGAATGTCGACATATTCCAGATTGACCGTGACAAGACAGCTCTCCAGCAGATTCGTTTTTATCCCCCCATATTTTTTCTCAAGAGTGCTGAACAATTTGGCAACTGAAAGAGGAGCAGGGAGATTTTCGGAGGTAATCGAGGTGTGGTTTTCAGCCGGTCCGAAGTAGAGGATTTTGAAGTGCCCCGGTGGAGCTTTCGCAGATGTAGACATCGTGATGTCCTTCACCAGGAGACCTGTCAGAGAAATACTGTTAGTATTTGAGGTATGTAGAATATGCGGGGAAAGGTGCGGTATTTGAGAATTTTGTCAGAGATCTTGGTGTAGTCCACTTTTCAGAACGAGTCTGATTCAGGTAATACATGCTAAATTTGTTCATCATAATAGAAATAGAGTGCTAAGGAGTGCAAATGAGGATTTTCAGACATACCTGGAGATTTTGGAGCAGTTGTGGAAAGCAGGTGCTGAGTCGTGAAATTCGGAAAGGTTGGAGGAATTTAAGGTGGATATGCAGGTTGCTACCGTCCGCCGTAATTTTTGGAGAACGTCACGAAATCGCGTCTCCCTGAGAAAATATATTTCTCTGCGAAGGCAAGTGCTCTAATAAGGCACCGTCACCCTTCATGATTATGTTGCGATCTCCCCAATTGCGGAGACAGGTGACTCAGTCATTTGTCTGCTGGAGATGCATTGCAAAATCTCAACCTGTGGGCGCTTTCCACAGCAGGTCGCAAAAGAGAGGTGGTTTCAGAGAGCCTGCCCAGCGACACTTCAGCGGTGGTAGAGCAGTAAGTCTCTTGACTTCTCTTCTCGGTTCAAGCTGATTGATGTCATCAGTCTCGCCTGGAGGCTCTATCGAATGTGGAAGTCATCCCTGAGCCTTCTCCACTACCTTCAACCGAGCCCAGTCTACGGACCCGACTTCGACAATGGGAGAAAGAGCATGCAGAGACCTATGTGATGGCACCAATGCCGAAGGAAAGCAACGTGAGAAGAGGAGATGTCTTGAACAATACAACCCGTCCCCAACCTGGGGTGTTTCAAATAGAAGGAGAAGAGGAGGACGACTATGAAGATTTCAACATGGCTGCACCAATATTCGATCGTGGCGAGTTGGTCGATGTTGGCAGCAAGAGAACTTTCCTTTTGCCCGGGGATCTTGTTGAGCTTCTGTATGTCATATATTGGCTCTGCGAGCGACTGAGGGTGTGAGCTGATCTCAAATAGGTCCGTAGGAAGCCGCCAGCAGGAACTTGCCATTTTCGTTCGCCATGTGGACTTCCAGTCACAATTTTACACTATGTCCGGTCGTTGGGTGCACAGATCGGAAAAACACCCACAGTTCTATGTCCCAAACTTTGTCGAAGCACACGAGTTGGAAGCTATAAAAGAATATCTTCCACAAGAAGCCGTGCCATTGGAGCTCGAGGACAGGCTACATTCCTTCGAGATAGTTCCCCCTAGGAATATTGGACAACCTCTCACTCTGAAGATGACTGAATTCTGGGCGGAGGCAGATGCTGCGTACCAAAAGGCTGCGTCTCGCTTCGACAATGCACATCGAATTGTGGGACATGGAACTCGATTTACATACGCAACTTTGGAAGAGATAGCACAGAGGGCGCTATCAGGGTTTGTACCAAAGACAGACGATGGCAAATTCTCTTACGCAGTTCTCTATGCACTCCATCGCTCGATGCTACGGGATGACATTGGATTTCGGGTTCAGCAGGGTCAAACAATGCGAGCTGGTGGCGAGTATGAAATCAATTCTATAGGCGAAGTCAACAGCATCAACCAAGTCACTCAATTAGTTCGCACATATCGGGAGGCTCTGGTGTCCTTCCCGGAGGCGGTCCCGAACCACCCGTTAACTCGTTTTGCTAAGGATGCCCGCAAGCTCATTGCCGCTAGCCGTCAAACTCGCCAGTATACACCCTGGGGAGTCCTTGGGCCATATTCGGGAAAGGAGCAGGGTGAACGTCATTTCAGATATGGACATCCGCACAAGCCTTTCATGAGCCACATGCTGCCTTTTCTTCGGTTTCTGGAGTCTTGGGCATGTTTGTGCAGTTTCAACAGACATTCGTCGTTGAATGGGGTCGGTTCTACAATTCTACGTGCCATTGGTGCATATGATGATGTGCCTTTGGACAAGAAGACGGCCTGCACAGCTTTACAGGAGTTAGGCGCCGTACCCCCGTGGGAAAATCGTGCGGCCTATGAGCTAAGACTACCACACACGGGTCGCAGGCTTGCACCCGGACTGTCCCTGCAAAAGTTTTCCGAAAACTACGAATCGTCCAGTTCTCCAGATCCTGGTAGAAGCCCGGATAAACTCGAGCATCTTCGAAAGGATTGGGGCGATCTTACTGTATACTGTATTGACGATGCATCAGCTCATGAGGTTGATGACGGTATCTCTGTGGAATGTACCGAAAACTCTTCAGAGTTTTGGGTGCACGTCCATGTAGCAGACCCTGCAGCTCATCTTGACCCGCAGGGACGAATAAGCGCTGCTGCTGAGCGTATGACCGAGACGGTTTACTTATCGGAGCGTACAGTGACCATGTTAGATGCGGATTTTGCACAGGATTGCAGCCTTGCTCCTGGTCGACCGTGCTTAACGTTCAGTGCGAAGATGAATCTTCATGGCGAAATACTGGAGTCTAACATAACCCCTGGGACAGTAAGAAACGTGGTTAACATAACATACGAGGTTTTGAAAGAGGTTACCACAGGCTTACGATCGTCACAAAGCATATCTTATACCGTCGGTTCAAACGATGTCGAGCCGACACCTTCTCGAACTTTAGTAGAGAGTGACCAACTTTCAGACCTGAGTAGAAAGGAATTGGGAATCTTGGAGAAGATTCAGCAGGCTCGCTGGAAATATCTACGAGACAGAGGCGGTATATTTAATAGGCCTCCCACGTCCGTTTTATCTGTCTCGTTTGGAGGCGCACCGTGGGAAAGAGCTGCCGTTACTGATAGCTTCCACTACTATGGCGATCCCACGATTCGGTTGCACTTCCAAGAAACATACGATCCCAATGATCTAGGTCTTGTGGCATGTTGTATGCTCGTTGCCGCTGAAGTAGCTGGACGGTGGTGCAGTGCAAGAGGAATCCCTGTGCCATATCGCGTCACGCCCTTGAATCCCGAAATGGATCCTGCGGAGTATTTCACCAATGTGTATCTACCAGCACGAGACGAGTCGGGTGAAGTCCCATTGGACATTAAGATGGAATATACAAGACAAATACCCTCTGTCCAGCCCTCATCGACTCCTGGGCGGCATGTGGCTTTGGGTATGGATATGGTGGCTAGGTGTACAAGCCCGTTGCGTAGATTTGCGGACCTTCTAACTCATTGGCAAATCGAGACTGCTTTGTTGGAGGAGCACCGACTGGGTCATTCACTTGTGGGAAATACCAGGGACGACTTCCTACCTTTCAGCAGAGCACGTATCGATGCTCTTCTACCACGTATCGCGCTTCGGGAGAAGCTGATCTCCAAGGGCCAAGACCACTCACAGAGAGCATGGGCCATTAACTTTCTCGTTCGAGCTTGGCATTTCAAGGAAATCGAGCTTCCCCCTCTTACCATGTCAATCCGAAGTGTGAATCCCGACTCTAGATTTTGTGGTGGGATCCTTGAGGAATTGTTGCTGGGCGCGCAAATGTATATCCCAAGCGGGATGGATCCCGAGGAGATCAAGATTCAAGACAAGTTTGAGGTTAAAATCATTGAGCTTGATCTTTGGGGGCTGAGGATCTACACTGAGTTAGTCCGGCGGATTGAATCATGAAATCAATTTTGATTTGAGTAATACTGTGGAGGTACTGGCTCTGTGGCGAAGTTCTCAGCTTTGAAAGCTCGACTTCGCCTTTCTGTTGACAAAAATGGAGATGTACATTATTGTAAATTATACAACACTAGATCTGGATGTAATTTTGGGGACTGTATCTGGGATATGTTCCTGAAACCTCACTTCATGTATGACATCAACGACAGATAGAACATGGCCAAGACGGCCAAATGAATAGAAAGAAATCATAACTTCTCATAACCATTCTAACACATTCATACACAATAAGCTTGAGCACTGCCAAAGCAAATTCATTTCAATAATACATTCTCAGCACTCCCTTCCCAAGTCTGCGGCTCAAAGAAGGTCACTACACTGTGTAACCAACAGGATGCGCGAGGAATGTCCCAAATTATGTTATTTACTTAGCCACGAAACAAAACAACCCTACGCAACGCATACCTCATAAATCAGCACTGCTTCTATCTTCCTCTTGCTACTGTGCCCATATCTCTTAATTCATCACGTCTCTACTTTCTCTCTCTAACCCCTCTACTCATAGACCTGCTCTTAACCCAACAACTCACCTCCCTCAATCAACTCAAGACCAACCTCAAAATGCACCATTTCTCAATATTCGCACTGGCACTCGCTCTCTCCACACCACTCATTTCCTCCCAATCAAGCGCAAGCCTCGAAATAATTCCGGTTGCTGTTATTGCAGCAGGGCCCACAGCACAGATGGACAATCTGCCGAATAGTACTCCCCCTTTTCCTTCCATTCCATTTCCGCTCTCCTCTTTCCCCTCCCCAAACGCCCCCGGAAGCCAAACAGGGGCACTAGGAGGCTGACGGAAGCGAACACAGTGCCCTCCATGACAGCAATGCCCTCGCCCCCCACCTCTCCCTCAACACCCACACCAACAGCATCAGCAAAGGACATAATGACGAGTGAGGTGGCGATGTCAAGTATGCAAATGAACATGAACACAAACACCTCGACGCCAACCACGTTCCATTCTACAGCGAAAGTGAACCCAACGATGAGCAAGAGTATGACGACGAGTATGGGAGGCGTGGGTACTACTGTGCCTGTTTCGGGAGGCGGGGAGAGGTTGAGATCGGTACGCCATCCCAAAGGAAAGGCAATTTTAAGAAAGGAAAAGCTAATGATGAGGTACAGGTGAAGCTCGTTTCTCTTGGCTTGGTTGGCGTTGCGGGGGTGTTTGCTTTTGCTTAATTGAACTTGCTCGTTTGGGTTGGAAGGGCGGGTTTTGATTTTCTTTCTAGATCGTTTTATTAGTCTCATTATTTCATCGGAATAGGGGTTGGATTCGGACCTTTCGGATCTTTGCGCTTTTGCGCCATCTTATTTGCTATATCGGATCGTTCTTGTTGCACGAGTTTTGTTCTGAGGAGGGAATGAACTGGAGTTGGAGTGCTCGCTTTGGCGTTGTACCTGATTTGATTTGATTTGGTACGGATCATTGGGGAGAACCGAAGACTTTCGGAAAATAGATCTCAGACGCAGCCACTTTTCCAACCGTTCCAGAGTTCACATGCACAAAGGCGGCTCTCAGATATATCATTTGATTCATTCTCATCGATTCCCCGCCGTATGGACACCGGCTAACTAACGTACAGATCCATTTCCCCTCCATTTCACCCTCAATCCGCCATACATCCATAAACGTAACTTCCCATGTCGGAAAACCCAAGATCGCATCCCATCCGAAACTAAATAGTGTACAGAATCTCGATCTTCTTTCCTTCCACAACTTGCAAAACCCCCTAGCGCGAAGAAGCGCTGAACCATACTCGCTAGCTATGCGGCAAGAAAAAGAACCGTGCGTAAAAGTCAAGGACCGCAAAGCCAAACCAACGTTCTGGGTATAACCTCCGCTGCTGCGTGCGAAAATGCCTTACGTGCGTGCTCGAAACGAAATTGAAGAAAGTGTTTGAGATCCATGCGTGACGTGGCCAAAGAACGGCCGTGAATGCAAATCCGGGTGTCTTTGGAACTCCGGGCGAAGAACCGTATGCTAATGTACAACGGGAAAGCGTTGAAAAATCGCAGTCATTAAGTATTACAAGTACCGATCTGTCGTTGATCGTGTGGTTTTCTCTGGAACCAGTCCAAAGTCGTGGGTTTCTCTCGGTCATAGTTCCGCAACTCGCTGAATCATTGTACTATATCTCTCTCGTTCATTCGATGAGAAAGAGAGACCCTTTCGCTCTTCTATTCTGTCGTTCAAATCGTTTTGGATTCGTTCATGTGAAAGCTTGTTCAGTCGAAGAAGGATTCTTCATCAACAAGCCCTATTTTTAATTAGTACCCATCTAGCGTAATGCTAAGATTTCAAGCTTACGAGAATCATCTCTCAACTTGTTACTGCTGGGCTTTCTCTGACCCAATCCAATATTCATGCCAAACATGGTGCTCTCACGTCTCTTGTTCTTTGCACCCTGAGGGTTCTCCGTAGCATACTGTCTGTATTGCGAGTTTCCACCACCACCAAATTGATCATAAGCAGGCCCAGCGAGGGTGGGAGCTGCTCTGCCATATTCTGGTCCGGCCATGGTTGGGTAATTTCCTTGCATTTGTGGCTCATAAGAAGGTTTCATGGGCGTAAATCCTGTATCGTATTGTGCACGTTGCTGGTAATGCTGAGGAACCGGAAATGATGGGGGTGGTCCTTGTTGTGAGAAAGATTGCTGCTCGTAGTTTGGGGTCGGCAAATCTTGTGCGAACTTTTGTCGGCGCGGCGAACGGATATCTTCAGGGGAGAGTGGTGGAGCGGTGACAGTGACTTCGACCGGCATGCTGTGATCGTCTGGTTCCTGCCCAAAAATACCATCATATTGCTGAAGGAAGAGGGCGAAAACAGGTGCGGGTATGTTCAGGGTTGGAGAGAAAACAATGCCAACGTTGCGTACAGTCATCTTGTTGGTGTCTGCGTGGTTGATGATGTTGATGAGGAAACTGGAAAGGTATCGTAGTAAGGCGTTATTTGCTCGTGGAAGTCGATGGACGAGACCATTCAATGCACTTATCTTCTCGCTGAGATCGTGAAGTTCAGTGACTGCCAGGAACTCAAGATGGAGCTCTCTTGTTAATATCGTCGTAGGTAGTTCTCGGAGGTAAAGCTTTAAGAGCGAGGCAACTGCATGGATATCGTAGTATTGGCCATCCGTGATCAGGTTCACATCACCTTCGTTGTTGAAACGTTCCCGGAGCTGCTTAATGACCACATTTGAGCCGCTCAATCTGAAGATACCTTCTTCACCAGCTGCATTCTTGGCGTCTAGATACTCAATGCATCGATAAACAACAGCAGGCAGCTCAACATTGACATCAACCGGATGATTGTACCTCACTGCCTCTCCCAGCGGAGCTCCGAAAGCTGGTCGAATGGGTCCATGCTGGTCGTAAGCCATCTGTGATAGGCTGGTCGTCGAATCATTGGCCCCAGCAACATCTTGCGAGTCCAGTGATGCACGAGGTTTCGATCCAAAGCCAAAGAAACTTCGCTTCTTCTGCTTGATTCTCTCATCCACTTGTGCAGGTGCCAAGAAAGTGTTCTTATTGCCCCATATCGAGGAGTCTTGGATTACTTGCGCATTCTTGGGCGCCGAAATATTCTTCATTGACTGGCTTTGGGGCAATTGAGCCAGAGGGTCCCGTTCGTGTCCATGGGTAGGAGGTGATGGAGTTCCAGAACTCTTTCTTGCGCCGAATGGAATACTACCTTGCTTGGTGTTCTCGTAGCTCACTCCGCGTAGTGCTCCATCAGCCAGGTCTGGCATAGTCTGGCTTCGACCTCCCTGGGCGGCGTACATCTTCTTTTTGGCGTTCATACCATTGACATGGAGAGAGCCGCTAGAATCGTGACGGTCGTGCAGCTTTAATTGTTGCGGTGCAATGTCCTCACCCTCTTCGTCTTTGTAATCGACATACTGAAGCAGAGCCTCAACCCACTGATCACGCTCCTCATCGCTTTCCGCACACAAGACATGCCTTACGAGGCTGGAGGAATCTTTTCGTTTGGGTTCCAAGATCAAAAATGCATGGCGGTATTGGTTATCGATATCATCGGCGTCACTTCGTGAAGGCGATCCATTCTCCGTTTGCTGTTGTTGCTTGCCAATCTGAGCATTCTGAAGCTTGATCGCACCAAGGTGAGGTCCACCTGGAGATTCATAGTACTTGAATACTGGGCCATCCAATACGAAGAATCGAGCCTTCCAGCCCCCAAAGTTCTTGCCTCTCTTGGTCAAATATCCATTTTTCAATGGTCGGCCGCCTGGCCCCGTCTTGACAGGGCTCTCAACTGAGTCGCCTCGCGGGTTCAAGTCCTCGGCGTGTGGCTCCATCGTATTGGTTGACAGGTATCTGCAAATCTCCAAGGCTGATGCTGTATCCATAGGCGTGTTCAAAATGTCGTCAAGATACTTGTCCAAAGCGGCCCGTCTCGCATCAACCTTCGCAGGAGCATGCCCATTGAAAAGTGACTTCTCGGGCGTCTTAGCAGTGAATAAGGAAGATTGCTTCAGTATCTGATCTAGATAAGCAAGTGAGGCGGAATCTTTCTCAACTCTCCAAAGCTCTCTGCGATCCGACCGCGAGAAAACTGCCAACGTGAACACAGGATCTTCCTCAAAATTCTTCGGGAACATGATGCTGGCTCTCGAAGGCTTCAGGCGAGACGATGCAACCTTGACATCAATTGAAGGCAAGGCATTTGGCGGGAGTAGCAGATCCGGATATTCTTCAGTTACCAGCCCTTTATAGATCGAGTTGGCTCCGAACATGCTGATGTGTCCAAGAGTTGGCGACGCTTCGTCTAAAGGGCTCGTTTCCACACCTTCGAGCGCCTTTTTCGCGATCGTCAAAGGTTTGGGGGAAACTAACTGCAAGGGTTCTCGGGGCAATCCTGGTGAAGCGATCGACAGCGGGGTGTTAGGTGGTAGAGGAATAGGCTGTCTTGGCGCTCTCGGAGAAAGCGGAACGATTCCAGGAAAACCGCCCATACGGGGTGACATAGGAGGTGAATTCAAAGAGGCATTATCTGAAGGGTTTCGTGGCAGTGGACTGCCGAGTGGCCGATCTATTGGTCTCGGGCTGACGGGGAGACCCGGGCTCATCAAAGGAGGTGAGACCATTCCCGATGCTTCACTGAGCATGCCTGCCAAAGAACCAGTGTTGGAGTCTGGGGGAGATAGATGTCGTGTGTGGGCATCTGGTGGCGCAATTGGTATCGTTCGTGGACTTGCTGGCATGAAATCTTTGGTGGATGGAGTAGTCGGTCTCGATTTCGATTTTCCACTTTTCTTTGAAAGACTTCTCAACTCTGCATCTTTCATAGCCGCAATTTCCCGTTCCTTGTCATCCTCCTCTCTTGTCTTCCGTCGTCCTCGCTCGGTGAATGTGGGTATCTCCTCCACCTCTAATATATCATCATAGTCTGAATCCGATTCCTCACCAGTTCCTGAGGCTTGACGGAGATGGGAGCTAGGGTTGTTCTTCTTTCCTAAATTCAGGGGCGCAGGGGGGGCTTTCCTCAGTGGCGGTATGGGAAAAGCCTTAAGGCCCTCGTCCGGTCTGGGTGACGGCCCAGTAATGTTTACTGCAGGAGCTGTTTGGTTACTGGACATTGGTGTTTTTGGGATTGGAATATTCGGCGGTGGTCCTCTCGGTGCATCAGAAGGCAGGGTTCTTGACGGCGGCAGTGCCGCGTTATACGGAACGCTTCTCTCGACTTCATTGGCCTTCCTCTGTTGCTGTCCTGCTTCAAATCCTGCTGATGGTGCATCCGGGTTGTACTGTTGGAAAGCATGTTGTGTTGGCGATGGCATCTTGTGCTCAGCTTCCACCATGTTAGAAAGTGCTGGAGCTTCTACGTGATTTGAGGGAGGAGTGATAGGATACGGAGCCAGGGCGACATCAATTGGCGAAGGGGGGTGATCCTGTCCAAGGTCTCGTAGCCCAGCACCAACGGTGGCTTCAACATTAGCCTTTGGAGCTCCCACCGTCTTTGGCTCTGAAGATATCGACCCTGCATCTGAAGTAGCAATGCCTTGTGTTGAATCAACAGGTGACGGATTCGATATCTGTACCAAGCTCTCCTTCAGTTTCTTACGGTACCGTTCCTTGTCCTTCATCGCTCGCTCGAGGTCCTTATTTAGCCCTAATATCATTGCCCTCTGCTTGTCCACCAGGCGCCATAACTGCGAGTTCTGTGCCGCTTGAGACTGCTTCTCCTTCAAGAGATATTGAATAACAGCTTCTGGTGATCCGGCTGCCTGGATGAGGTTTGCAATGTCCGGAGAGCTGCCTGAATGCATCTCTTGCGAGTTCTTGTGCGAATGCCCGCCTGACAACGAAGATATTGCCGAATCGATCGACGATGTCCGTGGAGGTGCCCGAGCCATTTCGACTCTATGTGCTGGAGCAACAGCTGCCATCGATGGTCGCGTGCCCGGCGGAGAGTCTCCTGACGGCTTCGAGTTTACGACAGGGTCAGAGACGCTTCGTGAGGTAGCATTCGAGTCGTGGGAAGGGCGGGGATATCTAAATGTGTTAAATTACAGTTACACCTCGCTTCACCACGGTACACACCTCGACTTATTTTCCTCGATAGAATCCACAGAAGAATCCTCAGAGCGGTAAAAGGTTTTCTCGCTGGCAAGTAGATCGTCAAGTCGTTCCTTGGGCGAACGAGGTCCTTCCTGTGGACCTGCGTGATTATAGCTCGTTGATGTCGAAGTATGATCGATACCACCTCGTGGAAACGTAGTTCTCGTCGGAGTCGCGCTCGTCGGCGGAGAAGTAGCAGTCGTACTCGTTTGTAAAGGACTGGGAGCAGCCTTGCGTAGAGATCTTGAAGGGTCTCTAGTCAGCACACGAAATGCAATGAAATGTTCTAGTTCCAAATAGACTTTTGCGTACCTCTTTCCCGGCTCAGAGATGGGCGACGAAGTGTTTGGAGAGTTGTAAACCTGATTGCGACCTATTGTGGGGCTGTCTTGAGGGAAGAACTGTAGCTGGGAGTCGAATCCATCGTTATGTTGCGAAAGCTGCGACATTGCCCACCAGCTGAGACTCGAGACCGCTATGCAGATGGAGTACGCAGGCCACGCACCAATTGGCCAGCCGTCGAGCCAAAATACAGGCTCACCAGTGAGGGCGCGGTGGCGGCCTGACTGTGCTTGCTGGGTTGGGGCAGTTTCGAATCCCTAGTCGACGCTGATTGACGTCGCACGTTCAGCGAGGGAAGTTCAGGCAAAGCTCTCGAACGCGGAGCGAGCGGTGCAATCGAATGGGAGACGCAAGGAGCAGCCAGGATCACGGCGAGTGTGAGTGGTTGTGGGTACTCTGGCGGTGGTGCTGGCCGTCTGCAGTGGTGTGTTCAGGCGTGCAGTATTATTATGTACAGTTGATAGGAAATATCACAAAATGCTGACCAGGTAGGTAGGCTTCACGTCAGCCACACACAATCGACAGCGGCGGCGACTGGGAGCGCGCAGGACGAGTCATGGGCCACCAGACTGGGCGGGGAGGGAGCAGAGAGGAGGAAGGGAACGGGAAAGGAGGGCAGCGCGCAGGAAGGACGTGATTGTTCGGGACTGGGCGGCCGGGGAATTACTTTGGACGGAGAGTCGTGATTCGCGGTGTTGATGAGCAGCTGCTTCTTAGATGACTTTGGTGACGATACTTGCAGGGCTGCCCAATTGTTGCAGCTCCCCTGCTCGCCTGCACCCCCCCCTTGCTCTTTTTTGCCCAGCTCCGGCTCATGAGGTTCTGTTACTCTTTCCTCCGGACTCACCTCCTTCAACCTTGCTGCAATTCTCTGTCCACTTCTGCAAGTAAACACATATCTGGACCCTCCCTCTCCACGCCCATCTCTGAGCCGACTGTCTCCTATTACTCTGCTGCGGATCCAGATTAGAATTCGTTTGGACCTGCTTGGCGACCGCGGCTTCTGATTGGCAGTTTCAGACATCAACTCAGGTACAGTACTGGCAGTGCCACGATTCTCACGACAATGAAAAAGCGCTTTCGATTCCGTCAAGCAGCCCCGCCATGTCCTTAGCCACGCACCGTTGCGTATCCACTGGCCCGGTAGCTCCAACGATCGCTAGGTACACTAGGTACTAGGTGAGGGCTTGAACAGCCTTTCAAGCCAAGGTCAAGCCCAGTTCAAGCTAAAACCAAGAAGCGACAGAGGCCGGCTGCATGTACGGAAAAGAGACGCCAACTCCACGCCTGTCTGCAGGAACTCGATACCGGCTGCAGGTACGTGGCCTCTGTCACCAGATAAAAGACTCGAACGGTGTAGCTCCGAGATAGTTGAAAGGTGCAGCAGTTCCAGAGAAAGCAGGGGGTGGTGAACGCCTTCTGCCGAGCCCCTATTTCCTGCTCCCGAGAAGCGGTGAAAGGCGTGCTTTTCATAATTTTACATTACTGTATTCAAACAGTGCACATCTTAATTTCAGATCCATGAGGCCTCTCCTCTCCGGGCTTGACTCGGAAACGTCCAGCAGACCAACGTGGGCGAGCTTCGGCCTGACGACGCGCCGTGGTGTAACCTTATCACGGCCGATGTCAACCTCCATCAGTAATATCCAGCCTCCAGGATGTCATTTAAGCTCATCCACCAGCATTTACCCAAAAGCAAATACACACTACCCGCGCCACACGCGACCCGCCCATTTGCAGCAGTACGCGTGCCCCTCTATCGCCGGCACCAAGCTTTATCCAAAGCATGGGGTAACAGGGACAGGCCAGACCAGAGCACACCTGAAACTGTGAAACATGTTTCCCGAGTTCCCAACGCAGACAATTGCGCGATGAACCTGTCTCAGATGTCTGACTCCATCGAGCAGGTGGTCAGGATGCCCAGGCCGGGCAAAGGGATCCTGGAGAAACGGTCGTGGTGGTCTGACTCTCTGGAAAACGAGCAGCCGAGCAAGGCATATCAATGCACGCGTTTATGGTTAACCTTCCATTCGGACCCCGGATCTGCGATGGCGATGGAAAGCAATCATGCTCTGCTGCACGCACTTGAGGTTCGCAGCAGACGAAGGGGGGGGGGGGGCACGGAGGAGCCAAGGGGCAATACCAGATCCGAGCGCTTGAGCACCACAGTGGCGCAAAGACCTGCCGGCGAGTGGTTTCGCTACCGTTTCCGCAACCGCCTGCATCTCACATCAAAAGTCAAAAAGGGAGCAGGTAGGCAGGTTGCGCTCTGAACTCAAATTTGGATGATGCGCCGTCTTGTCCCTCTCCCTGCGTCCCACAGATGATCTTGAACGGAGCAATGAGCTTCCCGAATCCAGTGAGCTTTCGCTGACGTAAAGGAGAGGCCGCTGCAAATTCCATCCGCGTGTTTCTTCGGGAGGTGGCTCTTCCTTGGAGAAGGTGCTGTAAATGCAAACGCGCGCCCGGCCTGCCGGTCAGCAGTTGGAATACGATCTGATTGCAGTACCTTTTCTTCGCTTCCTGAGCACCTTCACCCTTGAAGCCCTGGATTCAGGAGAAATGGGCCGCTTGACAGCTGACTAGCCCGTGCCGCCCCCATCGGGGTCCTGCACTGCTGCAGTGCTGCACCCACCTCACGGGAACCTCGCCAATTCCTAGCGGCCACATCGCACGCCGAAGCCCTTGGCTCATGGTGACAGCGGGCCAGTTACTAGTCAGTGCCAAGAAGGCAGCCTTCCAACTTCCAAGCGCTGCAGCGGAGAAGCGGTGTGACAGAAGCAAGAGGCTTCTTCCAGTGATACAGCAGCACTTGCACTGGCCAGAGGGAGCACAGTGGGCCTGCCCGCCAAGCGCTCCATTGGTGCGGATAATTACCCCTGAAGCAACAAGCGAAGTGTCGTTGAAACAAGAACGTGATGCGGGCGAGCCTCCGTGCTCCCAAACGCATACAACTCCATCGTTGTACAACATACAACAGACAAGAAACATCTAATCTGGGCTAAATACAGCGTGACTTCTTATCGAGTCATTGATCTCGTATCTGGGCGGCAAACGATGAGATTTAAGGAACCATCGGTCCCATCAGCCATGTATCAACACCAGCCAAGCCAGAGCCAAAGACAGACGTCAGTGCCACTGGTCTGCAGCTCTGCGACCATCACGATACAAGTTGCTTTCCCAACCAAACGCCATCACTGCACTCTGGATAGGTACTCCACTGGAACCACGTCTAAAAGATTACAATCTCGAGGCTCTCAGGCTCCGTCTCATAATAGACCTAAAAGTTCCACAAATAGTCCTCTTACAGATCTCGAGCACTCAGACGCCCTCGTTCCCCGCCTACTACGAAGGTACAGATCTCGCCAGGCAGCATCGGCCGTGGATTAGCCAGTGCTGAAACACCATCAATCACGCTCCCCACTCCCACACACCAAATCACAATCCGCCAAGGAATCGATGCCGTACATATCCTCCCAACCAATGAGACATCAACGTCCCACCCACCCTTCTGGTTCGCTCAGCCGTCTTGAACGATTTTGAGCCTCTTGTTCAACCCGGGCACTGCCGAGTATGGAACAAATGACATGCCCTCTTACGAGATCATCGCCTTTTCTTACCATCCGCTCATCTTCTTCGGCTGCCTGATACCCTTCACATGTCATCCATCTGCATGCCTTCCAAAATCCAACCAAGAATCCCGCCACGATGCGGGCGAGCTGGAAGCTATTTAGGTCCTGGTCCTCCATACCTCATCAACCAATCAAAGCCCATTTCCCAATATCTTCAACCACACCTCTGCCAACCTTCCACACTGGCACCACGTACACATGACAATTTCTGCACATCATCTCAGCCACCTAGGACCCAATAATCCGGATTCCAACTGCGGGTAGTCGGGCCCCTTCCGTACTTACGACGCCTCTGTGATTCCCCAGCTGAGCTCCGGTGGCACCGATTCGCTCCTCCCGAACTTGCCTGCATGCAGTATTCGTGATAGCTTTCCCTCCTTAGCTGGGAATTCCCCATCGAATCGGCGCCGCCGGTCAACTTTTCGTGAATCACAATACACGTGTTCCCTTATGTCATGCATACGGGAATCTGAGAGGCAAATGAGAAGTGAGAAATGGTAAAACATGGACCTCGTATCTTGAGATCTGACCAGAGCAAGATTTTAGGTCGCAATCCATCCTTAGTGGGAATAGAAAGTTGTTTGGTATGAGGTTTGAGGTTTTGGGTAGATGAGGAGAGCTGGACAGAATTGCCGAGTTGTTGTTCCACGGATCTGCCTATTCAAGTATGACGAGACGCTTGGGTTAATATATTCCACGCAAACCCGAACATGAAAACCTCTCTAGGGTTTCTATTCGGAGTTCTGGTGCCACTTTCAATGACTCGGTAAGCAGGGAACAAGGCTACATAGATTCAAAACCGTGAAAGGGTGTGACTTCCTTTCTCTGCCCCAAGTTGTCGTCCAAGTCAAGCCACTCGGCCCACAACATCCAATGACAACCCAGATTCCACCAAGCAGAACCCCTCCACAATACCCCTCTTGCCCCGCCAAGTAATCACTTGACGCCTTGCACACCAAGGAACTCAAGTTCCTCAGCATATGCAAACCAACTGCACATACCGTCTGAATGAACATGTTAGCCAACCTTTCCCCACTGCGCAACTGCATGCCCTCACCCGAACAAGGTCACTCGCTACTGCACTTCGGAACCGCACAGCTATCAACACTTCAAGTGACGCAAGCTGCCTATTCCACGCTAACGTGCGTTCCTGCACTCCGGGATCCCGCAGCTGCCAGCGAACATGTGCTCGCTACTGCAATGTTCATGTACTCCGGAACCCCACAGCTGCCATTGACCTCCCGTACCGCAAGATGCCTATTCTCGTTCGCATGATCACTCACTACTGCAAGTGCAACGGAAAGTAGCATGTGTCAGCTGTCAAGTAATATAACTCGCCTTACAGGTTTATGTCGAGAGCCTTTCCGTCCTTGATAGATGACCACACAGGCGGTAATCCGAGTCCATATTAAATTTCAAGACACGCAAACTTGAAGCATGGCAGCCTTGCAGCAAGAAAGCCAAGACAAAATTCATCTCACTTGAAACAAGAAGACGGCAAGACAGAATGTATAGTACCATTGAGAAAGAACGGCCTATATCAAGAATAACCAATCTACTCATAAGCTTTGGGACAATGAATAGGGAGTGGAGCAATTCTCCTCTAACAACCAGCTCTCCCATCACCTTCACTTTCCTGACAACCTCGTGCATGCACAACCCTGCAAACAAGCTCTTCTTCAACACCATCACTAGCAACAATTCCCATTTCTCCAACCACCCAATTAACCTGTTCTCCCCGGTCCACACAACTCTCGCCTAAATTCCCTCCAGTACCCCCTGAAAACACGTCGGCCTCCTTCTGGGCAACTCTCGCCTCCCTAACAACCTCCCAAGCTCTCACCTTCTCCCTCCTCTGCCTGGCAGCCCTCCTCGCCACATCCGCCAACGTATTGACGCCCAGTCCCTCAAAACGACTCAGATCCGCCAAGAACTTCCTGATTCCACACCCAGTGATCTCTTCAATCCACTTATCGACGTCCTCATCACAAGCCGCTGCCGTGGCAACGTGGAGGCCTTTGAAGACTTGCTTGTCTGTGATCTTGCCTGGCTTGAGCGCGATGGAGTCAAGTGATGGATTTGAGACGACATCTGGGAGTTGAGTAGGGGGTTTGACCACCACCGGAGGTTGAGGGGCTTGAGGAAGTGACTTAGACCGTGAGCTTGTAGAGTATTGGGCTCGCTTTGGTGGAGATTGAGATTGCTTGAGTTTGAGTCTTGGTAAAGAAGGCCTCTTCATTGGATCCGGGATTGGAGGTTGGTCGGTGTACACCACATCTATCTCTATCGGCATAAATTTCTCGTCAGGAACCTCGTCGCTTTTGGCGACTTCTTCTACGGGCTGATCAATGGCCGGGGGTTTTACTCGCTCTTCTGGGCAAGGAGCTGATCTTGGTGAAACGACGTCTATCGTTGACCGCCGAGATTCCTGATCTGGCACATTCCATTGACAGGTGTGCATTGGAGATATAGTTGCAGGTGCTTGTGCAGAAGGGAAGCATTGCTGACATGTGAGAGACGACCGTGAAGTGCAAGTATGGCACAATCCAGGTCTCGAAGAGTGTTCGGGGTCAGATTCTGGGTCCGGGGGAGCTCCATTGGCACACTTGGTGTAGAGCTTAGGTGATGGCAACCTCTCTTCTGTACTGGGAGAACTGGTCTCATCTTCCGGTTTGGGACCAGGTGGCTCCAGATCATCAGTCTGTATGATTTGGTCGACTCCTTCCCACTTCACTCTAGACTGTTTCCGAAATTTCGACCCCGAAGAAGTAATAACTGGCTCTGAGCATGCTCTGCAGTCGTTCCTGCACTTATTTTTGACCAGGGGAAATGTTTTGTTACGTCCGCTGACGATTGGTGCTCTTTTATTGTCGCCCTCATTTTTCTTCGCCGTTGTTTCTTCGGATTTTGTCTGAGGGGCTTCAGCGTCTACATCAGTCTGCGTTGCCATGTCTACATATGTGGTGATAACACTAGTGTCAATGACGCCAACGCCAATGTTGTCGGTCTGCGTAAACACCTCAACCTGCTGCATAGGGATATCTGGTTCGTTCGCAATCCTTGTGGACCGTTTTGAGATTGGCCGAGCTTTACATCATTAGCTACACCTCCTGAATCTTGAGGCCTTTACTCACGGGGAACTACGGGACCACTTTTCCTGATTCTCTCCATTGTCTTCTCCTTCGGGGGAGAACCAGAAGTTGCAACCCAACCTTCAAGTGGAGTTGGTGGCTCCAGTTTATCTACACTGGGAGCAGCACTCATCTTATTTGTGGGCGAAACAGTCTCAGGTGAAGTCTCAGGTTTTCGAAGCCATGGCAGAGACTTCTTACTTGCAGTCATGGGCGCTGAAGGAGGTGGTCTTGATGGTGGTGAGGCTACCCTCTCGTGTGGTGGAGTGAAGCCAATGATTGTATGATCGGTTTCCGATGATGGCTCTCTTGCGGTCTTCGGTCGTGGAGATGTCTTTTCATGTGGCGGTGTCCAACCCAGTACCGTTGTCCCTGTTGAACCGGAGGCATACGATGGCTCCCTAGGTTTCTCCTTTTGCTTGCCCTTTCGAAGTACCATCTTGTCGTCTTTCGGTGGGGTAGGCGGTGGTGATTGTTCCACCTCAAATCTGGACAATCGCCGCTGCTGATCTGATGTAACAGCAAGTCCGGCAGACTGGAATTGTGCTTGATAAGGTCTGAATTCGCCAATGGTACGTGCTGATAGTGTGGTCGGTGTAGCGACAAAAGTCCCTTTCGGTAATGACCGACAAGCTTGGAGATAGAGTTCGATTTCTCTTGTAAACTTCTTAAGAGCCTTCCGTTGACTCGGAGTGCGAGAAGAGGTATCAGAAACGATTGTACCACGGCTTGATGAAACAATGGTTCGATTCGAGAGAGTATTGGCTCCTTCGGGTTTGGTGTGAAGGCCCAAGGAGTTCACAGCTTCCCAAAGCTCTGCCGATGCACGACTTTGCTTCTTATTTGCCGGCGATTGGATTGTACTAGCTCCACTGGTACTTTCTCTGATGTGAGCTGGGCTAGACTTGCTTCGATTTTCAATACGATTCTTCGGGTCAATCCTACAATCATAAATTCGCTGTCTTTCAAGCGCTTGAGAACCACGAAATGTATTTCTCCTACTAACCGTCTCAAGAGGACCCACGTGAGCGTACTACAATGAACTAGAAGTCAGCAATGCTCGACATTGTTCCAGAATGCTTGTCACAATGGCTCCGGAGACATGTCTGCATACCTCTGCTCCAGGTCTCCTTACGGAGTGGATCCGCGAGAGATCTGGGTTCGGAGACGACCTCTTCCGGTTCTCAAAGTTCTGGGAGTTCTGGGGCTTCCCGTAGGCTGGCACTTCCGCAACATGAATCAACGAGTACAGGTTCTCTGGTTCTCTCTTGTATGCTTTGACCCGTCTTACAGAAGAGCTAGCCGCTCCATCGGTGGAGGGAATCACGCTGTCCTGTGGATGCTGATTTCGAAGTCCAGACGTTGTGCCAACACTTCTGGATGATTGAGGCCTAATTGAAGCAGTTTCGAACGTCCTTCTGTTGGCAAGCTCCGCCTGTGAAGCGGCCCATCCAAACACCTGGATGTGTTGCCTTGCCCTCTGTATAGCGTGTCTGCGAGATCGAACGACTGCTGATGTGCCTGTACTTCTTGAACTTCGTCCCCGTCGCCTTCGAAATCGAAAGTTGAATCGCTGTTTCTTGCGTGCTTGTAGAAGGGAATTCCCAAGGGGTACTCGCAAAACTTGTTCAGCAGCGAGCTGCGAACGGGACCGAACGGAATTTCGAGGCGTGGATGCAACTCGAATTCGTGGAAGATGATGGTGAGGACGGCCCTTCCAATGGATTTTGATATTGGGCATCATGGAGAGAATCTATAAGGATGCATTTTAGGAGGTTGAAGGGAGTTGAAGCTTGTTCCGGATATTCCTGGGACATTGGCATAGAGTCGTGCTTTCCCTAATTGCTGCCATGGCCGCCAATTGGCATCACTCCCACCTGCCTTTGCTGATTGCCCTTGACAACATCGGAATGGCTTCTTGGTAAATATCCGAACAACACCAGGACAATGATAACCATGCTGGAGGCTGAATGTCCGCAACAAATTTGGTACATTGAAATCCCAAAGCCTCACTCATCGTATATCCTTGATCCCGGGGGACGAGTACATTTCGAGCTGCCTTTGCCCTTTTCGTAGCAGGAATTCTATCGCAGCAAAGTCTTTCTTGTCAAGGCCAATGCCTTTTTCGAATTCCGTCCTGCATTAAAACCCCATTAACTTCACTTCCCAAAGCTGCCCGGGAACTCTCAAGATCTACTCACCTTGCAAAGGACTTGAAATGCGGTCTCGCAATCTACTTACCTTCATCAGCAAGAGCTCGCAGACACTGTTCACCCAAGCTCACAACATCTTTCTTCCTGCTTTCCCGTAGGCATTTCCGATAAAGAGATAACACCTCTCTCTGCAGACCCGAATACCTCATTGCGGCTTCCCTGCGCTTCTAGTCGTCTCAATTGATGCAGGCGAAGTTTCTCTTGAAGCTCGAGGATTGGTGGACTTTCGATGACGGGAGGATTCCGAGATTGCAGGGATCAGAGCTTCTGCATGTCTGGTGGGTGGAGCTGTCCGATGACGGCAAATTGAACGTCCACTTCCCGACTTCTTTGCTGCCTTCAGGAAAGTGTATTGCTCGGAGACTTCTCTTTTATTTATTGTACCCAATCTCTCCGTAGATTTATCTGAATTTCGGAGTCTCAACTGATCTTGAGATGGCTACGTTTTCCGTCAGTTTCTCCACCCGCGATTGTCCAGACACTTACAATTTTCTCAGAGACTTATCAGGTTCTTGGCAAAAGACGGGCGAACCTATTATGGAGATGCAATTCTTCCTGACGGAGTGACAGATATTGCTAAAGCCAAACAGGCTAAGATTATTCGAGGTCAGATCTTTGGAAAATATGATGTTACAGACCAAGTTGAAGATATCCGTCTCCTACTCGCACCACTGGCCCTGGATGACGCGAAGACTGTGAGATGCTTGGGACTCAATTATGAGCAACATGCGAAAGAGGTGTGTTTCCTCTCATACCAGAAGAGATACGTATTAACATTCTCAGTCAAACTTACCAATTCCTAAATTTCCCGTCCTCTTTGTAAGTCTTTCTCCCATTGCACTCATATGATAGGGCTCACATACTCTCAGTACAAGCCCATTACCTCTCTTGCGGGCCCAACAGATCCTATCCCAGTCCATCCTTTGGCTCAACAAGGCACTGGACTAGACTATGAATGCGAGCTTGTCGCCATAATTGGAAAAGCCTGCTCAGACGTTCCCGAATCCTCTGCACTGGACTACGTATTAGGATATGCAATCGGAAACGACGTCTCTCACCGAGACTGGCAACTCAAGCACGGCGGCGGTCAATGGTCCCTCGGGAAGGGTTTCGATGGCTGGGCCCCGTATGGTCCAGGTATCGTGAGCAGCAAGATTATCAAAGATCCTCAGAACCTACAGATCACGACCAAATTGAATGGGAAGACGGTTCAGGAGAGCAGTACGAAAGACATGATATTTGGTATTGCGAAGACGATTGCATTTTTGAGTCAAGGGACCACGTTGTTACCTGGTGATTTGATCTTCACTGGAACGCCACAAGGCGTGGGAATGGGAAGGAAGCCACAGCTTTGGTTGAAAGATGGCGATATCGTGGAGGTTGGATTAGAGGGTGTAGGGAGTTGCGTGAATAAGGTTGAGTTTACGAAGCCTAAGTCTAAATTGTAGATGGAACTAAACGCAGTTGAGAACTGCGGCAACTTCATTGATAGAACTTTGAAAATTGAAATTGACGGCCGTTTCTACTACAATTTTCATGACAAGGTCGAAAGGAACTCTGTAGAGGAAATATCCGCCTGGTATCCAACACTCCTAACTCCAAATTCTCTCTCTTATGTCTTATTCATCTCATCTCTCATCCTGTCTCATCTTTTCGCTTTCGACACTGATTTGTCCAACTCATACTAACATCCTCACCTCACATAAACATCTTGGCCAAACTAACTGCACCCCCGATGCCTCCTAGCCCTCCAACTACACTCCCAATCCCCTCCCCAAGCCCACCCAGCGGCCCCTCAGCCTTCGTTCTCTCAAACTGCATGTGTCCCCCATGACCCCTTCCAACACCACCCATACTCCCACCAGCCGCAGCACCGAACATCTTCTCAATGCCTCCCGGTAATCTGATCCCGAACTTCGCCAATAGACCTGCCAATGCGCCTCCGCTTATGAGAGGCATTATTACAAGCATGAAGACTTTCATCGGGTGTTTCTTGAGGTAGTATAACAGGTCTCGCAACAGGCGGCGCAGCTTGGAGTATATGCGCGACATGTAGCCCGAGCGAGGGGACCGTTTGTAGTAAGATGATGACCGCTGGGCTCCTGCTGCCCATCCTATTCCAATGTTAACAGCGTCCCATTTCCACTTGCCCAAAGAACGCAAATCTTACCAAAGAAACTACTGCGGCTCGAATTATGCTTCGGATCACCGAGCCCAAAGATGCCGCTTCCCCGCGAGGCATTGTGCTTCGGGTCCCCAAGTCCAAAGATCCCAGACCCTCGCGGAGACGAGTGCCGGTGGTGTTTTCCGCTGCTGCTGGATTTGCGGTGCTCATGGTGGCTGCTGCTGTGGTGGTGGCGATGGGAGCTCCCAACTTCTGAGGCGCCGTCGAACCAGCCCATTTTGCGAGTTTGAGGGAGCTTGTGGGGAGCTTGAGCTTGAGCTTTGACTGAGCTTGTGTGAGAGCTGGAAAGTCGCAAAGCTTATTGAGATGTGATATTTGAGATTCAAGCTCCGCGAACACTGCCCAAGGCAATTGAGTTGGGCGCGAATGGATAGGATAATGAGTCGGTTAGTTTACGGCGAGTGGTGAGGGGAGAGAGAAGTAGAGGAGAGAGTGGAGCTGCAGTTGAGACTTTTGGCTGTCAGCTTCACCGCTTCGTAATTGGAGAGGCTGGGGTCCGAGGTGACAGGGGTCGGGAGTGAAAGAAAACACGTGCTTTGGGACTAGACAGGGGATGAAACGAAACTGTGGCTTTTGGAATGTGCACCGCCACTCATGACGCACACAAGAATCCAGACCAGTTGGTATATTCAGTTCTCGAGGACAAGTCACACGCTTTGCTTTCTTCTTTCTGAACAGAGCATAAAGTTCCGACTTTACTCTGAGATCTCTCCGCCTGTTTTTGAACTTTTGGAAGAAACAAACTAGAGAACAATCATGGCAGGAGTTCCAGTTGATTACTGTAAGTCCAGCCTTGTCAGCCTACTTCTTTCTTGATATCTAACAGCAACACAGACGCAGCACTAGGAGTCTCCTCCACAGCAACAACGCAGCAGATTCGAGATGCCTATAAACGGTACCTCCCCTCCCCTTCATCTTCCTTCGGAGTAGTAACTAACAGCTCCCCAGAGCAGCCCTCAAAACCCATCCCGACCGCGTCCCCTCCGATTCCCCAGAACGCGCCGAACGAACCCGCAAATTCCAACTCATAAACGACGCCTACTTCACGCTCTCCGACGCCGCCCGCCGCCGAGACTACGACTCCGCACGCACCTACCACGGCTTCGGCAGCGGCGCCTCCACCGCCTCAACAGCCTACAACTCCGACCAAGACGGCGACGAAGACATCCCAGACCCAGGTCCTTCCCCACCTGGCGGCTTCCCTTGGTCGAGCTTCGGCTTTAGCGGAAAGGCAAAGAATCAGGAAGAGGAGCAGAGTTTCCAGAACGAGCAGTTTGGCGACGTGTTTGAGGAGATGTTGAGGGAAGAGGGCATGGCGGAGCAGGGGGGCACGCCGACGGGGAAGTTCTGGAGTGTGGTGGGCGGACTTAGTGGGGGTGCGATGGGGTTTATTGTTGCGAACTTTCCGGGTATGCTTGCGGGTGCTGTTGCAGGGAATAGATTGGGGGCTGTCAGGGATGCGCGGGGGAAGAGTGTGTATGCTGGTGAGAAGTGATTGTGCTGTTGTTTTTGAGACCGTGACTGATTGGGATACAGTTTTCCAGGAACTGCCGGCGAGTGATAAGAGTCGTTTGTTGAGCCAGCTTGCTGCTAAGGTTTTCAGCCATGCAGTGGGATCAGGATGAGATTATGGGATTATGGGTTAGGACGGTCAGATGAAGATACCAGAGTTGTGATGGCGTTGTGGGATGGGCATTTCGGTACGGAGGTATATGGGATGATACGTGAATGATGGAAGGAATTTGGAAACAGGTCAAGGAGGCCATGACCCTTTCCGAATCAGTAAGACATGCAATATAATACCTTTCGAATAACTAATAGAAGGCATCGAAGGTCTCAATCATTCAAGCGTGGTTGTGAGACGGTGTGAAAGTGCCAGTGAAAGAAATCCATTAAAAGCAAAATAAGTCTATCATGCCAATCAAAGAAACGCTCATCTGCCCTTCCCTTTTTTCCTGCCTCCACCAACAGGTTTCCTTGGAACACGCTCGCGATCACGATCACGCTCTTGCTCCTCCACAAACACCTGCACGCCGTTGCCCAAGTCGTCGCTTTCGTCTCCCTCACTGCTACTACTATCCGCAAGTTCGTCCTTATAAGGATCCTTTTGCGCGCTTCGCCTCCTTGACTCAAGATCCGAAGGCCTGACTGCAGCAGGATACGGAGCATTCATCGGAGGACTACGCCTGACAGTAGAGTAGATAATCTCAGGAGGGCCAGAGGCAACGCGACGACTGGATTGTTCAGCACTTTGTTTGTACTTTTGTGGAATCGGAGGCGGAGTATCGGAAGAGATTTGGTATTCGAAAGGATCGACGCCGTGAGATTGAGAAGAGCCAGAACTGCGGCGAGAAGGAACCCAGTCTTCTTCGTCTGGCAATGGACGTCTCGAGCTGGTACTTGAGGAAGAAACTGGTCGGTTGCCTTCAGAGAAATGACGGCTGGATCCTGGTCCAAATTGCGGAGGCGGGCCGCGAAGTTGCTGGGATATTGCTAATCGTGGGTGGGTGGGAGAGTTTCGGCTGGAGCCCGCCTGAGGATAGTAACCAAGAGGAGCATAGGTCACTCCATCTGGCCCTTCAATGAGCATCCCAGGAGGATTTACAGGTCCATCCTGCCGCATGGATTTGCCTCTCTTTCGACTGGTTGGTTCTCCAATTGGGATAGTGACAAGATGCCGGTCGCTCCGTCGCCTCCTTTCACTCTCACTTCCCCCACTAGATGCACTTCCTTTCCGTTCCTCGGTAGCAATAGCAGCAGCCTGCATCCGCTTCCGCCGTTTTTCCAGTGCGTCTAATTCATCCTGGTTGAGTTTCACCTCCCTTTTCCCCTTTTCCTGAGCACGGCGGATCCGAGCAAGCGCAGACTGTACAAGCGCTTCCTCCTTATCCCGCAAAGCAACCTGCAACGCATTCATCCCCTCAACCTCGATGTCCGACTCCGAGTCCTCTAAAGAATCCTCCGAATCGTCGTAATTATAGGGCTTCCTTGCCCGTAATGCTGGTGTCAAATCTATACCGGTAAACTGAAGTGGATCGCTAGCAAATCGTTTTTTGTCGAAATTCAAACCAACGCCTTGTGTATCTGTATCATCGTCGCTATCAAGTTCCTCCACACGAGCCTGCGCCTCCCACAATGCCTGCTCCTCCTCCCATTGCCTGCGCCTCCTGCTCCCCTTCGCCCCTGGTGGTCTTCCCCATTGGGGCACAGATTTGGGAGATCGCAGCCGACCACCTAGACTGCCTCCCCGGAAAAAGCCTCATCGATCGGTTTATCCATGAATGAGGCGTGTCCTAGAATGCTGACTCCGCTTGCGCCGATGAGCCAGAGGATTGTTGTAATTGGTGATGCCCACAGGCCGAGAGGGACGGCAACGATGAGAAGGGCGGTGTAAAGCTGGGATGAAGTTGCTTTGATGAAGCCGACATCCAGATCCCTTCCTTCCAGTCTGCCGATTCCCCACATGCCACCGACGACGAGGATGATGTCGAAGAGTAGGACCAGATTGGTAAGCAAGCTGTAGATACTCAACATCAAGAAGACAACGAAGTAGTTGCTAGAGAAGTGTCCAAGGTTGTAGTTGACTCTCGACTGAACTTCTCCGAAATTGGCCGGCTTGGACAGCCTCTTGAGATCGAGAAATTCGGAGATGGGCTTAAGGTTCGCAAATCTGTTGGACAGCGACTGTGACCGCACGCCAGCGAACCTATCTGAGAGGTTCAGCCGCGACGTCAGCACGTCGAGGGGGATCTGTATCCGTGACATTGCGTTGTTGTGTGGAGGTTGGTTCGAGGCGTTTGTTCGGGAAAAGAGGAATTGAATAGAGGTTCAAAAAACTCGTGGAGTGAATCACCCTACTTATTCCAGTGCAATCCAGCAGGCAAAAGTAAGATCTTGCAAAGTCGGGTGAATTCGACGTGAATGTGTGAGCTGTCTGCGAGGTTTTCGTCTCGAGATCTGTCAAATTAAAAATTTGGGTCAGCCCTCGTAACCCTTGGACTAGGCACCAGAAACGGTCCCGACAAAAAGCAGGAGCTTACCTCTTTTCTGATGTATTTAACGGGAGGTGTGCGTGGGGTTGTTCAGGCGCAGTGGAGAGGTGTCCGTATGAAGAATGTTGTTGTACGTGTTCGAGGGATGGAATAGGAACAAAGTTGCCAGGGTGGAAATAGACAAGATTACTCGTTCAGGGGGCGATCTTCTGCTGCAACCTCCACTCCACTCCCGGCAGGCAATTGCAACCCCTGCCTTGTGTGCCCACTGCCCAGCCACGGATGTGCTGCTTGAAATAGGACCTGAAGATTGTGGCCATGCAAAACACCTTGCCGGCACGCGCAATTGATTGTGCGCGGAAACACATGCGGCTCCTCGTTCTCAAGAAGGAAGAGAGGGCAGAAGGAAGGTCGGTGAGCGAGCGAGCTCGAGGGACTTGGTGACTTAAAGTACGGTGCAGAGGCAATACATTAATCACCTGTGCGGCCGTGCATGCTCCTCAATTACTGGAAACAGCGCAACATTGCGGGCGCAGGCAAGGCAAGGCAAGGCAAGGCAAGGCGCTGCTCAAGAGTCAAGCCTAATCGATGCGGGTAAAAAATAAGCGGGTCCGCATCCCTGTCTCAGGGCCAGAACCTCGTTGCTGGCCTCAAAAAGTTCCATAAAGCGCAGACACATCAGCGGTGTACCCTTTCCTCAACACCACCACCAAGATGAGGCTGTCGCTCTTGACTGTGGCCATAGTCGCCTGCTTACTCACTCTTGTTGCAGCCTGGAGCAAAGAAGGCAAGTTTTCGCCCCAATATCCCTCTTGGTGCCCGACTCCAATCACTAACAGCAAGCCACAGACCAGGAAATCTTCCGTCTGCGAGATGAAGTCGAAGCCGCAGAAGGGGCTGGCGTCTCCTTCTACGACTTCCTGGGAATCAAACCAGGCGCAAATCAGGATGATATAAACCAAGCCTACCGCAAGAAGTCCCGACTCTTGCATCCTGACAAAGTCAAGCAGAAGTTCATCGCCGAGAAATCGACTGGTAAGGACAAGTCAAAGTCCAAGAAGAAGCCAGGAGTCCACGTCTCCAAAGGCCCCTCCCAATCCGAGATCAAGGCCGCAACCAAGGCCGCCAGCGATCGATTCGCGCGCCTGGGCATAGTGACCAACATTCTGCGAGGATCTGGCAGGGAGCGTTACGACCATTTCTTGAGCAATGGATTTCCTAAGTGGAAGGGAACTGGCTATTACTATGCCAGATTCAGACCTGGCCTTGGTGCGGTGTTGGCTGGGCTGTTCATTTTCGTCGGTGGAGGAGGACATTGGCTTGCGCTGTACATGAGCTGGAAGAGACAGCAAGAGTTCGTGGGACGGTATATCAAGTTCGCCCGGCATGCTGCTTGGGGCGAAAATCTGGGCATACCAGGATTGGGCGGGACTGCCACTCCTCCTGTTGCTGCTGTCGATGGGGAGCCTCAGAGGCAGCCAATGAACAGGAGAGAGAGGAGAATGCAGGAGAAGGATGCCAAGAAAGAGAAGTCTGAGAAAAAGACCAGGGGCATCAAGGCTGCGAAAGCTTCGCCTGCAGCAACGCCCCCTGTTGGCGCAACTGGGCCTAGGAAGCGGGTTGTCGCCGAGAATGGCAAGATTCTTGTCGTTGACTCCGTTGGCAATGTCTATCTCGAGCAGGCTGATGAGGATGGCGAGACTCATGAGTTTTTACTCGATGTATGTTATCCCTTGACCTGATTCCCTTCATCGACTAACGAAATCGCAGCCCAATGAGCTTCTCAAACCCACCTTAAAGGACACAGCACTCTACCGCGTCCCTATCTGGGCCTACAACCAGCTTAGTGGCCGCTTCGTCAAAAAATCTGCAGAAGAAGAAGAGTCTGATATTTCGGAGGAGGATGTTCCCTCCAGCAGCTCAGGAACCGAGGATTTCGAAGTTCTGGAGAAAATCAAGACGACTGCACAAAACGGAACTGGCAAAGCAGTGAGGAGGAAGAAGGGCAACAAAGGCCGGTAGAACTGACGTTTGGGAGGAATGTAGGATACGAGATGGAGAAAATGTAGAATAGAAAAAATGTGGGTATACAGAAAAAGTGCCGCTAGGTGGCGAATTGGACAAAGGTATGGATATGGATTATTACCCAACGTCACACATCTTCTTGGTAGACTTGTATCCTCTGTTTGGCCCGTGTCGCGTGTTCATTCTTCGTCATTGCTCTTCCTTGAATCTTCTCGCTATCCTCCTGAATTCGCGTTGAATATTATTGCAATTGATATGCAGAAACTATTCTGTTGTTCCTCGCTTTATGTATTATGAGATCACGAGAAAGGAGAGACCCTGGCTTAACTAAAAGTAAGATTTTGACTTGTCGAAAGCGAAGCTTTTTGTTACGCTAGGTGGCCGGTGTGGCCAATTAAGGGAGCAAGGAGGACGAGGAGTGTTGTTTTGTTTTGCGTTGAAGAAGAGGAGGTAATTTGGGAGAAGATGGAAGTGGGAAAGAGAAAATGGGGCTGCCTGAGATTCCGGGGTGTGAGGAGTTGAAGGAGGACTTTTGTTCACATAATAGGGGGAAACTGCTATTACTTGATATGGAAATCATTTGACCGTCGTAGGTTTAAGAGGACGGATTCCCTCCCAAGATTTTGAAAATATGTCTTACGTAGCTTCCTACCTTTCCCCATGTGGAAAAATCTTGCTTTTACTCTTTGAATTTGCACCTGCTTATGCGGCCCCTTAGTAGAACTGTCACGTGATGACTCCTTTCTTCACCTCGTTTTCTGGTGGATTGTGGTTGATAAACTGCCCACCGCTTAAATACCGCTCTTGATAATTGATCAAAATCTGTTTTGTAATGTATTGCTTATCTGTGCCCGGGAATTAGTCGAGCCGACCTTCTGCTATTTTGAAGTGTTATGAGCCAGATCCAGAGCAAAAGTCGAAGTTGGATCTCGTTTTATATCTTAGACATACTTAGCTATTGATTGCCCTTTCCTTTAGACTGATTAAGAGAACTCTCTTGCGCCCAGTGAGACCATTTATCTCTCTTTGTTTGAGTTAAGATCCACCGTCTCACCCTTTTGCATCCACAGCCAGCTTCAGCTTAATGCATTATTTACTTATGAAGCGGAACTCACCGCCCTCACGCCGCCTTTACTATCAATATAGAACTAGCACAATTCCGAGCTCGGATAATGAAGAAACGAGTGATCCCGCACTTTCGAAAGCCTTTTTTAAAAATATAAAACCCTGTTCCACATCACCGCGCGTTCAACCTCAAACAACCTCAACACCCACCGCGATCTTTCATGCTCGCTTGCTACCTCTGCTTTGCAACTTGCCTCATCTATCTTGCTACGTTCATCATACAATTCAAGGCCTACCTTCTGTCGCGTCTGCGAGGACCCCCATTCAACTGATCACAATGAAGTTCACCGGCATCCTGCAGGTCTTCCTTCTCTTTGCTCTTCTTTCTTTGGTAAGTCTCCTTTTATTCTTGCAAAGGCTTGGGACACCGCTTATAGCTTTTATCAACAGGGTCTCGGTGCTAGCCTCCCCGCTGGTTTTTCTCTCCGTATAGCCCGCGATGGTGACTACACGGTCGGCAAGATGGGCTTCAAGGGTGAGATCGGTGGCCACTATTTCGAACTGAATGGTACTCTCCAAGTACGTCACAATCTCCTCTCCAGATCTTCCCGTCGTCTTTTGGTTAACAATTGGCAGGACGTCGTTGCTCAAGCCCAAAAGCTCCACCCCGGTCTTCAACACAACTGGACTGCTCCCGATCTCAGCAAGGGTCCTCTTCCCGATGGAAAGAGCCTGGAAGCTCGTCAAGGCACACCCGTACGTATCTATCTACTCTCAAGCTCATTCTAGGAAATTGGAATTGCTCTTTCTGACTTTATGTTCTTAGATCGGTCGTTTCTGCTGGCCCGTTGCCGGACAACCCTGGGGCGCTGTCTACCACACTGATCTCTCGGCCGCCATCGATGCTCTGCGCTCTGTCTTCTGGAACCTCTGTACCTTCCCTCCTAATGCCTGTGCCCCGCTCTCCTGCACCGCCAACACCCAGCTTTCGGTCTGCAACGATGTGAGTCCTCTCTACCCCAAACCCCACATTTCTTTCTTTGTTTCCCCCGGAAGTTCTCCCAAGGCATTTGAATAAGAAGAAAGCTGACAAAAGGGTTCTTAGAATCCATGGTCCATTGCGGTGAATTGCGGAAATACCCTCAGTGAAATGGCTCTCGAGATTAATCAGAACTGCAACACCTGGAATGGCTTGACGGGTGGTCAACAATTCAATTCGATGAACTACAATCTCGTTGTTGAATATCGCGGAGGCTGCTAGGTAGAAACTTGAAGACAAAGTTCCATGTTCTTGATTGCATATTGGGGATATGGATACCTCTGCCTTCTGGTTTGCATGCTAGGGTTCTTTCATTCGCGATGTTTTGTGGAGGCTGGTGCTTCGGTATCTCACAGTCGGAGCACTGATGACGTATCTTCTGGCATGGTCTCTCTAGGCGCATAATGCATAATAGAGTGAATCAAATGGAATGATTTGCTTAAATTTCTCTCTAGTTCTTCTGTGATATTCCAAAGTAGGATATGATTCCATCCTTCTGATCAAGCAAATGTCATTACGCTTTCAGCCAAGCAATACTTTGCATCCAGCTAAATAAATAGGCGTAGATAGTGAGCACACCGCATTACGGTTTCTATGGAAGGGCAATGTTTCAGTTTATACGGATGGTTATTTTCTATTTCCTGTGAAACAAGTCCCAAGTTGTGATTGCATATTCAGATTAGGGGCTCGCTTGACCAGCCCTATGTGATCGCTCATATATACGCATCTGCAGGCCCCAACAAGTATTTTCAGACCGCTAAAGATCAAGACTTTCGAGGTAATCGCGATCCACCATCCTTCTGTTTCCGGGGGAAAGTAAAACGACCCTCCCCCCCGGTATCGATTAGGGGTGTCGATTGGGGCCACACTAACCGAAATCAGCAAGTGGTAGTGCGTGCCCGTATATATTACTTTATATACACCAGTATATGCAAATAAATGTATATTGGCACCTAGTATGCGTATCGCATTTGTTCTAATACGCATATCGTCGTTATTGTTTCCAGACAGATTTGGTTATAATGCATGTGGCAATGCTTAATTCCTCTTAACCACTGGCAAACCGGGAAAATATAACACGATACCTTACCGGGTATTAATTAGGGGTATCGATTAGGAGTGTTAATGAGGGGTGTCGATAAGGGACCTTGAGAGAGCCTGAAAATTTAGCGATGAAGCACCTGGAATGTATTTGCCTCGTATATGTGACGGCGGGATCGAGGCAATGGCCAGGGCTCAAAGATCCAAGAATCTCATGTATTGAAAATACTAAGCTAAAGAGAAGAAGGAGAGAGAGAGATAAGGAAAGGGGATAAAAGAAGGGAAGTACTAGCTAAAACCACTGAAACGCCGGCTAGCTAGGTGAAACCAGTCATGTGACAGCCAACCCCATATGGCCCCCAGCCAGCGCCGTCACAGTATACAATAATCGCCTCGCTTATCCTATGCCCCAAAACTAGAGCTCTTATATATAAACTTATACAAGTAATTATTTAGATATTATTAAAACTCTAAAATCTATTAATATTTCTGTTTAATACCCGGGGTAGTAGGGGAAGGGCCTTAACGAGCCCAACCTCATGGGTCTGTGCGCTACAGGGCATTTTACATACAAATGAAAATCCAAAATTTTCTAAAATAGAAGTTTTGATTTTGCGAAGTGTAATTTAGCCATTTTCATACCCTTTCCCACGATTATAGATTGTTGTAACTAATAAAGGTTGTGAGCTTTTGAAGTGTCAGTCGTGACTTTTGGGTTTTAATGCCTGAAGGCGTTTTCGCGAAGCCTGAAAACTCCGAAAAAAAGCCCTGTGCGCACAGACCCATGAGGCTGGGCTCGTAAGGGGCGTGGAGGCCTTGGGGGTTTGTGCGATTCTAAAGCTAAATCGATTCCTTACTAATAAACTCGGGAAATGACAAGCGCTAAGCCAAAATAAGATCTGCCATCGATACCCCTAATCGACATTGGGGGGAGGAGGGGGGGCCGTTTTACTTTTTCCTTGCAATTCTAAGGCTAATTCGGTTCTTTAGTAATAAACTCGGGAAATGCCAAGCCAAAAAAAGATTTTGCCATTGATACCCCTAATCGACACCGTGGGGGTCGTTTTACTTTCCCCCCTATTTCCCAACATCATCATGTTTCTCGAGGAAAGAGCGTCGGAGTCAAGTGACATTTCCGATCTCTTCGAAGTCGATTCCCGTTCTCCCAACTTTTAATTTACACATGAAGCTCTATCATCTAATATCGAGCCGGACATTGAGACGCAAATCATTCGTATTCATTTCCACAGTTTAGCCTCCCTAGGCGCTCAAAGAGGAATTTCCTCCACCTGACATCCTCACCTCATTATAATACCCCTTATTCTGCTATGCAGTTGACGTTCTATGGTATCGGACCGTCCGTGTTACACAGCATGAGTGTCCCAGGCTCGCAGCACTTCGGTCGCATCATGAAAAAGTTTCCTTTCATTTCATTCTCAGTTTGACGTCTTTTATGCTTGAAATCTACCCAAGTCTATTCTACCCAAGTCTGTTTTGCTCGATAAGTTTTCTGGCCTAACCCGGTGTGAGCACACTAAAGAGTAGCAGAGATGGCAGAAGCTCTTGGTGTGACCGGCAGCGTAGTCTCCTTCATCGGCCCTGCAGGCCAGGTAGCGCAAGGCGTCAGCTACCTGTACAACTTCTTCAGCAGCATGCAAGATGCGCCCAGTGACATCAGATCACTTGCTGAGGAGCTCAAGGCCCTGGGTGACATCCTTGAAGAGGTCGGCCTAGATGGAATAGATTCTGCAGCACTGACAGCCGCTCTCCAGCACTGCAAAGATGTTACAGGAGACCTGGAAGGCCTCATCCAGAAGAGCAACTTGACTTCTAAGCAGTCGAAGGCAAAAAAATTGTGGTCACAGATGAGCACTGCTTTTCGAAATGAGAAGTTCCGGAAATATACCGAGCGGCTTGAGAGAGCCAAATCGACGTTATTACAAGCGAAGATCCAGGCCCATGGGTGCGCTCCCCATTCATGACCGTTTGCCCTAAGAGCTTACAATACCATAGTTCTATGCATCAACAGCAGCTGAGCGGTATCAAAACAATTGAAGAATCGATGTCCAAAATGTCCTTGGTACACTCGAAATTTACCACGGAGTCCAACGAGATAGCGAGACAGACACAAAATGACCTTCAAGCCTTGCCCTCTCGGGTGAAAGAACTTGTCATAAGTGAAGTCTCGACAACGATGGCCAAAACGCACACGACTTGCAGTAAGATTTTGACGGAAGTAAGAGAGAGCAGCGCTAAAGCAGACCTGGCCAGCGAGAAGTTCAGACTGGATGTCCAGACCCTTTTCGATCCTGACACCAGTCGAATCGCAGCTCTGCTGAAGCCTGCGCTGGAGAAAGCCGTATCGGATGAGATCGCCTCCTCAATGGAGGCTTGGACAGCTCAACTTGGACGGCCCCAGCTTAACACTTCAGATATAACGCTAGACATAACACCAGACCCTAATGCTGATATCTCAACAAAAGATGTTTCGAGCCATTCAGAGAACGAAGTTGGTTTGAGAAGCTTGAATCAGCTTTCAGCCACAACAACTTGTATCAGATGGGCTGGAACATCGAAAGTTATCAATTTCTGGTTTGGTCGACTCATGCTTTCGACATCATTCCTGGAAAGCTGGGAGGGCCGCGGAAATGGATCAACCCTTCAAAAAGCAAAGTTCTTGGAGACAAAAGCAACCCTCATTCCCTCGAAATGGCTACTCCGCAAGGGTGTTGTACTCAAAATTACGCGCCTAGTATCTGCCATTGTTGCGCCCTCGGTCCAATTTTCGCTGACCCCCATCATGGTCATCTTCGAGGACAATGAGATTGTTGGCGCTATGCGATACGGAGACCTAACGAAAGTCCAACGATTGATTCTTGGTGGCAAGGTTCACCCATCAAGCATTTTCCCGGATGGCTCGAGCCTTGTGCACAAATGTGTTCAGGAATTTCAAGAGCAGGCTGGGCAAGACATCCCGTTGCGTATATCTGTAGCCTACACCCCCGAAACCACTCAGACAATATCCAAGTTGATAGATATTGCTTTGCTGCTCATGAGCTATGGTAGCGTCGCGGATGTTCCCAATATGTCTGGAGTGTAAGTCTTGTGATCATTGTATGTGGAGGGAGGCTAAAGTTACAAGTACCCCCTTTTCCATTCTGATGGAGATTCATGCTACGGGTGCGGCTTTCGATCTTGTATTGCAACACGGAGCAAAATGGAAAGCACTAGAGCTTTCGATACTCCTGGCGTCGAGCTCTTCGCCATTCTTTCTTCGAGAGCCTGAAAGCGGTGAGATGCATCCGACAGATATTTTTCGAGAATCTCCATCAAGCTGGGGGCGCTTACTACACCTCATTTCAAAAGGCTCTAGCTTGGATATCAGAATGATTGTTTGTTTGAAAACACTTCATTTCTTGTGGAATGTTCTTCTATATGATACGAGACATCGCTTTGGCGAGGCTTTATCAGTGCTGTTGTCAACAGATTTGAGCGTGGCGGCGTCAACGGGAAAGGAATGGCTTGCTGGCGATCCACACGAGTCAAAAGAATGTTCTCGCCTGCTCTACCTTTCCATCCGTGGTGCTCTTGTGCATGCGAGTCCCTATCGGTTGCTCACAGATGTATTCAGAGATGCATTCACGCCGTGCTACCGGTCCAACAAAAAGGATGATTTTCGAAACGGTATCACTGCCGTGATTGCTGAAATGCTCCGGATTGACAGGGACATCTCAACATTTTCCTATGGAATGGAATCCCTCACTGATTGTGCCGTGCGATGGCGATGTTTGGATATCTGGAAGCTTTCCTTGGAGAAATCAAAATGTCAGATGTTTCCCCCGACCATCTGGGAGAACAATGCCCACTTCTACGATCCGCTTGGATTTGTATCTCATGAGCCAGGTGCATCAGTTCGTGTTACAGGAGATGCTGCTTCCGGAAAATTCATACTTGTTGTTGATGAACGGACATACCTCGATGCACTCGTAATCTCTGGCAACAAGAAGACAGAATATCCACGGGACCCCGAAATCAAGAGTCTCACCAAAGGTTGGCCGTGCATCGTAAAACTTCCACAGGTTCACTGCGAAGTCTATCCTTCACGATCTATCAGTACGGAGCTTGCAACCGATGAAGACCAGAGAACTGCAGATCGAAATGCCAACGGCAAGGCTCAATATAATATGCATCCAACGGACGATGGTGGTGTTGAGCTGTTCATTGACTGCTGCGAGATTGGCGAGCCCTGGGAAAGGCTCTATACTAAAAAGTATGCTGAAGTAAGGAGGGAAGCTCGAAGCGAATTCCTGGGGGATTTTGGCTTTGAAATATCTGAAGACGAATTAAGCGAGTTGGACGTGGACGAAGATGGCGGTGCTGCTTCCACCGGCTTGTTTTCGAAGATCGCTGGAGTTGGGTTGGATGTACTCTCTGCGCTTGTTTGAAGCTTGGGAGAGGAACCCTATAGGGGCACCATGTTGCCTCTGCAATAGTGTCTATTCTTGTGAGCAAGCTGGGCATTGAAGCTTTAGCAAAGCTGCTACTGGGTTGCCTCACGGTGTGGCACATTACAGCACCGGTTTCCTGAATGTTGTCAGACTTCATGGAATGTTTAAAACATGTGAAATTCGAAATTTCAAAGCTTCGCGGGGCATTTGGAAAGTGGAGACTTGAATATCCTCAAACTACCCACAAAATTGGGGATTTGAGAGATTTAAATGCCCCGAAAGTATGCAGAATGTTTAAATAACGAAAGGTGTGACGGCGCTGGCTGGGGTCACATGGAGTATGATGTCACATGACCGGTTTCACCTGGCTAGCCGGCGTTTCAGTCGTTTCAGTCGTTTTAGCTAGTACTTAATTCTCTCTCTCTCTCTCCTCTTCTCTTTGGCTTTGTATTCTACAAGACAGCAAATAGAGATCTTTGAGCCCTGACCATTGCTCTAGTCTACCGTCACAAAAGGCTTGTATATTCCCAGCTTCGTGGAATATTTAGAAAATACGAAAATTACATTTTCCCAGGCTTCTGACCAAGGCGTGCGGAGTTTCAATGTCCAACACTTCCGTGGTCAACAGAGTAATTTTCAAACCGCCCAATAGTGGTTTTTCCGCAGTGAGTTTGTCACTTCGAGGTGGTTTGAGTCTCACTCAGACTTCTAGGCCCCCTACCCCAGGAAGAGGAAGCAACGCAGCCAATAAAAGGCGCCCGAATCCCCAGTCCTTCAAACTAGGCTATTTGAGATCTAAACCAATAACCTCCAACTATTATACAAATCATGAATTGCTTAGGCTTAGATCTCTTATCTAAGTTGTCCAATCAAAGAAACCGCCACCACAATCAGTCTCCCCCTCTTTCTCAAACCGAAATCTTCATTAATGCCTCGACATATATCTAGATTCCACGAGTCGTACGTCTCGGCCCCTCGACATCAGACCAGCACGTACCCTAGAATATTCTGGCTCTGGACCGGCTTGACGGTTAGCAACTTTGTTCTACGCGCAGGCATTTATTTTGAGGAGAAACGGCCACAGACAGAGAGAAGAGCTGGAAGAAACGGAAGAGTGATTTTAAAATGATATCGGAGAGAGAATAACGCGTAAAGGATAAGGACGAGATCCATGAGGCACTAGGAGGATGTTTGTCATAGATTCATTATCATTCCAATTAAAATAGCTACAAACCAATTTTTCATCAAAATCATCAAGACTGAGAAGCAGAAACAGACAGACGGTTAGGAAAGAAGGAATAGGTGTTTCCGGAGCCAAGATGTTGTTATACTGGTCCATCAACTTGAACGTATGTGGGTGTCTCCACCCCAGCTCTGCACCACATCACATCTCCGCCCATCCGCCTCACACCGAAAGAGATCCTGCACAATCTCATCCATCTTCTTCTCCGCCTCCTCGGCAGTCAGGGCTCTCCTGTTCTCAACATGTCTCAGCACCGTGCCAGCCGGTACCTGAGCTCTCGCCTGAGTCTGAGTTTGTGCCTGTGCAGCAGCAGCAGCAGCGGACATCGCCACCGCTAGGGCCGGAGCCGCAACTCTGGCAGGAACAGCCTGCAGCTTTGGCTTCGGACTCCACGGATCCTCATGCTTACTAGGCAACACCCTGGTCTTGTGATCCACCGTCTCCCCCCTAGCAACAACCACCCACTCCACCGGACCCTTCTTTCCTCCTATCCACCGCTTACCTTGCTCAGGACTAATCTTTCTCCTCGGCCTCTCCATAAATGCTACAACTTCCCACTCCCTCTTAATATTCTCGTTACTACTCGCTTTCTCTCTACCCTCGATCAATTTCTGAAGCTCCCACTGCGCCTCATCTGGCATTTTCAGAATCGTCTTCCTAAGCTGCGATTGGTGCTGCATGTCGGTAGAGGCACCGCGGCATTCTTGCCGGAGAGTCTTGATTTCAGAAGGACAGGAGGGAAGGGCTTTCATGTAGAAGCTTTCCGGCTCGTAGGAGTGCGAGGTGTACCATTTTATGCCGAGGAAGGCGATGCTGCGCTTGAGCTTACGCTTTGCTTCGTTGCGGCGCAGGAGCCAGACCTCTTGGATGGAGTCGTCGAATGCTGTTGCACTGCTTGGTGTTAGTAAACCGCAGTGGTTTATTTGATAAGGGAGGAGACGAACCTTGAGGAGGAAGAGGAAGTAGAGGCCAGTGAGTCAGTGCTTGCGCAGGAGTGCATGCTGAGTTTCCTGCTCATGGGCATCTTCAGGAGAGATGGCTCGGGAGTTTTGAATGCCTTCACCATCTCCTTTTTCTCTTCTACAGGGACGAGAGGCGCAGCAGGCTTCTCTTCCCTCTTAACCTCAACACTAACAGCCTCCTTCTCATCTCCACCCATGAGCGCCTTCAATCTCGGTACATAATCCCTCTGTACACCCACCAGTCTCTCCGCAACAAGCGGCAACATCCCCTTCAACGCCCTCAACTCCCCCGTTTCCTGCTCGCTCAAGCCCCCTTTGCCATTCAACCCCACCCAACAAACCGCCTCAATAAGCACTCTAACTCTATACTTCTCCACATAAAGCCTACTCCTCAGACTCGCTGCTCTCTGCTCGCCCCGCATAACGAGCACCCACGCATTCCTTGGTAATCTCACAAGACCCACATCATTAGGCTCAAAGATCCTCAAACCCTTCGCCTCGAGAACCCGCTCTTCCAGCTCGCGAAACGCCTTTCTTATGTCCTCGCACAGCGGGCCGATGAAAGAATATTTCGGGCTCAACACTCCTGTGAGGCTCGGGAACCTCAGAAGTGTGGAATTCAGCGATGCGAGCAAGTTGGAGGTCACTGCTACGACGGCAACGAGCTCCTCGAGACATTCGATTGGATGCGGGAGCGTGGACAGGTATTTAGTGGTGTTTTGGACTAGTGTGGTGCCGAGGTGGGCGAGGAGGTGTATTTGGTCCATTGTTCACGAAAACGTATTTTCACGAGGACACTCGCGAACAGCAAAACGATTGAAAAAAATAGCGATTGAAAACCTGACAAGAAAAGAAAGAGAGAGACACCGAAGAAAAAGGGGTTTAAATACTGACAGTCAGAGATGTTGATCCGAGACCGACTGTGAATCAGGCTTGCGTGCCGATACTCCACGTTCAGCTCATCGCCTCTTTTCCTCACCGAGTAGAGTGTATCATGCATTGAAAGGCTATCGACGCCCGCCTTGATTGTCGGTGACCAACAGTGCAAGCTTAAGCGGACCAATAGAAAAATTTCAGCCTTACCCCTTGGCAATTTTCCACCCATCAACTGTCATTTCTAATTCAGTCCAACTGCAGGGGGGTCTGCTGCCTGCGCTTATCCTTCGGTGGCGCCCCCAACCACCCCTTTGATTACCGTCGGGAGTGTGTTATAACTGGGCGACTTCACCGAATACCTCTACAAACGTTGGTCAATTCCCAATCAATGTCTTAACGCGCCTAATGACGGTAATACAAGTAGCCTCCTTGTGATTATAGGATATGATTGTGTGCAAGGCTGAGGTACCTATTCACAGAGTCGTGATAGAAAGGAAAAAGGAACGAGTCTCGGAAAAGCAATTCTTCACCGAATGGAAGGGCACGGTGACATGAAAATTTTCCGGTCGCATACCGGCGATAGTCATATAATTCTACTAAAGTAATCATCAGTTCGTCAAAGTTTTTCTCTCTCAATGTTTTCGCCTCTTTCAACGTACGTTTCCTACCGACCTGTGCCGTTGATACCCACCCTCACCGAAGCGACAAATCTAAATTCTCTCATCTGCGAGATATAATTTGGGGGCCAGCCTTGCTTGTGAAAGCACATGTCCCGTGGTATATGATCGAATTGGAAATACAAATCCTAACATTTAAGTAGGCTTCAGTGCGACCCAGTTGCCTATTGATGTGTTGTCATCGCCTAACAAATCTGTTGGTCGTCTAGGTGGAAGAGTTGGGCGTGGACCCTCCTCGTCAGTTCCGTTACCGGCATGCCCGTTCAGGTCGGCCCGATGAGCTCTCCGAGGCTGGGGTGGGGGCGGAGCAGTGGAAACTTCTCTCCTGTCTTCTATATCCCTTCGGCCATAGATAGATCCCAATGGAGGTCCTGCACCACTTATCCGTCTTGGAGGTGGTGCAAAGCCAGTATGATCTGCTGTAGTCGGTCGAGGCTTCTGCTGGGATGGTAGGGGGCTACGAGACGTAGAAAAAGTTGACGCAGCAGATAAGGTAGGGGAAGAGGTTGAAGACCGGGATGAAGTCAGATGTATTGGTTTGCGTGCAACTGGTGGCGGCGCTTTCTTTGACGTCGAGCTTATTGTGGAAGTAGATAGCCGCCGGTCAGAAGCTGATAGAGGGAGAGAGGCCGTTGAATTATTGTTCAGGGAGGTTTGGGCGAGGTTCTTGGATAAAGTCGAAACTGCTGTCTCAGTTGGGTTGAAAGGAGGTGGGGCGTTGCGAGTTCCGTTGGTAGAGCTGGAGTTTGAATTTCGAGGATTCGGTGGAGGTGGTGCTACAGATTTAGTTGTTTGTTGTTGAGGTTTTGTCATTCGTGGCACCGTTACCCAGTCTGGCTCATCTGTTGGCGTGTACGGATTTGAGGGCCGATTAGGATTTGGGATCAGGGTCTTCTGTGGAGGTTTGAGATCAGATCGTGCTGGTTGCCTGTTATCCAGCCACCACTTTCTCTTGTCTGAGCTGGCAGGCGGAAGTCCTGCTTCGATCGAGTCATATCCGAGTAAGTCCTCGTCGTCTGTGTCATCGTTTTGACCACTTGCAATGGTCCCACCAACTTCCAACTGCCGCCTATCATAGATCTCACGGCTGAGAGCCTCGCGTCTGGCTTCATCAATGATACTCACAGTACATTGGAATGTTGCGTAGACGGGTCGGTGATCAGAGAAGCGAAGAGGGGCACAATTGTAGCTCATTTGCCGGAGATTGGTGCCTTTCCGGAGTATTCGATCCGTCCAGGCAGGTATTCTCGCTTTTTCGCTGCGATATCAATTAGTAAGTGCCTAAATTCTTGGAGCATCTACCTACGAACTATCATATACGTCACTTCCGAGGTCGTACTTGTAAGTCGGATTAAAAGTAATTCTCGCCTCTGAGTAGAACGGGAAAGTAAGACCAGCCACCATTTGCAGATTCAGCTATTGGGTGTTAGGCTGTGCAATGCCTTGAAATGCGAGGAACTTACCTGGTCGTTTTCATAGAGGCTCTCCAGGTCACCGGCTTTCACGAGCTGTCTCACTCGCTCTGCGCCAAGTCCGATACGATAATTAAAATCGCCGATCCAGATCACACAGTCTAACGAAAACTTAGTTGCTTGAAAGTGAGAGGCTATGTCGCACTCACCGTGATCGTCGATGCCACGATTTCTTTGAAACCTCAGGCCGTGGTGGATGGTAGCGTAGTCCTTATTTCGTTCCTCATAGTTGGCGAAACCGGCGGCTAAATGAGCTGTAACAAAACAGATCTGACTGTTGGCGTAGTCCATGCGAATAGCTACAGCTCCCTTGTTGCCTGCCATCCCAGACATCCCAGTCTTCTTGACACTGCCCTCGACGTTCTTGATATTTTTAAGAACAGAAGATTTGACGAAAATGCACAGCGCAGCTCCTACAAGCTGACCACTTCGCAAGAGGACGTAATGCTCGCTGCCAGCCGCACGTGCATGTCGATTCAACGTCTTGCGCACAGCTCGTTCCCAGGCTTGCTTCCTTGTTGGATCGCTGTTCATAATCTGCTGAGGGCTAAGTTCGACGATCTCCTGGAAACCAACAGCTACAATCTCTGGATTCTGCTGCGAAGGGTCGAGATCTGGACAAAGCCAAGAGGACAGATCTTGTTCAATCCCATCAGTGCGACCGTTTAAATTGAAAGTCCCAGCCCATCTAGAAAATGTCAGCTCGAAAATCAATACAAAGGAACAGTTACATACATCCTGATGGTCTGTGTAGACTGGAACTCGGAGCTTCGCTTGGATAGTTCAGAAGTCACATAGTCATTAATCGGATCGAAAAGATAGACTGGCGTCTGTCCAACCATTCGGCCCAGGAGGACATCAATGGTATTTTGACGCCCCTTGTCTGCAAAATTGTTAATGTATAGTCGAGTCGCACTTTTCCTGGCATCTGCAATCGCTCCAGCTAACGACATCTTGCCGTGTCGCGTGAAAGAGGACTTGAGAGCACCGGTCCCAGCATAAATCCTTGATAAAGCATCTCCATTGTCAGCCCATAGACTTGAATGACGCATCCAGAAATCCGAGGCAGCGTGCTCTTCTCGATGTCCAAGGAACGATTCAATGGCCATTTGAGAGATGATTGTCTGGATGAGATTGGTTCTGTCCAAACAATCTAGGCAGTTCGTTCGAAAGACTCCTTCTTGCTGTAAAACCACGACTGTCCTGTGACGGGGTTTCTCATTCGAGTCTTCGACAGGATCTTCAACTTCTTCTGATAAGTAGTAAGCAAAACCGTCTGCTGAATTCTCAATCAGCCTCCGTATCAAACTGGCTGCTTCGTATCCATTGGGGCCTTTCGTTTCCGCATGAAAATCGAATTCTGTTTCTCTCAACAGCTCATGGTCATGGGAATGCTTGTTGTCACGAGAATTCAGTACGGAGTGTCTAACTCCGTACCGATATAGATTCGTTAATTCCGCTTCACCAGGCTTCGTCTCACTGAGCAAGTTCACCACATGGACAGCGCCATAATTTTGCTCAAGCTCTGTAAAATGTTTATCGAATGCTGGTTGAGTTCCCTCGGCGGAGCGAGTTATCGATATCTTCTGCTGGCCTGGAAGAAGACCCGCAGATTGCTCCCAGAACACAGGAACAGATCCTCTTATCTGCGCGTATGAGAAGCATATTCCGGAGGGTTTTTCATTCGTAGATGGGTCTGATTGGCCAACCACTGATGGACTCCAGTATATGGTCTCTGACTCGACGAAATTTGCAACATTGCCATCATCATCAATACCACGACTATTGAACCTCGTCCCCGCCCTTCGGCATGAAAGCCGTGATATGAGAGTCAAGGACGACGGAAGTCCTGTCCTTGTAGTTCGCAGTGGTGCAGAGGATGAAGGTATCGTGATTGTAAGGACGAAGCCACGAATGGCAGACGTAAGGATTCCGGAGCTGTCCAGTGCTTCTCTTTCACGTTTCACTAGCCGGGATCGAAACTTGAGCAGCGGACTGATCATATACGAATTCCAAAGAAAAGAACTGTCGAGGTTGTCTATATCAAAGGAAGATGCATCTGTAGATCTACAAGAAGTAAGCGCTTGACACACATTCTAATATCAGAACTCCTACCGATCCTGGAGCCTGTTCGTAAGATCAAAGTCGGTACTGTAGTAGAAACTGCCATTGCCCAACAATTTCTGCAGCTCCACGCATGGATGTTCCAGAAGAGGATCTCTTCGGGAGACATTCGAGCCATAGTCTTGTTCCCCCGCCGAGTATGGATCCAGGTTGTCGCTAAACGTGTTGTCATAGTCGCTGCTGTTCAAACAATGAAACTCCACCCCGTATATCTTCTCCACCGTCTCCCCTGGCCGCACAGAAGCCACCTTCACAGCACCTGTCACAACACATAGGAAGACATCGTTGTTGATTGTGATCAACCCGAGTGTTCCGTGGACCGGCAGCGGGCTCAATGTTCGATAGTCGCTGAGATCAACGGAAGCCACATCTGAGAACTCGACCATGCATCGCGGAGCGGCTGCCCCATCTACAGATGTGCGAGGAGGCGGAGATTGGACTGAGATGAGAGATCCATTGGCTATAGCATCGTTTGTAGTTGGACTATGGCGGAATATCAGGGCATGGGAGGGCGTCACAAGAGCAATCGAGCGCTGGGGATACTCGCGTAATAGGACGCGAATGGACATATTTGAGAAATAAAGAGTGAGTCGGCATCAACATGGGTTTTCTGTGGCATCGTGGAGTTCGTCCTCGCGCAGGAACATGGTTGTTTGCAAATTATTTTGAGGCTGATGTGGAGTTTGGATTTGGTGAGATGGCTGCATCGTCATACAGGGGCCAATCTGCCGTCCTAAAAAGGAAGGCGGTGGGGCGATCAGCGAGATTCTCCAAGGGCGCTAAAATTGCAGTACGTCGCTCCAAAACGAGGAATTTGCTCGGAAGATGAACCGGATCACGTGCGAACAATCACCTCGTTGAAAGTTTCCAATTGAAGGATGCCCTTGATTATATACTGGATGACTAGAAGAAGAGAATAAGAAGCTTGTCAGAGTTCATTTTAGACCGGCAACGTGCCTTCAAATGTTAGTAACGGTCCAGGGGAGGATCTTAAATCCTTTACTGAAAAGCATACCCTATCGTGCACGATGTCAAGTCGGGCATTTAGAAAATGATGGCCTTTTCTCTTCAATTTAGACGAGGAAATGTTGAGGCAGGCTGCCCAATGCTCGAGGACTCCTGGAATGGAAATTCCAATGTCGAAGCTCCACGTCATCAAACTCCTGACTCCTACAAATAACATTGCCGAGGTCGCCTCGGGCAGCCGCCTTACGAGTTTCCTTGTCTTACATGTCAAAGGAACTGCTGGATTCGTCTAATTCCGACGCTCTAGTCCTGACAGCACTGATGTATTTGTCTCGCAGTACTTTCACCTGGTTCGCCAACATCCCGCACGGAGGTATCTCAGAAAAATCAGGGGTCCAATGATCTACACTAACCATGCATGACGGCGCTAGCGTTGGAGAAGAGGTGATTGGTCGTCGTTGAGCAAAAGAAAGCATGTCGTGATCTTGTGGGGAGGTGTACGCGTGGAACTCTGATATATCGATTCATGAAACGAAACGTTTCGGCAGAAAAGAACGCCTCCTCGACATCAATAAGGACACAATGGAACTCTGAACTCATTCTTTGGGGGATAGATCACTAAATTGGACTTTAGAGTGGGATAGCAGGTGGTATTTGGCACTCGGCTCTGTGTAACCCGTCCCATCCTTTGGGACAGCCGCACTTTTTGATGAGGCCGCGGAAGAGCAATAGAAGAGAAACCGGAAGATAGGGAATGAGGTATACCGTACCATCGTTTGCTCAAAACAAAAACTCCCGGATCTGTGGGTTTGGGACGAGTACTTGCTCTGAAGAGAGAGGTAGCTCAACGTGATAGGTGCAGCTGAAAGCAAAAAGCACATTTCTAGCAAATGTCTGAGGCGTGTCTGGACAGCTCAAACGTATGTTTAATGGTGAATAATGAGAGGTTATTTGTAAGAATCGGGCGAGAAACCAACTTTCCAGTTCCCATCCACACGAGAATGAGGTATTAACCTGCCGCCTGATCCGACGACTAGGAGGCACGGAATGCCAGAATGCCGCCGACGTGGCTTGAGCGGACCACTCTGGAATGCGGGAGGGGGGTGTGGGAGCTAAAGCAGACGTCACGGAAACCGTTTTGAATCCAAAAGTCGTGGCTTTTTAACCTGCCAATAATTGGAATGGGGAGGCATTTGGCATTCGCCAAAGAATTGCATTTTCCCACAGGATTGTGGTTGGAAGACGTGGGAGAACCTATCAACGCGATCATAATCAGCTCGAGGAGTTCTCAACTGCTCGTCTGCCATTTCAAGAGCAGAGCTTGAAACCGGCGAGGTGCTTGAGCTTACTCCGTAGGGCCATGCACAATGAGGGGCAGGCAAATGCGTGTTGAGTGGGACAGTCACACAAGGCTCGCCGTGCTGTACAAGTGTCGTCGGACAACATCCCATCTAGTGACTCTAGTCACAGAACCCCGAGAACTGTGAAGCAAGACAGCTTGGGAATTGGAAATGTGATGGAGATGAATAGAGAACTGATCTATATATCGAGACGCGAGTGTCTCGCGGATCTCACATTCTTCTTCATGGAACAGTGCATCGTGAATTCATGATGGACCCTTGTTTCTGCTATTACCCGTGGCTAGTTGATGACGACAGTGTGCGGCAACGAGGCATTCCAGAGAACGGAACGGCAGTGAACTGGACTGAACTGCTGCCGGCCATTGCTCAACAGTGGCAGCAGCATAGAGTATCAACGATCAACGATCAGCGATCAAGCCAACTTGGCTCTGTGACATCTGTGTCGGTGAAGCCGCGGAAGTCGGGGGGGTCTCGCCACGATGACCACCGGTCCACCGCACGCATGCAGGCACTGAGGCGGTGGGTGCGGCGAGGTGTGGTGAGGCCGGCGCAGGGCAGGCAGCGAAGAAAGCGAGCAAATGAAATGGACAGGGCCCTGGGCCGGGCGGCGCCGGTCCCCTGCGACGGAGCGTTCTAGACTGCAGATGCGAGCAGGGAAGGGCTTGTAGGGCGCAATGGCCGCCTACCCATTGGCCCATCGGAGATCTCTGCCACACAAATCCTCAGGCCACACTTTACCTCCGCCCCCCCCTCCCCTTTGATTGACCTGGGCCCTGGCCCTATGTCCTCGAATCCGATTCTTTGGCTGACCGTTGATCACACTCGGCTTCTGCCCAAGAGCGAGCGACGTTGAGACTTGAGTGCAGAGAGAGACAGAGGGACAGAGAGTGAAGGAGAGAGGGAGGGAGAGAGCAGGAAGAACAGCACGCGAGAGAGGTACAGGCGAGGAAGAGAGTCGATGAAATGTCAAACACAGCCAGAGAAACAACCGCCAAGAAACGCCCTCTCTGGCACATTCACGGACCCACCACAACCCGTGGGCCTAGACCCCAGATTCCGATGCTTCTTGGCCCAGAACCCGTGGTCAGGGAAGCACCAGCGACGCCAAAGGCTGTATCCTTCCAGCCTATCATCCCAGACCCTCCTTCTGCCTCCAGACCGTCCGAACCCTCACTCCTCCGAGAACGAACTGTGTCAGAGCCGTGTTGTCACGGCTTGGGCTGTACATCTCGACCGCCAGATCGATCCCTCTTCACGAGGAGATTGCTCCGTACCTGGACACCTTGTTCCCTCCCCTCATGACCTTGCAATTGCCTTCCTATCAGATCGAGACCCCGTCCTTCGGTATTCACGGCTCGACATTGAACCTCAATAGCGCGTCCTGACGATTATTCAGCGGTATCTTCAGCGCTCCAAGGCAGACCTCCACGGCTCGGCACCTCTCCACAGCATTTCTTCTTTTGTAATTCCTCACTTCCAGCCGACCAGTTTTGATCTGTCGTCCTGCCTCGCCCAGGAAACGCAGATCCTCGATGCTGCATGCATCCTCCACCACCGCCAACGAGGAGACTTGTGGGATGCCAGAGCTACACGACTTCCCAAGATCCTTCGACGCAAGGCCTTGCGGACCCCGAACATACAGACCACACAGGCAGAGGACGAGAGTTCGGTTTGCTCGCGATATAAAGAGTCCGTCTCGGGGACGGGCTGGGGAGGGGGAGATGAATATGGAAACAACGGCGGATGAGGCGAGATCACAGAGACCATCAGATGAGTTGATAGACAGAGCTTCGCTATGTCTACCCCATTTCGGCAAGAATTCTATATTGCATGGGGGAGACGAAGGATTCAAAGATGTTCTCGGACAATACTTTCCGTCCGCTGAAAGTAATGCTGCGGAGCGTCTGGTCGACCTCAAATCAAGGCTGAGGGCTGCGTCAACACACGATTTCTGGGGGATATTGATGGAAGAGATGTGCGATATCACTGGTGCTCAATGTGGATTTGTTGCCAAACGGATGCATGTGGATGACCAGGACAGTGCGGTTGAGATGCCAGAGCTCGGCGAACCCGGATCATGTCTGATGGGAGTTGCATTTTATCTCACCAATGGTTCCGACGTCAATGAACTATATCGAGATTATCGGTATCATGCCTATGGCACACCATATGCTCACATGAAGTATGACAAGATATTCATTGTACCGGAAAGGATGGAAGAGTTTGTACCCAACAATCCAAATCCAATGCCGTGGACGCATTCAGAGGCCTTCATAGGGGTCCCTCTCTTCACCGAAGGGAAGTGCTTCGCTCATTTTGGGATGACCTGGTCTTCGGAGGGTGCCAGTACGAGGAAGCTGGGTTGGGCATTCATTGAGATGTTCTTGCACTCACTCGAGGACATGATTCTTGCGCGGATACTGGAAGGGAGAGGTTTCGCCAAGGAGATGGCCCCACCAGACACAGCACCGGCCGAAGTCATACCCCTTTCTGCCATCACAGGTTCGCAGTCTCTCAAGCCCTACGCCCGCAGCCTTTCGCATGAGTTGAAAACACCTATGCAGGGAGTTGTAGGCATGTTGGATATAATGTACTCCACCGTCCTCGATGCCATCGCGAGCCAACAGAATGGCAGAGCCCGTGATGTCTTCAAAGACCTCAAGAGCCATATTGAGGTAGTCCAAGGTATGCTTCACTGTTGTTCATATCCAACCCCAGCTCGCGAACTAACAACTATCTGCAGACAGTTCTAGAAGAGCTGTTGAAGCCGCTGACAACGTTGTCCATGCGTACGATCTCAACATGCAGATGCCTGAAACCCCTTTGACCCCTAGTGACATGGATATGAGAAGAGGGTTAACGACGCCTGCCACAAGTTACTCTCGCCGGCAGACTCCCACAGAGGAAGCCGAACTACTCTTGTCGCCAATCTCCAAAAAGCGTGAGAGAACCGAGGAATGCTGTCATCCAGGCCCATCGCTGAAACGCATGTTCACGATGACCGAAGCCGAAATACTGCATACCTATTACCCCATGGAGATATCCAAGCCGATGAATGGAGCCACTATTGCCATTACAGAAACCCTTCCTTCCACCAAAGCTTGGTCGGAAACAGATTCGGAGAATTGCGAGCAGAAGCATAGCCCAACCGTTACTTCGGGTATCATGAGCCCAACTCATAGGCGGATAGCCACCCGGGACTTTATCAGAAGCCTTGTTAATGACGCACTGCGAAATGGCCACCCAACGAGTGAAACTCATAAAGAAACCAGCTTGGGCGAGATCATTGAGGTCAAAACCATAGGCTCTAGGGGTGAGGTCCAAGATAGGACGATATTTCTGGAAATTGAGTCAGATGTTCCTGAAGTCATCATAACTGAGGAGCAACATCTTCAATTTGCCCTTCAGAAATTGGTCGACAATGCTATCAAGTTCACTGAGCGTGGCAGGATTACGATTACTGTCAAGATCGGCAGAGGCTCGCAAGTTGTCGAAATTTGGGTTGTTGATACAGGGTGTGGTATTGCCGAAGAGTCGAAGTTGAATCTATTCAAGCCTCACTTCCAGGAAGACGCTTCCATCAGTCGATCAAGAGACGGTCTTGGCCTGAGCTTATTCAATGCCAAGGCACATGTGAGGAAGAATCTTGGCGGCGAAGTCACATTGGAACGGTCCGATACGGATGGACCTTTGAAGGGTTCAGAGTTCTTGATTCGCTTGCCGATTACGACCTTGGATATGAGCAATCTCGACGCAGCCTTGGTAGGAACGCCACCTCCAATATTCCTCCAGCGTCGACCTTCACCAGCCGTAGAGCCTTCTGTGGCCTCTGCCCCGATCTCTTTAGAGCATGCCCGTACTTCATCCGGTGTATCGTCTCTTCCGAAATCACCAAAGCCTGCGCCTCGCAAACGAGTGGCTTTCAATCCACAACTGGCCCAAGAATATCCTCTGAACATCCTCATCGCCGAGGATAATGCCATTAACCGCAACGTCGCCATTGGCTCACTCAACAAACTCGGTTACGGAAACAATAACATCACGGTTGCATTTGATGGCGTGGAAGCGGTCAACCACTACAAAGCTTCCTTGGCACTACCACCTGCGCAACGATTTGATGCTGTATTGATGGATATCTGGATGCCCAATATGGACGGCTATGAAGCAACGACGAAGATCATGGATATCGCGAAAGCCCATGGAGAGACGACGAAGATCATTGCGGTCACAGCAGACATCACAAGCGACTCCATCGACCGAGCCAAGGCCGCAGGCATGCAGGACTTCCTCGCGAAACCCTACAAAGTACTGGATATCGAGCATTTGATTGTCAGCAACTTCCCAAAATGATGGAGTTTAGAAGATGATAAGAGGCAATGTTTGTAATTTTGATTTTTCTTCTGTTGATTATGATTATGATTTGAGTGCAGCATTTTTAGCGAGCCCTTTGGGATGGAGTTCTTGGAGTACCTTGCTTTTTTGGGGGGGTGGTACTGGAGAGGCAAATAAGGAAAAGATTTGGTGGGCTGGAGTTGGGCTGCATGATTGGTGGCGAGCATCACTGGCGTTGATAGACGTTAAAAGGAGACAACAGTCCAGACATTTTTCGTTCCGAGACAAGAGGCGGAAAGTTGTATTTAGTAATTGTGGTAGAGAGACATGGTACGAAGCATCGCTACCGTAAAGTAATCAGATATCTTCAAACAAACCTTTGCTCTTGCAGAGCGACGCGCACGCAAGGTTATGAGCAGGTGCCGGGAGCTCCCGTCTTGAAGCCTTTAGCGAGGCAGCGGGATATATATACTTGAGTAAGTGAATAATTCCTTAACATCAAGCTGTCGAGGCCTCCTTAACTTTCTCTTCAACTCTTGATTCGTCGTCACTAACATCTCGCTGAACAGAAAGACAGTGAGCGTGCCACAAAGTGGTCGCTCGCTTGAACCAGATAATGGGTGCGTCGCAACGAATGCAACCACTCAGTTGAACCAACAGAGACTCGGTAGAGTAGCGTACTAAAGTACCACTCTTACCATGACAGAACAGAAAGACCAGATCAGAAGATCAAAGCTCTGCAAAGAGTAAACAAGTTTAGGAGTGGCTTGATGGTCAACGTCGGCTGCGAGATACAAACACAAACATCGAAAAAAAATCCAGAAAAAAAAAGAAATAGGTGGTTGAGATTGGGGAGTGTGGGAAAAGATCAGATGGTGAGTTTAGATTTCATTTCGAGGCCTCGACAGCCATAAAACAACTCTTTTTTGCATCTAGATTTCTTGAGATTGCTCTGGGTTATAAACGGATTTTGTCTGGGATCGGAAGGAGTCGTATATACTCAAATAATGTACAACTGTTGAGGCCTCCTTATATTTGTTTAACTCTTGCAATTCGTGTTTACTAACAGCTCTTAGACCAGCCAGAGGTTGATCTTCGGATCTTATCACCACAGCGACTGTGTACTCAATGAGACACAGAAATTAATCAGATTAAGCAGTTGAAGATGGCGCCCTCTCTTCTCTGCAACCACAGAATGTGTACTGAAGAGATTAATCAGATACCATTAAGAATTCCCACTTCTGCAGGGTGCGGGATACCAACACCAGAAAAAGTGAGTTCAAATTTCACTTCGAGGCCTCGATAGGTAAACACAAACCCATATATTTTTTTGCATTTTTTTTAGGCCTTAGACTTAGCCGAAGCGAGGGGCTATAAATTCTATATGATCAATTTTCAATCTACTTCGCAAAGTGATTCAGGTTTAAAGTGGATCTCAAAGGGAACCAGGGGGCAGTCACATGATGCGGGGTACCTAGCGCCAAACACCCCTGTCGGTTGCTGAGCTGCACGCGCCAAAGTAGACCACAGTCCCTCGAACTCCTCTTCTTTGTCCGCTTCCACTCCTTCACAACACACCTCCACCACGAACTATGTGACAGAAACCGCTCAAGATGCGCTATACCAGCATCATCACCACATTCATCACCTTCTACACCTCCCTCGGCGCTTCCCACCCCTCTCAAACTCCACTCGGCACCGCCGAACATGGAGTGGGCCGCAACGCCAACATCTCCATCCCCCTCTTCGCCGAGCTCGAAGAGCTCTCCCGCATCGTCGACATCTCCTACTGCGTGGGCACGACCGGGATCTCGCCACCCTTCCAATGCGCCTCCCGCTGCGACGAGTTCCCCTCCTTCGAGCTAGTCGACACCTTCAACACCGGGCCCTTGATGAGCGATAGCTGCGGCTACATTGCTCTAGATCACAGCACACGACGCTTAGGGAGGGGCAGGATTATAGTGGCGTTTAGAGGGACGTATAGTATTGCGAATACGATCGTGGATTTGAGTACGGTGCCGCAGGAGTATGTACCGTATCCTGATAATCCGGATGAGGAAGAGGATCCGGGACAGGGACGGCCGATCTCGAGTCCGAGGGAGGATAGAGGGAGGAGGAGGAAGTTTTGGCATTTGCCGGGGTGGCTTAGGCATCAATCTGTTGAGGAGGAGAAACGGGAGGAAGTGAAGTGTTTGAATTGTACGGTTCATTCTGGCTTTTGGACCAGCTGGCAGAACACGAGGCCGTTCATTCTACCGCACCTGAAGTCATTGAAGGAGAAATATCCGAAGTATCGGGTTGATCTCGTTGGGCATTCGCTCGGAGGAGCGGTCGCTGCGTTGGCTGGACTGGAGTTCAATGCCCTTGGATGGAAGCCTGTCGTAACGACCTTTGGAGAGCCGCGAGTCGGGAATTCGGGGTTGAGAAATTATATCGACAGAGTCTTTGACCTGCCTTCGGAACACTTTCCAAGCCAAGGAATGGTTCCTCTTCACAGTGGGAGATACAGACGCATCACCCACGTGGATGATCCCGTCCCTCTCCTCCCTCTGCAAGAATGGGGCTACCGAGCCCACGCCGGCGAAGTCTTCATCTCCAAAGGGCCCCTCCAACCCACGATCCACGACATTCGTCTCTGCTACGGCGACGAAGATGTAAACTGCATCGCCGCCGCCGAGGTCGACGAATCGTGGTTCCACTCCGCCGACGACGCAATGGAGATCTACAACACGTTGCAAACAGATCCTGCGTTCGAAGCGAAGCAGGAACTGGTAGGGGTGCAGAAGCGGTGGGGTCTGCCGATTCCGGCACGGTATAAGATCTGGCAGCTGTTCTTTGCGCATAGGGATTATTTCTGGAGGTTGGGACTTTGTGTTCCAGGGGGTGACCCGTTAGATAGGGGGAGAGATCGTTATGATTTTGGGGACGGGCAGGGAATGGAGGAGAGGAAGGAGTTATGAGGTAATGAAGTCGAACACGAAACTGGGTATTGATTTTTGGAGCGGGCGTTTTGGGTCATTGAACCCAGCAACATTGCATACAAAATAGTCATTCAGACCACAAGGTCTGGTAATGTTGTTAATATTTGATTATTCGCAACACAGCAGTTCTCCAGCATCACTTCCCGCCCGTCTTTTTATCTGCTTACGCAATGGAATTTTATTCTTATTTCTATGCTGCCAGTGGACCGCCTCCGTGGATAAGAGCAGCGGCACTGACCAGACATTTATCTGCAGTTTGAGAAGATAGGACTTGGACATTGGTGAACGTCCGAGATATTAAATATGCGAGAACTTGAGCGAACATTCGGAGAGAAAGTAATAGTCAGTCCGTCCTCCTTTACTCGCTTTACTTATAGTCGGGGAAACTAAGTGTCCCGCGAAAGCAAGTGTCCCAGCGAGATTTAAAAGAAGAATAACCAAGTACCCTTCACTAAATATCTTTTAAGACTTAGTACAATTACTATTTATATAATATTTTATATGCTTATTAACTTATTATTAATTTTTTTAAAGAATACATAGCTTAAAAGTTAAATATTTCTTAATTTTTGCGATTATTGCGATTATTGCGACTTTTGCGAAAGGGGCCTGCGCGTAATTCTTAGCGAGAAAGGAACACGAAAATATAACTCGACTTTAAATATATATATAAGGCTTATTAATATTAATAAAACACTATAGGTTATATAATCTATAAAAAAAAATTTACTTATGACGTTTAAATAAGCCTATATATATCAAATTCTGATTATTATAAGCTAAGTTATAAGGCGTTTTAGGTAAAAAAGACTCCTCTCAATGGGACACTTGCTTTCGCGGGACACTTGGTTTCCCCGATTGTGAGCGAAGCGAGCAAAGGAGGACGAACCGACTATTAGTGGACTTGGCACCTTTAGTGTCGAGGGATGCAGGAGCGGCAAGGGCTCTTGCCTCATTGGACAAGAAGTTGCCAGGCGGTTCCTGGCGAGGCTGCATTCATGAGACCCCACGAAAGGCTCGACCTCAGCGCAACCTACACCTGCATTCTTTCATCCACAGAACACGGAGTATCGCATCCCTCCCTTCCTCTCATCGTGCGCTATATTACTTAAGCCTGGAGATCATGAAGGCTTTTAGAGAACGTGTTCTTGGGGGGAAAAGCCCCAAGGACGGCCAGGCTTCAAACGTCCCGCTCTTTCTTAGCCAGCGCCTGCCCAGAGACAAGCAGTATGAACCTGTCCTATCAGACTCGAGGACTACGGTCACCGAGGATTCCCTCTACCGACCTCTTGACTTCGATTCCTTTGAAATACGGCTCTTGAAATTCAAGAGGGTGGAGCCACGCCCGCTGGGTTTTAAGCCACGGCTCACCTGCTCGTTGGAATATGCATCCTTGATTAACCCGCCAGACTACATCGCCCTCTCATATTGCTGGGGCAATGCCACCAAGACGAAAAAGATCACTATTAACAACTACAAAAGTGCTCGGTCGACCCAGGCCACCCTGAATCTATATGAGGCCCTCGACAACGTATTACTTATGAATCATAATCGGCGAACAGGAACCCATGAATACGAAGATCATAGCGTATTGGTGTGGGTTGATGCGCTGTGCATCAACCAGGAGGATCCGGTGGAAAGGAGTCAGCAAGTGAGACAAATGAGGCAGATTTACTCAAGAGCAAGTGAGGTTATTTCTTGGATCCCGTGCGGCTCAGAGCAGGCCGTGGATTACTTGGTGAGGAATCGATTTCAGGGCGAGGGAATTGAGACGGAGGTTCAACTTCCGTCGAGGAAACGGACAAACAGCGTACCCGTAAATGGGAGTAACACAGAGAACGACGATATGCTTCTCAAAGATAAAACCCGCAAGGAATGGGTGAATCAGGGATGGGACATCATGGAGGACTTCTTTATCCAGGCCTACTGGAGGCGAGTCTGGGTTATTCAAGAGGTGGCCGTGGCCACGAAGGTCAAGGTACTCTGCGGAAGTTATGAGATCCCTTGGGAAGATGTGGCTGCCGTCCTAGCGATGTGGAAGAAGAACCCGGATATCGTGCCAATCGATAAACGGGCCTATCTCAAAGCTATGCATTTGGTGGAGTTCCGGGATCGCTTCCAAGTCAAGAGAGAGCCGATTAGTCTTCTCGATGCGATGCGTTGGAGCTACCAGACCGAGGCAACGGACCCAAGGGACAAGATCTTTGCGTTACTGGGACTCTGCCATGATGGGGCTACGTATGTTCCGGTGCCGAATTACAAGCAGCCGCTTGAGGAGATTATCGCGGACATGAGTAAATCGATGATGAGTTTCGACCGCTCGTTGGATCTTATGTGCCTCAAAGGCACTGCTCTTGAGGAGCAAAGCAATCTTCCCTCATGGACGCCAAATTGGGTTAATCTCTGGAGCGGATCCCTCCATTCTATGACGGTCCACGAGGCCAAATTCGCAGATTGGCGCACCACCTTCCCGTCCAATCCCGTACTCAACGGCTCCACAACCCAGATCCTCAAGGTCGAAGGCAAATTTTACGGTACTGTTGCGCACCTTGCCTCAAAAATGGCACAACCCGGCCCCAACGGCCAAATCACGCTCACTCCTGAGGCTCGTGCCCCCTGGATCTCGTGTACTTCGTCGTTAGTCAGGAACGACACTTCGCTGAGTGTCCTTCAGCCGGGCGACATCGAGATCCGAGATTCCATCTGGATGACCCTGACAATGGGCCTCCTTCCACCGGAGATTAGCAGAAGTGCAGCAGCAGTTTGTTTCTCCCAGCTCTGGACACCGGAAGGCAGAGGCAGAGCACATGCTTATGCGCTTATCGAATGGATTGACCGAAATTCCCGGTTTGAAGTCTGGGCGCGATCTTTGCGAGACTGGGGGATGGTGAGGTCACCCGCGGAGATTTCGCTACTGCCTGCAGCTGTAACATCTAGTGAAATTGACTGGAAGAGTCTTGGTACTTTCATCGACACAATCGAGAAGGTCTTAGGGAGTGGGATGCGCTTGGTTTTTATTCACGGTGTGAAAAGCTTCGCCGTTGTTATGGTACCTTCAAGCGCGAGGAGAAATGATCAGATGTGGTTTATCCGGGGGTGTAGCGTGCCTGTGTTGCTGAGAGAAGTGGAAAATGTGGCTGTAAAGGCGCAGTATAAGGTCATTGGCGGCGTGTATGTGACTGAACGTTGGAGGGAATTTATTGAGTATGAGATTGAATGGCCGGAGAGCGAGCAGGATGAACAGTTGGGGCTTGAAGGGGATTTGAAGATCTTGAATCTATGCTAAATTATATCCAGCGAGATGTGGCACACCTACTTATAGATTGAAGTTTCAATTCGAATACAAGTACACTCGAGAGATAGTGGGACATCATCCACACAGCAGCTACCCAAGAAATTTCTATTCACATGCTGCCCTTTTAAAAATCGAATATGCCCCAAACTTACAGGGCATTTGAAAAGACAATGACGTGAAATGCAAATTCTCAGTCTTCATTGTTCTTTTTGAAAGGCTGCAAATCATCAAGGAACCCCTATCCCCCTCGCCAAGACCTCGCTTCAGTCTTACCCCGCCAAAAGCTCCACCTGCGGATAATTCCAGCCTTGCCCCACTTCAACCTCTTCCTCACATCTGCCTTCCTGATCTATCAGATTTCAATCGAACATGTCGACAACACCGCTTCCTCCTCTAATATTATTAGACGGCGGTCTAGGCACCACGCTAGCGGACCGCTATAATTGCATCTTCGACCACAGCACACCTCTGTGGTCTTCCCATCTTCTACTGAGCGGGGAAGGAAGCGAGACGCTACGGGATGTGCAAGGTGCTTTTGCGGAGAAGGGCGCCGATGTCGTTCTCTCTGCAACCTACCAGGCGAGCTTTGAGGGGTGTAGAGCGAGTGGGGTTGGGGACGAAAGGGAAGCCGGGGTGTGCATGAGGAGGGGCATGGAGATTGCACGTGTTGCTGCTGAGAAAAGAGAGGGCGGTGGGAAGGTAGCACTCAGTCTCGGAGCCTACGGAGCGACGATGGTGCCGGGGCAGGAGTATAGCGGAGCTTATGACGCTGAACACAGTTCTGTTGAACAGCTGAGGGAGTGGCATTTTCGGAGGTTGGAAGCTTTTATGCCTGGTGGCGAAGATGAGGTGGAGAAGAAGGAGAGGAGGGCGTGTTGGGATAGTGTTGATTATGTGGCTTTTGAGACTTTACCGAGGGTTGATGAAGTGCTTGCCGTTAGGCAGGTTATGGAGAAGGTGAGTAGAATTGTTGGAGGGGAGAAAGTGGTTGAGTTTTGGATAGCTTGCGTATTTCCCGGTGAAGGCAATGATCTGCCTGATGGCAGTTCAATTAAGCAGGTTGTTGGAGCTATGCTTGGAAAGGGAAAAGGGGCGAGACCGATGGGGGTGGGAATTAATTGTACGAGGGTGGGGAAGGTGGAGGGGCTTGTAGTGGAGTTTGAGAGGGAGATTGGGGAGTTGATTGAGAGGGAGGGCGGAGAGTGGCCGAGTTTGGTGGTTTATCCGGATGGGACGAGGGGCGAGGTTTATGATACTACTACGAAGGAGTGGGTGAAGAGGGGAGGCGCTGAGGAGAGCTTGGTGAGTTTTCCCTTTGTTGAGGTGAGAGTGTCTTGGAGTCGATGCTAACTATGGACAGATTCCTTGGGATGAAGAAACCTTCGGAATAGTGAGTAGATGCCAAGAAAGAAGACTATGGAAATCGATATTTGTTGGGGGCTGCTGTAAGACTACGCCAGATGATATTGGAAAACTACGGAAACGAATTGACGAGTTGTAATTCCTGGTTTATCAGCAAGATGTACTCTTTCCTATTGGACAACGAGAGCAACGATTGCTCCAGATGAGATGAACATTGTGTCTGAAGAATTGTGGGCACAGCATTGCTTGATTGGGCAATATAAGATACAGCAACTCCGAGACATGTGGAAGGAGAATGCCGAATGTCCATTAATCGCTGAGTCATTGAAAGGGAACGACAGATATTTTCTTATTTTGATTTATAAAGGTGTGTCGGTGCCTTCTCCTTTGCCCCTTCCTTCTTTGGTTTGCTGCTTTGTTTGTGAGGAAGACGGAAGGAGTTGTTCTGGAAGCCGGTCATGGATGGTTCTTGTTGTTTTTGGAAAGAGGGTCACTTATCGCTCCTCGCTTGTTCCACCGGAAAATGTAAAAATGACACCCCCCCGAGTGTCGATTAGGCGTATCAATGGATTTTAGAGTTTTAATAATGCCTAGTTAGTTGCTTATGCTTACTTAAGCCTCTCTCTCGAATCAGATTTCTTAATATAGGTATAAGGAGGTTTGTATATAAGAGCACTAAATACATCGCTTCTACCTTCGTGTCGCCTTACTAGTTCTTGACTTTAGGACTAAGGGAAAATTCAACTTAATAGATATAAAATCAAAACATTTGGCCTTGAAACTCATGAGAATGAGGTATCCTAATATAGCCAGGTGCTAAACTAGATGCCGCCTCACAAGGCGTCTCAGTCGCTCTGCGCAAACCACGGATGCTCCAGTGCCTCGCGCGCTGTGATCCTCCTCGCCGGATCCAAATTTGTCATCCTGCAAACAAGGTCACGGAACTGCGCGTTCACAAAATACCACCTCTCGAACGGCTTTCGAGGATTCGCCGAGTCGAAGCTCCCCGCGATATTAACAAGGCGTTCGAAGAATGGGCTCTTCTCGCCGACCCATTGTAGCAAGCCCTTAAAGCCTTCTTCTTCGCCAAAGAAAGATATCTGTCGTCGAAGAACGTACCGCCACGAGTCGCTCGCGGCCAACTCCTCATCGCTGGCGCGAAGAACCATGTCATTCAGCATCACGTAAATACACTAGACAATGTATAAGCTTACAAATGGAGGTGCAAACCGAGAGGCTGGCACATATACCACAATTCCAAAGGAGAAGATGTCTGATGGAGTCCCTTGGGCTGCTCGGGCCCAGGACTCAGGGCTCCTCCACATCTGGTTACCGCACAGCGCTTCCCTCAAGTATTTTCCAGGGGGAAGAACAACCGCATCCTCCAGGTCCGATATCTGGACCCTCTTGATAGAGAATGTGCCATCCGTCTGCTCATAGGCCAAGAGAATATTATTTGGTTTTATATCTGTTGCTTTCGGTTAGCGCGTGCCTGTGATTGATGAAGCTCGATCGTGAAATATAGCTACGGTTTAACAAAGGAGAGATATAGGGATATGCTAAGCCTACCAGTATGAATGATGTTTCTCTCATGAAGGGTAGCTAGGCCAACAAGAGCACTCTTGAGCATGCTTCTCCTCGTTGCCTCGGTCAAGTTCTTCTGACTAAACTGAAGAAAATCGGTTTCCAAAAATGGGTAGATAAACAACTCAGGGCTCGGGAGGCCATCATATTGGAAAGTGATCGATTTATTGATGGAAAATCGATATATTGGAGGTTGACAATCTGTAGAATGACTGGATACAGGAGAGTGAAGTGTAAAAACAGAGGAAAAGTGTCTAAAGTAAGGGATTTATTCCCATTACCCTTCGGCGATACCGGTGATGCCGAGCCCGCTTTCTCCGATACATTATCAATCAGCTGATAAATCAAAAGTAATCAAAATGACGATATACTAGTAAGCTTGGTAAGCTCAGCGAGTGACGCATGACAAATGAGAGTGGAGAACCCTAAATTAGTGGTTGAACCTGGTGCTGGAAGGACTGGTGAGCTAGCTATGGTAGCGTACCAATTTCAACACATCAACCACGGTCCGCAAGTTAGGACACGAGGCCAAGGGCTTCTGCAGATCTTGTTGATACTTGTATTCGCCTGTTATCATATTTTTGACAATGAAGTTCTGTCTGTCGGCGCTTCTTATTATTAGCGCTGCATCACTGCTACTAGGTATGGAATTCGGATCATACCTGGCACGGTAGACGCATAATAAAGGTACCCGCTGTTCAGCAAGCACCTCCTGAATGGTATACGTTCACCCCGACTAGCCACAGAGCGTTGCCCCTGGTGTAAGAGGCTCGTTGGCCATTTGCAACGCCCGTAAAGTTGTAGTTCGACGTGAAGATGAAAGAGGATGTTGCGGCGGCCGGTTGCCCAAGATCAGAGTGGTTAATGGGGAAATGCGTGCAATCGTTAGACGTCTGCAGAAAGCAGTAACAGTCGCAAGATATAGTGCCATCCTATGCCCCGCCTGTCGAGCGCTGATATACTGCCTTATACCATTCTTCTCGAACAGGACCTGTCTTGCTAGAAAAGCGGCACATAAAAGTTGAAAGATGGAGGCCTTTGCGCCTAGCGTTTTGCTTTGAACATAGGCATTGTCACAATCACGCTGGACTAAGCGAGAACACACGCAGGGAATAGCATTACCACGTGGGTGAACGGGCCAAAAGGCACAAGATTAAGGTTGGAGCCTTATTAGCTATTCTACTACATAAGAGCACGGTACAATCAAGCGCACGTGACCAGGGCACACGTGACCACCTATAACACTTATTTTCGGATTTTAATTACTAAGTAAGAAAACTAGTAAAGTTAAGCTATTTATTATCTTTTTATGACTAATTAGTTTTTTCAATTTTTAAATAGCCTTTTTATCTAATATAAAGAATTTAGTAAGGCTAAATAAGCAAAATAAGGTTACTATATAATAATTAGTAAGTAATAAATATCCGGAGAATAAGAGACAAAGTAATTATATGCAAGCAAGCAATAGCATCGGATGCTGAACATTTGCAGGCGACAATTGGGTATGAATCACGTGCGTACGGAGGTAGCGATAAATGATCCAGATCAACATATTGTTTGCTCGAACTTCGTCATAGCGTTCGGCTTGATCCACTTGTGAGACTCAGTCAATTTATTAACGTCCTATCTATGTCCGCAATGGCATCTGTGGTGTGACGAGTACGCAGCTTGACGGACTTCGTTCGACACAGCCCGCGTGTCTAGGCTGAACCATGCTCAGGGGCTGTCTCAGGAAGCCTATCACTGCTTCATCTGCTCAGTGATCTTCAAAGGGTCTTTGGTGATCGGCCAATAGACACGACATCTGATGATATGAAAGCCAAAAGTTTCTCTAGGCGAAATGCTTCACCGCCGCTCCCTGAGAGGGTTTGCTTTTCATGAGACCAGGCACGACACCGCAGACAGGCTCGTCAACAAAATCCGGGCTTACATCAGCAGAAGCGAAAGTCGAAATGCAGAAGTATCTCAACAACTAGGCGGGATTACTCGAGCCACTCAACGCCAGGCGGGTCGTTAAAAGCTGCAGGTGTGGAAGACAGCAAGAAGGATGATCCAGTAGGAACAGGGATATCCCACAACACACCGGAGGGTGTCCGCACTGGCACACTTGAATGCGAAGGATCTTACGTTGTGTGGGGTTGTCCGACGTGCAAGCGGTTCGCCGTGCTGACGGGAGGCCGCAGGAGGGGTCGAATGAGGCCGCTGGCGTCGGCAGTGAGGATCGAGGAGCTCGTCTCCTACTCCCTCCTTCTTGCCTCCTGCCGCCTTCCCATGCAGTCCCAAGACTCTCAATGGCATGATTTAGCCTTCTCTCGTCTGGAGGTCGGCTGTGGCTTCCGGCGTTTCCAATCGAACAGACGCCGGGCCCCCTTTCCACGTTGAGCAGATGAAGCTTGCGGTGTGGTGCGATGCGGTTCGTTGCTCTCATTGTGGTGCTATCGCTGCTTCAGGGCTGGTGTGCTTTTACCCCACACTTGACTTGGCGCTGCTGAGCAGTCGTGTCTAGTTTTCATGAGCCAGCCTCCCTGTCGCAGCCCACTGAGAATGACGCAGGCGCTCGGTACGTATCCAATTGGATGCTGAGACTCTTGCCTGCCCCACTTATAAATTGATCAAGGCTGCTGATTGGTTATTCCCCTGTCGACCCCCAGCAAAGGAAACCTTATTTAGTACTCAATCGACTCGCTCCCCTTCCTTCCACCCCTCTCTTCTACACAACCCATCCATTCCACGCTCCCTCACATCCATCTTCAAATTCCTCACACACGAACGATCCTCTCTCTACCTCGTTTCGAATCTTCGAACGAAACCGCAATTCGAGTTGCGATCCATTCCACGGTGATAAGGTTGTGTCCGGCCGAAGACGACAAGACAAAGGTTCCGCGTAGACGATATCGCCGAGCGAGCAATACCTTGAGCCAACAAAGCACGACCCCGACAAAGCGACACCAGTCACAAGCCCGAAGCTGAAGAGAGCAGCAAGGGTCATTGAACGAATCTCTCCCATACAACAACCCTCGTCTTCAGATCATATATCGAAATAACCCTCCCAGCCTTCGAACGAAACCACATCGTGCAATGTCGGGCAATAGCGATAACAGCCCTCTCAACGAGTCCGCGAAGCCCCGCCGTGGCTCATTCACAACCCAAACCTTCAACAACATCTTCGGTCGATCCAATAGCACGTCCGGTGCTCCGACAGCTCCCTTCCCAGGCCCGATCACGACAGCCGCAGCACAAGACCAACGTCGACGCATGTCGATTTCCACCCTCGGCTTATCCGGCACATCTCCTACCCAGTCAACACCCTTCACTTTTGGTGGTCGCCGAGGCAGTGTCTCTACTGCAGGCTCCGATTCCTTCGATGAAAATGCGATCGATGATGACGACGGTCCCGCTCGCAGCAATCCCACCACGCCATTCGCACGCCGCATGTCATTCGGTGGACAAGCTCTCCGATCTGCGAGAGGCTCTGGTAGCCCAGGCACAACTGGTAGAGCTCCCTCTTATACAACTGCACCTCTTCCCACAATTCCTGCCGGGCCGCGAAGTTCTCGCTCTGGCTCTGGCTCTAAAGGCGGAGCTGTGACTCCTCCAAATCATGGAAAACAGGCAAGCACGCAATCAAAGCCCAGAACTGCTTCTGACTATCCCGTTTCCGCTCGTCCAGGTGAAGGCGGTGGCTTCAACTGGTCTGAGCAGCTTAGATCCCGTGCCGAGAGCTCCGTGTCGCAGTCTCAGCGCCCTTCTTTCCCAACCTCCCCGTCCTCTGCAAAGACCACACAAATGCCGATGCATGAGAGAGCCAAGAGCGTCAGCGAGATGCCTGCTCCTCCGATCGCCGTCCCGGCACCAACACCACCGCGTCCGGAGCGGAAGAAGCCCGATGCGTTCCAGGAGCGGATCTTGAAGGGAGACTTCTACATGGACTGAACGATGGACAGTATGGCTTTTCTTTCGATGTTTGATTAAGCCTGCTTGTGTCCATTGCTGCTTTTGATGAGTTTGGCGTTGATGGCGTTTATAAAGTGATGAAGGCAGAGCGCCTCTCACGCAAGAGCTTGACAGCGGGTGTCACTCTAAGTTTGGCTGGATTTGCTGCGACAGTCGATGGGTTTACAGAAGTGTACGCTGGCGTTTCTTCTTGTCGTTGGTAAAAAATTATTCGAGAAACGAAATACCGGCACTCTGCTTTTCAGCCGATGAGCTTATGATGAATGATGAGTTTTCTTTTCAATGTTAATGGATGACTTCCATCCTTTATGATAGGCGATAGGTTTGTGGGAATGGAAATGGAAATAGGAAAATATGCCACAAAATGTAGCTTTAGTTTAGCTTAACATGCTTTTCCGGCTGACTCAAGTCCAAGTACTCTGTTTTTGTGGTTCATACTTTGTGAGGACTCGAAAGATGGTTTTAGCTACGTTTGCAGCCTTGCTTCTTGCCTTATATTGGCAAATCAGTCAAGCAAATGCCGAGCTGGCTGATCTTGCCATGATTGACGCCAAGCGATGGTTGAATGTCCATGGAGGCTCATCAGTCTCCATCATTCTTCGAATCTAGCTTAGTAATAGGCTCTTAAGTTATGGTTACTAAGCTAATGCATCCCATATAACTGCTGTACTGTCTTTCCTATCCAGCAACTTGAAATTTGGTTTGTACCAAGTGAGGAAGATTGTTTTAGTCAAACTTCTAAACCCTTTGAAGAGCTCACTTCCTACAAAGACCGAGCGGGCTCACTCCTCTTGATGTCTAGAATTTCTTTTCTGTGAGTCCATGTTACGAATACCTTAGATTATAGTGGCAATAATTCTGCTGGTTAAAGATGTTCGATGCCACTTCGGTCTCGAGATTCCTCCCTCCCTCCTTCAACACCACCTTTGTCTAAGAGGTAACAGGTATGCTATCACTCCGTCTTTAACGCTTGTGTCTTTGAAGGTAGTATTCTATGCAGAGCATTGAGAAGCTGGCACGATCTCGCATCAAACTCTAGTTACCCTCGCCAACCAATTCCTCAATGGAGGCCGGCAGGAGCTCACCCAGCAAGTGGCCATACAACAGGAGAACATCGAGTACCTCGCCAGCGAACTAAACGCCAAAATGGATATACCAACCTTCTTGTAGGTATCCACCAATGTCTGCCTATTATCTCTCCTGACTTACCAGGTCTAGTTCCCCTAACGAACTCGTCACCATCCTCGTCGGCCCAAGCAAAGAAGCCCCTCATCACACGCGCCGAGTTCGATTCTCTCCTCGGTCAACAAGGCTCCCGCATCTACACCGCCGCCGATTGCCCTATGCTTGCGAAAATTAATAAATGCTTTCTGCACCTCGGTCACGTCTGGATCATCGGGGACTATCTATAACTCTCCTGTTTCCAGAACCGGGCTGTCGACGGAATGAATGAGATTTGTGCGCAAATTCTCCAGCCTTGTCCTACTACACCAAAACGAAGTGCTAAACGAAAATAGTTCAAGCCGACGCCACAATCTATCAAATGCGGACATTCAGGTGAGGAATCAATGAACAACACCCTTATTGCGGCTTTTGTGCTTCTTTAGGATTAGAATGATTGCATTGAGAATTATGAGCCATGAAGATGGACAAGGCTCCTAGTCCTCCATGGCCTCTGAATAGGAGGAGTAATTTCGAATTTTTATGTTGCGTCCGAAAACCGCGTCTTTTACACGACTCTGTCCATAGAAACTGGGCGTGTGGCTTGAGCTTCTTGTAGATCCCCAGTTTCGACGTCGGCTCCGTGTCTCGGTGTCGCTCGGTGAGATAAAGGAGGCGAGTGGAGGTTGCTTACTTCTTTTCGACGGACCCCGGAATTTTATTTTCATTCTGCGTTCTTGTTTCCTGGACATCTAATCGTCTTAGTACGACAAAGTCCCCTCGTTTTCGCGCCTTTCGGGTTTATAGAGTTTTGTTGTCAGGTGTGGTTTATCTGAACTGGCACAGCAATTCGAAGCCCGCCATGTCTTCAACATCCTCTTCAGATGTCGAGTCAGGTGAGACCCTGACGGATACTGAAAGAGAAGCTGGCGCAGCAGTTCCCTCGATTGACGGAGTAGACGAGTCTGCCAATATTCCGCGTAGAAAACTTCGCCAAAGACTTCATGACTGGGTTGACGAAACCATCGATGGATTCAAGGAACACGATCGAAGTCGACAAGAGGCAGCTTACGGCGCTACTGGGGAGCCTCCCCTGCGCAAGAATCTGAAGACCATTCAAATGCAATTCATTGCGTTCGGCGGGGCTATTGGTATGAGAGGCCTCCCAAAGAAAATATCATTGCAGAAACCCAGTGCTAATGAGTCTACTTAGGCACCGGTCTGTTTGTTGGATGTGGCCAAGCTTTGGCAGCCGGCGGGCCTGGATCACTGTTACTCGGCTTTTTAATCATCGGGCTCGACTTGCTCTGCACGATATACTCGTTGGCGGAGATGACCTTGGTCTTACCTATATCAGGAGCTTTCGTCGTTCATGCTACTCGATTTATCAACAAACCGTGGGGTTTTGCCATGGGCTGGAACTATGCCATGCAGTGGCTCATTATTCTACCCCTAGAGCTTGTGGCTCTCACGATTGTGTTCAAATACTGGCATGCGGTCGATAAGGTTCCTTCTGCAGGCCTGGCTCTGATATTCTGGCTGGTTATAATTATCATCAATTTGTTTGGTGTCAGAGGATATGGAGAAGCCGAGATGCTCTTTGCGATCCTCAAGATCATAGCGGTGGTCGGGTTCTTCGTATTGGGAGTGGCTATTGATCTAGGCGCAGGCAAGAGAGGCACTTACATCGGGGGAATGTACTGGCACGATCCTGGCGCCTTCACAGGTGGTTGGTGTGGCTTTTTCACCGTGTTGGTCATTGCCGCGTTTACGTTCTCCGGCACCGAAATGTTGTGTCTCGCGGCGGGTGAGCATCCAGAGCCTATTGAGGTACTTCCAAAGGCTGTCAAGCAAGTTTTCTGGCGCATCTTCCTGGTAAGATACAACCTATTTGATGTCTTCTTGAATCTAATCCTTCTAGTTCTACGCCTTATCTATCATCACTGTTTGTCTCGTTGTGCCTTGTAAGGACCCTCGATTGATCGAGCACTCAGGAGATGCTAACGCTGGAGCATCTCCTTTCGTTATCGCTATAAAGAATTCCGGAGTCCCAGTGCTTGACTCAATACTCAATACAGTAATCTTGATCACGGCGCTATCAGTGGGAAATACATCTGTGTATGCGTCGACGAGAGTCCTGGTAGCTCTATCGGTGCAGCATCAAGCGCCGAAGGTTCTCTCCTACATTGACCGCAAAGGTCGACCACAGTTTGCTCTTCTGGTTGCATTTATTTTCGGGCTTCTTTCGATCTTGTCACAGCTTCGCGACAATAACGCTTTATTTACACGGCTTCTCGCGCTTTCGGGTCTCTCTTCAATTATTACGTGGGGCTCTATATGTCTCGCACACATCCGCTTCCGCAAAGCGTGCGATGCCCAGAAGTTGACGGAGCGCCTTCCGTACAAATCTCCATTCGGTATCTGGGGATCTTACATCGGGCTCTTGATAAATTGTGGAGTGATTGTTGGCCAATTCGCCCAGGTCATATTCGCAGTTGAATGGAGTCATGTCTCCACGCCCAGTCAAATGGAGCTCTCGTGGTCATATTTCGTGGCGATACCTCTTTTCGCGTTGTGCTATTGGTCATATGTGGTCTATGAACGGTGGAGTGGAGAGATGCTGACCATGGACTTGACAACTGGCACGAAGTTCTTGAGGCCTGGAGAAAGACGAAGACATCGTGTCGTAAAGGGAGCTTGGTGGAAGAAGGTATATGATGTATTGTGTTGAAACAAAAATTGGAATGAAGTATGTGAAAGAATTGCTTTAACCAATCTCTCCACTTCATGGCTTTCCATATATAGATTTCAATTGCTTTCAATTAACCAGAATCTCTGCTGCTTCAAACTCATTTCAGTAGGAAAATTTGCACAGACAAAGTGCGTCATTCGTTCGCAAAAAGTGACGATGACCCTGAAGAGAAAGTTGTAATAAAGATTGCTCAAAACTCAAATGATTATATCGCTAAAAGTGCCCAACGCTTGTGGAAATAGGTATAATGTCTGCGTGCGCTCTCACACCAATTCAAACTCCCCAAGAAGCCCAAAGAATCCTTCCATTTCTCCCAACGCTTTGACTCACCCTAGATGCCCAAAAACCCCGCAACCCAATTATTTCGGTATAATGACACAGAAGAAGTTACGTTTTAGGGCCTTTTATTCCGTGCCGCATCCTCCTGACGCCGCTCTCTCTGTTCATCCGCCTGCTTCTTTGCTTGCTCTGCTTTGGTGACTGCCTGCTGTCGTTTCCTTTCTTCGTCCTGGGCTTTTGCTGCTGCAGCTATTGTTAGCAAATAAACCCTGCGAGAGAGGAAGATGATATACCTTCTGATTGCTTTAAATGAAGTAGAACCTGGACGGGGCTAGCCAGCAACTTTTTCTCGATGATCGTCTCCTCTCCGAAAATGATGCAGTGCGGTAAGTTGTCCAAAACCAAGAACAGAGACGTCCCTGAGCATCTCCATTTCCAGGTCAAATGAACTACCCCAGTGCAGCAAATTGGTTCTCCATCCGCTCCAACTAGCTCATCAATATTCTTGGGTACCGGCTTGATAAGATCTTCCATACCCAAGACATCCTCCACATAGTGTCTTAAGACTAGGTTATACCAGCTGCCGGAGTCGAGTTGAACTTGATGAGTGTCCCATTTCTCAGGACTCTTTGTGCGGAACTGACCGATTTGGAAGGTTGGCTGGAACATGTTAGGCTACAAGAAGGTTAGTAAAGCGTGGTAGCATCAAAAAATAGGACCCGACTAACACTCTCATTGTCCCTCCGAGCACCATTCTCTGCAGTTGACTGTTGTGACCTTCGCCGTTTGGGTTGGAGTAGCTTCGAGAGCCTCCCGAGTATTGTCCATCTTTTCTTTATGTCTGTCTCACGAGCAGCCTCCTCTGCAGTCTCCTGAACGATAGGTAATTCTACATCCTGCGAACTAACTTCTGCCACGGAGGATAGCGACGAGGTTATGGAGTGGACGGGACTTGGTTTTGATGAGAGTCGTCTGCGAGGACGTTGAGCATCATCTTTCTCAAATGAATTTCGATCTTCGTCTGGCGATATCGATCTCCCAACATCGTTTGTGTATATAGTGGTGCCTTTATCCTCTATCTCATCGAAGTTGAACTCGAAGGGCTCTATCTCGGCAGTAGGTGGCAGCACTGGAGCAAGTTTAAGGACCTTAGGCTTGTAATGCTTCTTTTTCTTGACAGGGGTAGTCTTATAGACTTCGAAAGCTAGTCCGCTCATTGCGTCTTTATCGTGCTGTGGAATGTCGACCGGAGGGCGTGAAGACTTGCTGTACCAGTGACCTGGCCACGCGTCTCCGCTTACGAGTTAGTTGTGATACACACCAACCTCCCAACCCCCCGGGTTGGTGTTCCTCGCTAAATTTGTAGCACAGACCAGCGCAGACCAGCCAGCTAGAAGTACCTCCTACACAAATTACTATGCGAAATACTTGGCCAGGTCGCTTTCACGAACCACCAGTGGAAAGTGACTAGTGCAAGGTACGAACGGGTAATCTAGCAAGGCAGGCGGCCCAGCTGGCCTGTTGCAGGGGTTTTGGAAGGTTGTTTTCTTAGCGTAGCTGGCCTTTGATGCCTGAAAATCACTTGTTTCTACGTATCTGGCTAGTGCAACAGGCCAACAGGCCAAACAGGCTAGCTGGGAACGTTTCTGGAATGCTTCAAAGACACTTTACCAAATACAAATTCACTTCTGAAAGTTCTTGTTCTTAGTTACTCTTAATAAACTCGTAGAAAAGTTTCTAAAACGCTTCAGAAACGTTTTAGTAACGATATAGAAATATAATTCTTTCCATTATTAATATAGATAGGAAGGAACAGGGGGTATGCGAGAATAATTGATACCTTAAAAGTTGAAACTGGCCATGGCCTGTTTTCTACCCCTACAACAGGCCTGGTGGGGACAACAAGCAGGCCAGCTCAACTACATATTCTGCTAAGCACAAGCCAGGGACTTTCCCAGAATAAATGGGGTCGAGGCAACGCGAGCCGATGCACATTCAGGCAGGCATGGCACGGCTCGGGGAACGCTCTTGCAAGGCGTCGTGAGTCTCCGGATCACAAGATGCTACGTAGAGGCAGATGCTTATGCTGAGACACGGGCTCTGATTTGCCCCAGAACTGGGAAGGTTTGCTGTTTTCAAAGTCTTTTCCATGCTTACTGCTCCCAGTGGCCCCCTTGATGCAACTATAGAAACGGGGCATGTTGATGCCATAGATAGTGAAGATAAAGAAGCCTCGAATCTTCACAAAAAAATTGCCAAAGTCCCTCGAGCCGAGTGGCGAAACGAAATTCGGTATCGCCCAAATAGTTAAGATCCGTAGAGAAGTGTTCTATGCCATTGGAAATACCTTAGTAAAATACCAAATAATGCACCATGGCCCCCGCTCACCGCACACCAGCGGTAAAGTGGAATGATTGCTACGAAATATTGGTACCCCCAACAAATACCACCTGAACAGCAGCAAAGCTAGCATAGTGTCAGCAAAGTTGTACCTATGTCCATCTCGAAGTGATTATTACGCTGAAGTGGCAGAGAATATCTCGATCATTCTTGCTCTTGTCATGGTGACCAGCAGCAAAGAGAAAATAAATGTGAAGCACGCTACAAGACCCAACCGCAATCCCAGATTGGTGACCAGGTACAGCACCACGATGGATGTGAGAGGAAGTAAAGTTGCTACGGCTGTCCCAAGGACCATTGCGATTTTCAACAACTTATGATCCTTGTATTCCACGTACAAATTCTCAGAGTCAGATTTGTGTAATCGAGAGAAGTGGCGGTGCCACCAGACGATAAATCGATTTAGCACCCAATATGAGACTTGATCATCGGATTTCTGCCTCTTGAGCGCTGTAAGTTCAGATGAGGCGGAAATATCCCACACATCATTGTCTAGACCGGTGAGAGCACAGTTGCCCTGCTTTCCCCGCTGAAGCCATTGCTTCAAGAAATCCAAGTCTGTCGGGGCAGGCGACTGAGTCGATGCCATGAAGGTTTGCTGCATGAAAGCTTCATCTGTCGAGCCTCGTCAACACCACTCCTATCAAATGTTTTAGATGGATCATACTATACTCCCCAAGTTTCCTTCGAATATCTCGCATAATTGTCCACTGCATGCTCTCGCCCTTTTCCTCGGACCGCATCAAGGAATACCAATTTACAGCATATTCAAGTTTCTCGGCGTCGCCTGACGAATTGTCTTCCGCCACACATCTCTTTAATTCTGATTCAAGAGAGACTAATTCTGCCTGAAGATAGAGCAGGTTCTTCGCACCAAGTGACGAAAAGCGCCGAAAGATCCCAAGGGTTGGCTTCTCCCCCATGAGCGCAGCGAGTTTTTCGTAGCCATCCATTATCGCAAAACAGGAACACTGGAACAGATTCGAAATAGTACCGAAAATGAGAATTTCTAGAATGTTAGAAAATACCATCGAAGGCTCGGCGATCTGTTTAGATGTTGCAGCCTCGCCTGAGGTCCAGCCAACATGCGATATCGCTCCTCCGAAATCCAATCAGGCTGTGTTCAAGCACTCTAAACCGACCACTTGGGTTGACTGCGAGGCAGATTACCATTACAGATGATATCCCCCGATACTGGAAGTAATGCGGAATTCGTTGTTTTTTGCGTCCAGATGAAGCCTACTTCTGGTGCTTGCCTTACATAATCATGCGCTACTTCTCTGCAAAGTTCTATTACTGTTCGGCACGAGTCGTAAACCGAAAGTTACAAATAAATAAGGTGCTCCCTAACTAATTTCCGTGTAAATACTTAGCATCGATACCGAAGCTCCTCCAAATTTAATCCTTACTTGGTCTTGATGTACTGGGTATCTCGGGCAACAAACAAGAGCCAATAGAAGGAGCAGTAATTTTTGGTGGGGTGAATTGTGATTTAGCGTTTTGAGTTTTGCGTTTTGCGTTTCTCGCTTGGACGAGAGGTTCTTACGGCTTTCCATAAGCAAGGCTCTATGAAGAGAAATGTGGCTGCGACATAACCAACCAGCTGCGAGTATGGTGAGCCTCAACTCCCTTTCCACTAGATTCGTTCGTTCCAGCCTTCGACATTCTGAGCCACCTGCCCCCGTCATCCTTGATCAGCTTTCAATTGAATCCCCTACTCGACGTTTCTAAGATTTGTCCCGCTATGGATCCTGGAGTATTTTATCGAAGGGACCAAGCAGCGTTTTTCCGGGGTTGGGAGAACGCAGAGCACAGCCTTATTCCAGAAGCTCGTCCATGTTCCGCCACCGAGATCCTCCATTTTTCTGTAAGCCTATCGCGATCACGAGTTTTCGTTGCGCTGACAACTTGCAGAGACCCGAAAAGATTGGAGTCAAACACGAGGAGGTGACTGATGAGAACGCTGTCCAGTGGGCTAGCAGAAGCTTCGATTCTGAGATGGATGCCAGTGCTCGCATTCTGTAAGGAAAACATATCTCTCACTGAACTTGTCACTTTGTTCCTGCTCCGGGTTGGGGTCGTTACTGTGCTGATCCGCATGTAACCGCAGCTTGGCTCCAGCGAGAAGCAGTTCTTTAAATGAGGCTGGAAAATATGTCTTTCCCACCCCCGACACCCTACCACCCTTCAAGCCAGAGACTTTCAACCTGGTGGGCGATATACTAAAATTGCACCCCGGCGGATGTGTGAGAAATGCCCAGTTTTCCCAAGTCTCAAAGTTGGTTGCGTCTCAAGACATCACCTGTAAGTCCCGATCTTTCAACAGGCGCACGGCATTGTCTGATTAGGCCCTACCAGCCATATATATAGAGACCTTGTCGCATCGAGAATGTTGGATTAGACTGTTTGTTACTTTCAATTCTAGAAATTTTACAACGACAAGCTTACTCCTCCACCTCCTCCCAACGGAACGCGCTTTTATCGAGCAGAAACTCGGCGATGCAGCCTTGCAACCACTTATGCATCACCCATTGTTTACCCCAACTCTAGTGATGGAACTACTCTTCCAAGAAGCAAGCGAGTATCTTCATCTTGTATATTGCAACTCTGTCGGCCTGTATATTGCGGCAGAGTTGCACACCAACGAAGGATACCGACATCTCAAGAAGGAAGATCTAGATATGGAGGAAGCATCAGAAACTGCTTTGGGGCACGAGCAACATATCCTGATTCTATGCGAGAAGATCGAGTCAAACCTAAAGATAGGCACGAAGCTTCTGTCCTGGTTTGACGACTTGCCAACTGACAAGGCGTCTGCCGAGCAAAGAACACGCTTCGATTCAGCAGGCGTAATCATCCGAAACCGGTTGGAAAATTTGATTGATGGCTTTGAGTTCCAGCTGATCCGGCTGAAGAGAGTGCAAGGTCATGCACAGTATAATAGACTTGGGGTAGGCACCGTTAACACATCTTTCCAGGACCGCAAGACACTGTGGAGACTGACGGGTTGTAGTTACAAGTCAGAAATGCCACACTAGGCAATAAACTCAGTGCTCGAATTTCAGAGCAGAGTAGAGATATCGCCCACGAAAGCAGGCGCGACTCTTCTGCCATGAAGGCGATTGCTGTGCTTACGATGTTCTTCTTACCTGGGACGTTCTTCGCTGTAAGTCACTAGTCAAAACGAAGATAATAGCTAGCTTTAATTGAAGTGCATAGACGTTCTTTGCTATGCCGCTGTTTGAATGGAGTTCCCCGACGTCGCCATCGGAGGGTACGGGGAACGTCTGGATCTATTGGGCTGCTACAATCCCGGCCACTGTTCTAGTACTCGTGGCATGGAGGCTCTGGTATGTGTTTGATGAATGGAGGTGGAGTCGTGAGGGAAAGGGGACTGTTTATCAGGACTTCTGGGCCTGGGTTCGATCTTGAAAGGGGAAAAACTAAAACGACCCCCCGCCACCCCCTCCCCAGGGGGTGTTGATTGGGAGCAGGCTAGCCACTAACCCAAAGTAGAGGCACCCGGACAGGAACACTAAAACTCTGGCTTTTGCTTTATTTTAATTTGATTCTATAATAAATTAATATAATTAATTCTTATTTCATTTCATTATAGCACTAATTAAGGGATATTTAAATATGAACTTTTTATAAAATTTGAATTAGTTGTGACCACTAGTGTCACATGGTTGATACGGACGTGGTTTCAGCCAAAAGGGTTGGTTTCAGCTAAGGTTCCAAGCTATGGTTCAAACCAAGCTCGGATTCCAAAGCTCGGCGTTTCAGTGGTCTTGGCCATACCTACTTATCCACTGCCACACCTCACTCCATTCCCCCTTAGCTTTAGATCCTTAAGACATTGGAATCATTGATCTTTAAACCTCGTTCCATTGCTTTGTTCCTGCCGTCACATTAGTAATAGCTCCTTAAATTAAAGAAGTTAAAAGTTTTATATTTTATAGCCTAAAGATAAGCTTAAGAAAGCCTAGGAATTTAGTGAAAAGGTCCTTAAACCAGATATAAAAGTCTTATAAGCCTATAATTTATAGGGCCTTATAAGGCTCAAAAACTAAAACTTAATTAATTAGTATATAAACTCCCTAAAATTAAAATACTATTTTAAGGAATCTTTTTATTATAAGTTAGAAAGCTCGTAATTATAATACAAGGGTTATAATATACCAGCTTAGACTTATATTGAAAAATCTAATTTCAGATTTTCAAAGAGCTCAGGTAGCCAATTAAACACCCCTGCCCCAATCGACACCCCCTGGGGAGGGGGGGGTCGTTTTAGTTTTTCCCGCATTTCTTCGTCATAACAATCAATTCCTTGTTAACACAACTTCAACATGTACTCCCGCGATAAAACCGTCAACGCCGTCCTGAGATTCTATCAAACAGTTATCCGCCACCCATATCTAAACAACAGCACACTCATTGTACCGCCTGTAAACGGCTGGACCTCGATCAACATAGAAGGGAAAAACGGAACCGTCCTCGACTTACTTTGCCACCTCCCATACCTCCGCTCAGAGAATGCATTCGAAGAACTCATCATTTACTGGGAAAGCATTCCGGTCTGCTACTTGGACAACCAAGATAGGCTGCTATCATACCCCCTCCCGGCCCACTGCATCTACCTCGCCCGCGCCGAATCGTATCTAGGCACGTCTTTGATTCTCGACACTAACGAAGGCACCATAACTGAGTTCTATCACACGGGATCTCACATTACAGTACCTTACGAGGAATACGAGGCTCTACCTGAAGCAGAGAAATGGAAGGCCCACCGCATGAGACCCACCACAGAATTGTTGGACAATTGGACGCAGAGGTATGAGAAATTGGTGTGGATGTTAGTACCGAACCCGATTCGTCAGCCGGTAACAGGGAGGTTCTATAGTCGTGCTGTGTCCAGTGCTGAGGAGGAACTTCTTGTGCAGCAAGGGCAGTTGGAGCCGTGGCACGTTCAAGATGACAGCAGTAGTAATGATAATAGGGAGGAGAGTGAGGATGATAGGGAGCAACATAAGAGGGAGAGGAAGAGGAAGTATGTAGTGGTAGGTTTAGAAGTTCGACCCTCTTATATTGAGGTTGCGAAAGCTAATTTGATATACGCAGGATGTTTACAACATATATCTCTGCCACGGATGGCCAGATCACTTCGACAAGGAGCGATGTAAAACCGAATTGTTGGAGCTAGAGAAGAGGAAGGATGTGGATACGAAGCGGCAACTGGCTGAAGCGAACCCCGATGCAGCACTATTCGACTGAGAGATAGACATTTTTGTTCCTATTAGGACTAAGGGCTGATTAGAGGTCTCACTACCTCCCAAACGGAAAGGATTTATAGATTAGTATACAAATCCGTTCAAATAATTAATGGCAAGGCGTAAGAAGACGTATATTTCATATACCGTGTTTTAGTATTAGACATGAAGATATCAACGATCATTGTAACCGGGAATAGCGGATGATTTATTCATTTCAGGAACTGCTGTCAGACACTGTCTATCAGCGCGTTTATACCTGTCGCCCGTGGTTGCACAAGTATTCCATGAGCACCAGCGCCGCTCACAGCGGAAGCGCTGGCCACTGGGGTAGCGACCACCTCTATCGTCAACTGTGTCGTGGATGCTACCGCAGTCGATACCACCTGAGGGTATCCGGTCGCCTCGGGCTGCACAGCAACCGCTGTATCAATACCCAAAGTCCCCATCTCTTCATGGCAGTCAGCCGAACCACATCACAGAATACCCAACTCTTCCTGCAACTCGACATCCGTGATACATCGAGTAGTGTTTCCCTCGACGAACACCCAAGCATCGGGGTCCAAGGCGTGGGAGTTCCCATCGCGTTTTCTGAATCCTGGTTGGGCTACATGGTTACCAAGCACATCTGACGGAATGAGGCCCGGATAATTGGTCTTGGCATACCGCTGAGCATCTCGATTACCGCTATAATCTGCCACGAAAACTTCCCTCACTCAAGTCCGTTTCCGTCTTTGGACCGGAGCAGTCGCTGCTCTAACCTGAGCCGAGCCCTGAGCCCTGAGTATGCTAATGAGTCAACTGGATTCTGCTCAGGGGGGGGGGGGGTCCTCTTCTGGCTCCCTAGAGAATCGGTTATAGTTTCCATATTATCTATATATAGAATTTTGCAGATCCTTGACGGTGGCCGTTCCCGGTTTCCTGTCACATTTATCAAGGGTCCTTGTCGGAGCCGATTTGGGTCCCCTTTTTAACCAAAGGGGCCTCACTTAATGCCCCTCTCAACCTCTTCTCAACTCCCCTCATTTCCTGGTCAACCTTTTCCGGGTGTCTTATTGCCTCAAGTATAGCCAGCTTCCTTGAATTTATCGACTAAATAAGGACACATTTCTAGGTTTCAACTTGCGAAACAAGGGATCCATTCTAGCTCCCCTGTTGACCTTGGCACGGATTCCTGGGATGCCGAATGTGGATCCTGCTGCCGCTGCGCCTTACGTGAATAATAATGTAGCCTCTACGACGAGTTGTAGTGCTACAACCTTCACTATAACGGATTGTCGCACAATAACTCGTAGCATAACAACCCGTAACGCAACGGCTTGTAGCATAAAAATATAGAGCACGACAACTTGGAACATGACAGCTTGTAATAGTCCGTCTTCTTTTAGGCCAAGGGATTTGATCACACTAGGACCGGTCACTCTAGGCGGATGGTCACTCAGAATGAAAAATAACGAGCACTAGAATCATAGCCTGTACAGCACACTCTAGCCCAAAATGTGTCAATTTGAGTTCTTGGACTATGTTGAATTTTGTAAATCAACCCAGTCCAGTTTTTGGCCTAGGTACAATCCATTTGGTGTCTTACTGAGACTCTTCGATTCTTAGAGTCAGTCGTTCCCTTCTCCCGCAGAATCTTTGCTATATTTTGATGTTGATTGAGCACCGCTAATTCTAAAGCTGTCAGGCCCTCCTTGTCCGTCCAGTCCAGGTTAAGGCAAGTGCGGAGTACAAGTCTGAAAACTATCTCCTGATGTCCGTTGGCTGCGGCAACATGCATCAGTGTTCTCCTGTCGTCGTCTTGGAAATTCCAATTAGTTGTGAAGTCCGCGAGAATATCGAACGCCCTCGCATTGCCCGTCTGGCAAGCGTTGTAAAGATAGTTATGGACACTTAAACCCTTGGTCGCAGCTGTGACGAAACCTCTTCTTTGAGCCCGAACTAGAAGACCCCTAGCAATTTCGTAGTGATGGTTTTCAAGAGCTATGGATAGCGGACTCCTTCCTGCATGATCGGAAATCATAGGATCTGCAGACAATAGTGGTGGTTTCGGGCGAGGACGAGCACGAGCTGGGTGAGTGGATTGAGCCCAAGGATAATGAGGAAAGAAATCCACTTCGTCATAATCGGTACCATGGGCAGATGGTTCATTCTGAAATATATCTTCTGGATCTGCCCCATCTGCATCGTCGAACGAGCATCTCATTGTCGTGCTAATAAGAGTGTATGATAACACGCTACTGCCCATTTCCACCGCTTGGAAAAGAGGGGTCTGGCCAGTCTCATCACTAAAGTTTGGATCTGCTCCAAGCCTTAGGAGAATTTTGATTGCATGGTCTGCCTTGAATTTCAAGCACACAGCAAATTGTAATGGAGACCAATAACGAGTTCTTGATGACCCAGGGAAAGATTCGGCCCTTAAATGGATCATGCTTTGGAGATCTGCCGGAATCGGAATGAGACGATTGACCTGCTCTGGGGCTCGAATAATCGTTCTGAGAGACGCATCATCACCATGGATTAGAGATGCCAGAGTAGCACCGTCTAGCAACTGGTAGGTTGACTCTAGGGTCGTAAGAAAATCCCGGGTGACTTCTTTCAATTCCAACGAAGGCGTAGTATGTTGTTCCACATACAATCGATATGAATCCAAGCAAAAAGGTACCAGGACTGGCTGCCGAAATTCTATAAGAGCAACGTATCTCTTAAGGTCCGAAGATGCCCACCCAACACCAGTTCGGGATAAATTTGACGAAGTCCTGACCGCGTCAATTGTCAAGTTGAAGTAATCCAGATACCTTTTACACAATCTTCCAATCTCGATTTTGCTCGCCCATTCTTCTAGCTGGATCGCGGCTGGTTTGATCTTATGTAGCATATATTCCCGGGTAGTTTGATGGACGAATTGGACAACACCATGCCGCACCTCCAGAAGGTTTCCACATCTGCTTGCTATTCTTTTCCTCAATTCCTCAGCATTTCTAACTCTGTGTCGAGAAATTTGAGTCTCTGAAAGGTCAGAGTTGTCGCACAAGCTTACTGCGAGGATTTCGCGTATTTGTTCCACGTCTAGTGGCTGAGGTGAGTATGCAACCCATCTTAGAAGTGTTTGGCACTCTCGAACTGCTGCTTCATTCTTTTTGACAATTTCCTCTACTATCCTGCAATAGAGATCTTCTAGGTCCATTGGTATCGATGTTGTCAAGTCTTCGATTTCTGCCATGGTGCACAACCCTTCGATTGCTCGCTCTTCAAGCTCGGCAAGAACCAACTTCACCCACAGAAATACGCCTTTGGATCGAAATATTAATGTCTGAGATACAACTTGCAAATCTTCGGGAGGATACTGTAAAACTTCCACGGCAATCCGTTTTGTCTCGCCTTGAACATATTCAACAATGTCATTGAATATTTCATCCTCTAGCTTCATGTATCGACAATTTCGTAACGCAAAGCTAATCTTAGGATTAGGTCTGCTAGCGACGAAGATTTTGAATACGACATTGGAATTGATGTTCTGGTTACTGACTCGATGAAGCATTTTTATCGTTTCCTGCCTCATGTCCTCTTCAGATTCGTCCATGGCGTCAACAATGATGTGTATTCGTAATGGGACATTTTGATTGTATCTTGTACCCAGGGATAAAAATATCTGGAGGAGCGAGGGAATGTTCCATTCTTGAGATTGCTTGTAGCCTTCGAATGCCTCGCGATAGTCTTCCCATAGTGCTGGAGCTCGTAAAAGAATTTGGTACAAGATTGACCGAAGCATCCATATGTGGCCTTGTTGATCATCTCCACCCCGTGCGCTGTAGAAAAAATCTGCAATTAGGCATTGTGCGTCGTGGATGTGTAACAACCTGTGAATCAACTGCGATCGGAGGTGGTTAGCCAGAGTAGACTTGCCACTTCCTGGCTTCCCTTGCAGCCATAAAAGAGTAGAGGACGGGCTTTCCTCCCATTGTTGGTACTGAGGGTGGTTCCAAATCCAAGTAAGGGTACCAGGATAGGCTTGAGATACCCTTAATCGTCGCTCTCTATAATGTCCAAAATACAAGGCATCGAGGCAGGCTACTCGAAAATCTTATTAGATGCTGTTTGTTGGTCCCATCGTTGCACAGCCTAGAACGTGAAACTTACCTTGGCGCTCTGAGCCTATACAATGGGGTTAGAAAGTTTCGAATATAGTAAAGCGTATTCACTCAGCTTCTTTGCCCAGCGACATACCTCCGAGAACCATTATGTTTTTAATCAAGTTTGCCACAGCAAGAACGACCACGTTGTAGCGGGGATCATTTGGGTTTGAGAAGCGACATATTTCACGATGATCCGCATCTAGGGGTAGCGGCATTTCATTCGCGACGTTGAGAAGTGCGGACTCCCGTTCAACAATCTGTCTTTCACCAATGAGTATTACATTTTTATACACATACGACGTACTGGTTGGAAGGGTGCTGGTAAAACGAACCACAGGTATTATAGCGAGCAAAGGTCTTCCTTCATAGACGGATATTATCTGAATGGTTTTGCCACGCTCGACGAATTGTGCCGAGATCTCAGCCAGTTCCGTGGATTTGCTCTCTAGACCCTTTAGCAAATCGGTACGGAAGGATCCAAACGTACAAAAATTCCCAATATTCCTGATTACCCGCGTCCATTTAGCTACATCAGATCCTATATGTGGTGTACCCATGAACATGACACCTGCAGTACAGATGTTGATATCACTGTAAATGGAGTTGCGCTCATGAGCGACTATCAGGAACTGGATTATCTCAGAAATAAGTTATTCCATACATATTTGAAGGTGTAGGCGGTTCTTATTTTCGGTAAAACTAGACGTCGAAGTGGTGGAGGGGATCGAGGACGTGACGAACCTTCTTAAGTATAATACCTCCTAAACTGTGACATAAGAAGACCATCGGAACTCCAGTGGTGTTGCTCTGGGGAAATCCGTCAGTACAAATATTTGCCGCTTGGAAACTAGCGTACAATTTTCCGCTTCAAATGAAGCTGAGCCAGTAATTGCATTGCATAGTCCCGAATTTGGAATGAAGAGCCACCAAACGCCACTCTTGAGTTATAACCGAAGGTTGAAATTCTGAGGTCGAAGTCTAGTAAGAATTGGGGCAACAGCTGTGAGAACCAGATGACATTGTCAGATGTCCACGTCTTGTATGGATCGCCATTGAGACCGTGGATAGCAATTATACTGCAGATAGTTAGTTGCCAATGGCAACGATGCAGCTGAGTGGAACACATACTCAACTTTCCTTCCTCCAGATAGCTTCGAGTGGAAGCCCCTCAATTCAAAAAGTCCCTCCGTAGAATTTTCATTGCTTTCTTCAAGTGGAGTTGGTTGAACGTCCTGATAGCGGTCAGCTCCTACTAATCTGCAGGTTTGGGAATTTATTAAGGTATTCTAGGAATATGACCTTCTGGCTTTCTTCAGTTCTCTGTTTTTTGAAGAGCGGAGGCATGATAGCTCGAAACCAACTGATCAGGAACGAGGAGGTGTGAAACAAGCTTCTTAAAGATTGTTATTTTCCCGGAGTTGTGACTCAGTGCTATGAAAGGATCGAAATAGCGCTGTTTCGCAGCGCAGTAATGGTTGGGTCGGTTTATGATACATTTATACGCAGATTTGTTGAAAAGGACTTCCTCTTGCTCTTGCTCGACTATAATATTGTGTGGTGGTAGTCCCAATTTTCAAAGAGCGGTGAAGGCGGGAGGCTGACTGGGCTGGTTGTTGCCTACTGTTCTAGTAGACCGCATTCGGTATAGTGCATTCTGATCAGGATTACATAATAATATTGGTACCGGAAGGGAGAGCAACCTGAGCGGAGGGTGAGGCGAGGGTGAGTAGCGCCTGAGCAGAGCGGCGATAGTGACTAACGAGCCTGCGATCATGGGTCTGTGCGCACAGGCGCTTTTTCAGGCTTCACTCAATCAGCCCCCCACTAAATTAGAATAACCACCCTCATGGCCCTGAACACACCCCCACCGCTCGATTTTCAGTACGAAAAAGGCTATGAGATCCCTACAAAACATAAGGAGGCTATACGCCAGCTTCACTGGTTTGGAAAGGTCCCCATTTGCGCCTTAATGGTACGATACAAGCTTGGCGATACCACGATCCAAAAGATCCTTGGCTACCCAGCCCCAGAACGATAACGCCCTAATCGAAAGGGCCCTACCTTCCTCTTATCCGATCGAGAAGTTGACGAAGCTATTGTATACTGCTCACAGCGGTGGGAGACACGGATAATGAACTGGGGGAAGGTACGAGAGGAGCTTGGATTCAAATGCTCGATACAAACACTCAAGCGCAGGATGCACTAACGAGGGTATTATCGCTGCGTAGTGTGTCAAAAGCCTTATTTGACTCTTGTACAAGTTACTGTACGATATCTCTGGGCAATAGCATATCTCTTTTGGACCGTAGAGTGGTTACGAGTCCTTTGGTCGGACGAGGTTACCTTCCATGTTAGAGGACGATCTACAAAGGCTAGAGTTACAAGAAATACGAGGAAGGGCAAGTCAGAGAGATTCTGTAAGGATTATACTCAACATTAATTTCACCGTAGTCATATAACGCCCGTCAACGCCTGGGGAGCTATTGGTTTTGGGTATAAAAGCCCCTTGATTTTTGTCGACGGTACGGGCAAGAAGGGGGCCTTTAAACAGGTCGATTACTTAGCACAAGTTCTCAACTACTTACAACCAATACTCGACGCCTTTGCCCTTATTACTCACCAATTACGACCGGCGGTAGAACCCTTGTTTATGGAAGACGGCAATTCAGCTTACGGTCACAAGTCTATATCGAATTGCTGTGTACGATACCGTTCAAAGCATAGAATCGTCCTTCTACATTATCCTTCTATATCTCCTGATATGAACCCTATTGAGAAATGCTGGCGATGGATTAAACAAGCTCTCCATCGACGATACCACCAACCTATAACTGAGGCAGAGATGAGGCAGGCAGTACTAGTGGAGTGGGAGGCAATACCACAGGAATGGATAAGTGAGCTGATTTTAAAGCAAGAGCATTGGGTACAAGTACTTATGCAGCGGCACGGGTGGTCAACTCCTAATTAAACGCTCCTTTAATACCTAACTTTCGTGATTTTTGGATGAAAATGCCCTGTGCGCACAGACCTATGGTCGAAGGCTCGTAACCACGTTTGAAGCGAAGTCGAGAAGTTTTCGTGTCAGACTACCTCTATAATCTCTACCGAATCTGGACCTCTCCAAAGTCCACTTCTGTCTTTGGACCGGAGCAGTCGCTACTCTAACCTGAGTCGGGCCCTGAGCCCTGAGTTAGCTGGATTATGTTCAAGGGATCCTCTTCTGGCTCCCTAGAGAATCGGTTACCCTTTGTCATCTGATCAGCAATTTACCTTATTTCAGAACGAGGTGGCTAAGCGATAACTGCATCTGAATAGCAAGCCGCACTTTCTTATATCATATACCTACACTCATCATACAAGCTCCATGCGGCAAAATGCCTATAATCTACAAGTTGAAGGCTAAGCTTCGGCGGGACAAGAGTCTCGCAAGTAGTCTCGGAATGTATGTATCGGATGCAAAAGCTCAGCGTACCCCCACAGCCTCGCTCAAGGGCAGCGAGTTTCAATCGCAGTTTGCAGATGCTCCGCTACTAAACCCTTCGGCCGATACTTCTCTCCGCGAATCATCCTCACAGGGACTATCGGCAGTACAGACGCTACCCCTGTCAAAATCGCCAAATTGTACAGTTTTGGAATATCGCTCCCCACTCAAAAATTCTCGAAGAGGGGAAGTTATAGAAGGAACTCGCTTATTTTAACTACTCCTATTTCGATTCACTTGCGGTAATCTCAATACAAACACTTTAGAAAAAACATCTTATTACGATATATTGACAAAGGGAACCCAATACTACTGTTACTACAGAACCGCATCTTCTATTTCTAATAGAGCTGTCACGATCTCCTGCAGATATGGACGCTCCTCAAGAAAAGCCAGAATAGCAAGGTCCTGGGTATTTGCGATGCCAGCGGCTTTCCTTTGGCCTGCCTCAATAAATCGTACCGCTTCCCCAACCTCTTCACTCCACCATAGTCTTGCAGCCGCTTGCGTTTCTCTAGCGTTTCCAACCTTCTCACCACAACTTCCTGTACGACCTTTCGGAAACAATTTCATCCCCCTCCTAATGACAAGCGGAAACATTCCTCGCCACTCCATGGCCCCAGCTGTACATCTTCTAATAAGAGATCTCAGATAACCCGGGGTTCTGCGAAACTCTGGAAAACTTTGATCCCACTCTGGCTCTCTGAACGTCTCGGCGGTTAGAACACTATTAACGGAACCAACGCCCTCAAAGAGACACCAAAGGATTTTACCAAGCATGAAAACTTGCGCTCGTTCTTGTTCCGGCGGTTTTAGAATGAGCCATGGCAATCTATGATTGGAATAATGCCTTCTCTCATCTACTACAGAAGGAGGTTGTCCCAAGATCGCCAAATAGTCATCCAGCATAGATTTGAATTCCTGATCCAGGACTTCGGGTCTTTCTCTAGTAAGGTATTGAATATACTCGATATAATAAATCTCTGGAGGAGACCATGAGTACCAACTGCAACGCTGCTCAAAATCGATGAGGAGGATATTCATATTTCGCAGCTCGTTCGAGGCCACCATCAGGATATTTGTCGGTTTGAGATCAGAGTAAAAGCTAAATTCGCTCTTATTGATATGCTGCAATGCGGAAACCAATTGTTTGGCCCATCTCATTCGATCCTGCAGAGAAAGTGCCTCGCTGCCGTGGGTTCGCCAGAGGACATCGCGCAGTGTGCCCGCTGGATGATACTCTACGATAAAGCCACAAACTCCAACCTTGCCGCCGAAAGCACACTTCTTTGTCACGATATATAATGGTTTTGAAATGACGTTTGGATGTGCCTCCATCTCTAGCAATGCTCTTAGCTCGTCGTAAAGGAATCGTACTTCATCTGTCGTGGATTTGAATACGAAGGTGTCGGAAGAAGGTTTGCAGCTAAGGCGGACGAGGGTGATAGTCTCCCGGAGCTGTGCCAGAGTTTTAAGTTGAGATATATCGATGGTCTCAAGCCATCTCGAAGATGGGATGTTCCATTTCCCTTGGAGTTTAGGGACGGAGAGCCATTGCAGCTCGACATCGTACACTGGAACGAGATGGATGGTCATCTCTCTTATGTCAACAGACATTCGGTCTATAACAATGAATGATCCAAAGGGCATTTCCATATAGAGTTTCTCGAAATTTGGCTGGTTGGCGGACCAAACGTCGAGAACACGCACCAGATGCCGGCAGATGGGAAGATCTACCAAACGCTCCTGGCGCAGGAGATCGCAGCTCCAGAGTTGAAAACATCAGATACCCCTTCTCGATAATATTTCTGCTCTGGGATATAGAGGTCGATTCGTAGTGGCCCCTTCGATCTTGCGAAGTGCGGGATGGCGAAGAGGCGGGTCCCATCTGCTCCGCATCCGTCAATGCTCCACTTCGTGTCCTGACCGACATCGAGGCTGTCGATTCGATTCTTTGGATTCAGGACAGATTTAAGCCAAGGGAGACTTATGTCGTTTGAGTTCCGTTCAGGAAAAAGTTCCGGCTCGAAGGCAGCCGCGGGAAACATGGTCGCACGGAACATATCCACGCAAGGGTCCATGGTGAATGCAGAAATTCAGAGTGGATAGTAATAGCTGAAAATATGCCTCGGAGTAGAGAATATATAAATGAGGAGACGGTCTGGTACGATCGGTCACTAGTCCTGTGTGATATAGGTGAAAATTATCTCAATGGGAAGAGGTTAGGAGCGGAGGAGAAGTATTGCGAAAACCAAAACCTACGGTCGGTGAGAGTTCAGATTTTTAGCGCCAGACATGTAACAATATAGGCTGATCGGACGCTGTTGGTGCTATTTATAACAAACTTTCACCTATCCATGAAAGGACCTCCATAAAGGTCTGTCAATAAGGATGGCATACCACTCGCAAATCCTACCAACTGTCCATGGTTCGGCAAAGTTAACTTTCTCTACTGGGCGGCATTGTAACCTCAGGGCAGTTAAATATATTTAGTCAAGTAGGGCCACAAAAATTGACACAAGACACATTTCCTCAGTAGTCATTCTGGTTCTATGAAAACCTCATGTAAAAAATTCCGAGATAAACTAGTTCAGGTGGCTTAAGAAGGTTATTTGAAATCATTTGATGTGTCGTGTAGTAGGTAATACACATAGCCTTGTGTTATCAAGTACCGCCGAATGACCTAAAACAATAAACATATCACCTAGAGTGGCGGTTGTGTTGAATCAACGGCCCAAGTGTTTGTTCCCAAAGACCAGAAGAAAATACAAAAGACCAGAATTCGTTCCTTACGGAGTCATACCCTCGCGAATGCCGAACTTCAAAACAGGTGTTGGCTGGAAGTTCCAGGTTGGTTTCACTTCAAGATTGTCCTAGAACATTCGAGAGTTACCCTCTTGAAGGTAGTCAGGCAGATCCCACTTCAAATTCTCATTCCTCAACCACAAGCGGACAAGGTAACGGTTGTCATCTCCACTGTCCACAAATGCGTCTCTAGAGTGCAAGATGGTGAAGTTGTTGATAAAAGTCATATCACCAGGCTGAAGAGAAATGCACAGCTTGTGTTTCTGAGCAAGAGCTTGGATCGCGAGGAGAGCCTCGAGTTTACCAGGGGTCATTTCAGGAAGGTCAGCTGAACGGGGGACGCCAGGCATTCCAAGGAGTGGCCGAGTAATGACGTTCATGATGAATTTTCCGTTCTCTTGGTATATGAGGGGACGTATTTGAGACCCAAATAGCTTCCCATGGCTGTCGTTGTCATTTCAGTAATCGTCTCTTTTTTTCTAAAAAAAAAAAAGGGGGGGTTAAAAAAAAGTGAAACTTTACTTACGTCTCAAAACCCCAAACTGAGCTTGACATGAGATCCAAGAGAGCTGGTTTGGCTACAGCCAGTTCATTGTAAACTTTCCCTGCCGATGCAAGGTTGTGATTACCTCCATGGGTTACGCAGGCTCGTGTGTGCATTGCCAAGATATTTGCAAACATATCGTTGTGAAAGTCCTAGTGTACATTAGCCCCTTGTATCTAAAATTATCTACTATAGACCTACCAGGGCTAAGTTCGAATGTCTGGTTGAGCGCTCTTCTTGTGGGGTAGAGCTGCCTTTAGCATTGCGAATATGGGCTAAGGTTTTGAGTCAGTACCTCATAGACATCTCGAAGTGTGACGGTCTTCAACGTACCAATGATATGTCCCTCGTCATCCTGCTTTCCTCTGGTTTCTCCAATGTAGCTAGAAATGCCCAAAAATAAGAGCATATTGTCCTCATGAGAGTATGCAGCTGAATTGAGGCTGCGAATATTCACGAACCCTTGTCCTTCATGGACCTCCAGTGCGAGATCACGGAGGTGGGTTCCAAGCGTGGGAAGAGGGAAGCTCTCGCAGTTTACTTCACTTCCATCCAAGCCAAGGGCTAGCAGGGTTTAGTGCTTGAACAATAAAAGTTGTGTGAGGATCCGTACCTTTAAAGTGCTTCAAAGCGGCAGTGACTTCATCTTTCTATTGATCGTTGAGCACTCGTGTGTAGGTTGCCCTCATCTACGAACTGAGACCCCTCCCAGACCATTTCAGAATGGAGTAGATTGCTGTTATCAACTTTGAGCGTTTCATCAGGAACAATAGCGCCGTTCTCAGCAAGGTTTTGAAGGTCTTTGGTCTTTGAATCCGCTACGGCGACAGGAGAAAGTTCACGGAACGCAGGAGAGGACTCCCCCATAAGGTGGTCGACTACCAAAGTAGGACACATTGCTAAAAGTTGGGCTGAGTTTCTTGATGAAAAATAGAAATCGAGACCTGGCAGAGGGGGTGTTCGCCGTGGCGACACTTCGAGAACAATATAAGGATATGAAAGTTGCTTAATAGAAGTGCTTCAGAAAAGGAGCTGCAATAGGTGATGATAAGTGATTATAAGGGGGAGGAAGAGAGATAGATATATATCCACTTTCCGTATGGCACGGGATTATCTAGCCGTTATCTGCTTGAGGAGGGATACTGTCACCAGCACTTGAGAGGAGTGTTGACCTCGTGCGGGGTTGCCTCCTTCCAAAAACAGACTTTCCCAGTATCCAACTGTTACACAAGTTGGACGTAGTCTAGACTGCGGTCTGAGCCCCCTACAACAAACTGGACTATCGCTCCATTGGACTTTCAGGCTGAGCCATGATCTGCTCCGACCCACTCTACAAGGGCCGTATTAGTCAACACCACGCCCAATTTTACCAAAGTCAGTGCTTTTTGATCAATGAATAGCTGGTTTTACCAAAGTTGGAATATTTTAGTTCACAATTATTAATCTTATTAAAGGGGTGTCGGTCGCATAAAAGGAAAATATTAGTTATTTAAAACAGGGCTATTTTATAATTTGACCATAATAAGTATACCCCTATTTTTGGGCTTGCGCCGCAGCAATCTAATGCTTTTTACGGTATTATAAATAGAATCAGCCATGCAAGGTTTCTTATTTGGTGAATATCCTCATAAATTTAAGGAAGTTGGGAGTAGGGAATAAACGAGTGAGGAAGTCAGTGGAGAACTGGGGAACCTCTTGTTAAGGCGCCGCCGCTGCAGGCAAAGCGTTGTAAGGAAAAGTGAAGCTTGTTTTGGAATTCCATTAATCGTGAAATATATATTATTTTAAGTGTATTGAAGAATGGTAATTTTGATATAATAATTATAACTTTCACTCTCAGTGAGCATCTTGCTATATTGGCCCGTTTGGCGAGTAAATTGGAGCAGATTCAGACTGGATCGATCCTAAGCGAAATTGTTTTACGAAGAGATGTAATGAAGATTCCTAGATCTCATATAACTTCTCTACTATTGATTATATTATAAAATTTTGAGCTGTGCAATCACACCGTTTGACTCCACCTCTCTAGATCTCTCGCGTACGAGAAATTTAGACTCAATGTTACATTAATACGGCGATCAGAAGGTAGAGGGGGTTTTGTGAGGCTCGCTTAGCATGAGACTTTGGATCAAGAAAGACACTCCTATACAAATTTACTATATGAGGTACATAGGCTTGAATCATTCTTAGATCGATCCACACCGATCTTGGATCAATCCTGAATCGATCCAGCCGATCCGGGATCATTGAACAGACTGGTACTACCTCAAACCATTTAGACCGCGGTCCAAATAGACTGAGGTTGTGCTATCACCAACCTTGATCCAACATGTTTTTCGATACTCCCATCCCCCAGAAGTTTGAAACTGTGGTTCAATCACGACGACTGCCTAGGGTTACAAGCTAATAGGAAGGCTTGAAATGCACCCTGAAGTGCAACTCAACTGTGCCGCATGTATGCAACAGCGAGCCTACTTCTTATCACAACCAACTGTCCCTCCCGAGATACCAATACGAGCGATTACCCTATTGGTAGCTCGGGGGGGCACAACAATGCAACACCACCACCACCACCACCAACAACCTAATGCAATAACACAACCAATGATGCGACATCAAAACCAATATCCCAATATCACAACCAACATGATCATTCCTCTTTCCCAAATTTGTTCACATTGCAGTTCATACATTCTGACTCCTCGGAAAGGTGCATCCGTTCTCGAAATCAGCGAATCATATGCAAATCCCGGTGCTATGGATTGGTTGGCATTTATAGACTTCACGTTGTACCACCTTCCAAACCTGGCCCGGCCAGCGCCCACGCTCTGCACGAAGCAGTCGTATCAGTTTCCCCAGCATTATACCGTCCATGGCACCGTTCCGGTCACGAGCTCTTCGGTGCTTGAGCTAGAGCGGGGCACAGCTTTTTCCAACATCCGGAACCACGTCTGGCGGGGTCCCCAGATCTCGAGGGTCCAAAGCCAAGACTCTCTAAACTTGACCAGGTCTATTACTTACTACCATCACCAAACGCACATGAATCAATTCAATTCCTAACGTGAGGGACTCCCGACTCCCAAGTCTTGTAACTACCATGCTCGTTACTCAGATGCCAGAAAACGCTGGGAAGCGCTTCCTCTACAGTCCATCAAAGCTAGAGTTAGTAGTACTAGTATCTACGCTTATATCTGCTATCACGGCGGGAGCAATTTCGGTAATCATGCCAGTAAGTCTAGATCTTGCTCAAGCCCGTGATCCCACCTAATCTAAGTCTTCAGATCATTTTCAGTCTGTTAGCAAAGACATTTCTCACCGAAACAAACGATTCCCACAGCTTTTTATCCAAGGTTAATCAGCTTTCGACATATTTTGTTTACCTAGGAGTGGCAGCATTTTTCGCAAATTTCATAACGACTGCCGGGTTCATCTACCTAGGGCACAAGATAACACGCAGACTGCGTGAATATTATCTAGCTGCACTTTTATACCAGAACGCGGCCTTTTTTGATGGTTTTGGGCCTGGTGAATGTGCTGCACGTCTGACCAGCCAGACAGACACGGTTGAAAAGGCTATAGCCCAAAAGTCTGCAAGAGACGCTGATCGGGATCTTACGATTCGTTGCCTCCTTCTCGGTTGGCTTCTATTTCTGTTGGAGGCTGACATTAGTACTGACTTGGTCCATCTTTGTTGCATTTTTTGTTATGAAGGTCGTTGCACGTGTGACAACTCAGAATGACAAAAGTCGGTTGGATGCCGAGACTTCAGCAGCAGCAGTACTTGAAGAGAGCTTTGCCTCTGTCAGAGATGTCACGGCCTTAGGAGCACAAAATTACCACGTCAATAGATACGCCGAACGACTGAAAAATGCAGAGCGGTTTCAATTCCGTGGCATAACGGTCCTTTCCCTTACTCTGGCTTTCACTGTCGGGATCAGCTATCTCATTATCATGACAACTCTTTGGGCAGGATCAAACTTGATTGTAAACCTGCAAGCGAGTTTCGAAGACATAATCACCATCCAACTCATTATTCAAGCAGCAATATTCGTCATAATCGGTATTATTAGCACTGCCGACGTCTTCGTGAAAGCTAAGACTACAATCAGCGCAATCTCTTCAATGAGAGCTTCAAATGTGTCACCGAGAACTGGAGCTGGCCCACAGCATATCATTGGTTCCATTGCATTCGAGAATGTTGGCTACATGTACCCTTCAAGGTCCACATCGGTGATCTTTGACAATATGAATCTGAACTTTCCGGCCGGCAAGATGAGCGCCCTGGTTGGGCGATCTGGCTCTGGTAAAACCACAGTTCTTGACCTGATCGAGAGGTTCTACGATCCTACGAGTGGATCCATATTGCTCGATGGGGTCAATACAAAAGATCTCGACATCTATTGGTTGAGGCGACGGCTTGGCTTGGTCTCTCAAAGTCCTGTGCTCTTTCAAGGGAGTATTTTCGACAATATTTGCCATGGCCTCACCGGGACTGAGTTCGAAAAAGCAGACATTGTTACTCAGCAAGGGTTGGTTGAGGCGGCTGCTCAAGTGTCTTTCTCTCACGATTTCATAAAGGCACTCCCCAATGGATACAATACTCAGGTAGGAGACCGTGGTTTAAGGCTTTCGGGAGGACAGAAGCAGCGAATTGCAATTGCACGGGCCGTTATCGCAGGTCCAGCGGTACTTTTACTAGATGAAGCAACTTCGGCGTTGGATTCAGAAACCGAAGTGAGAGTTCTTTCGGCGATTAGGTCTCTCAAATGCACCACGATTCTCGTTGCACATCGCCTGACAGCCATAAAAGCAGCAGATAAGATAATTGTTCTGTCCGTGGGGAACAGTCCCCAGGAGAGTACTTTTGACGAGCTTTGTCAACGCCAAAACGCCTTTACCGACCTTGTACAGAAAGAGCAAGAAATTACTCCAAGTTCAACAAATCAATTAGTGTATGAGCGGGTTCTCGAGAAAGATCATGACGACTTCAAAGCTGAGCGATCCATCAGTGCCGCCAGTTTGAACTTCAATTCTACCACTGAGAAGCACGATTCGGCCGATCCAATTCCACCTTCGGCAGTACTTGACATATTGGTAAACCAGAATCGAGAACAAGGCACGAGAAGCACACCAAAGTCTTCGCTTTGTAGATTGGTCCAATTTATTTGGACTTTCCAAAAAGACCGCAAAATATTCTTGCTATGTGGAATCCTGGCAGCATTCGTGGCCGGTGTCGAGGAACCAGTTCATGCAGTTCTATTCGCAAAATCTACAGTGTCACTTTCCCTGCCTAGAAGCATGTACGGAGAGTTACTGTCACAGACCCGACTCTGGGCTTTGATGTATCTTACTCTCGCCGTGGTACAATTCTTGGCTTTCGCCACCCAGGGGCTTTGCTTCGGGGCATTGTCTCTTCGCGTCATGCGTCTTGCGAGAGTAGATGCCATGCGATGCCTCTTGCGATCGAGCATAGAGTCCCTCGATCAGATCCCCAATCTCTCCTCCAGTTTGACCTCATTTGTCACGACGGAAACTTCTAGCATGGCCGACTTGATGGGAAGCACGCTTGGAATGCTTTTTATCATCGCAGCTACCCTCTTCGTAGCTTTCATTGTCTCTTGCGCCTTTCAGTGGAAACTTGCCCTTGTGTGTTGGGCCATTTTCCCGGTCCTCTTCGGTTGCTCTTATCTGCGGAATGTTTGCTGGACGGAATTTCAAGGGAGAAGAAAAGAAGGATATCGAGAAGCTGCAAGCTACGCATCTGAAGCCATCGGTGAATTTCGTACAATAGCTGCCTTGACCAGGGAACAGCATGTTCTATCCCTGTACCGCTCATTACTGGTATCTGCAACAAGGGGTTTCGTTACTGTGTCATTCAAAGTAGCGGGTATACAAGGGCTAGTAAGGTCTATCACATACTTTGGCCTAGCTTTGGGTTTCTGGTACGGAGGAACTCTCCTGGGTCGTGGGGATTGCACAGCATTTCAATTTTTTGTGACCTATACTGCAGTAATGTTTGCATCTCAGTCTGCCGGCTTGATTTTCTCAATTTCTCAAGATCTAGGAATTGGAAAACGAGCCGCCATGGACCTCCTACAGCTTTTCGGCCGGGAACCACTATTAACAAGCCCGGAATCGTTCGAAACTGAATCGCAAAACAGGATCCAGTTCCGCGACGTCTACTTCCAATACCCCAGTCGGTCATGTCCTGCATTGAAAGGTATATCATTTGTTATAGAGCCGGGCGAGCATGTTGCTTTCATAGGCGCCAACGGTGCTGGTAAGAGCACGATTTTATCCTTGTTGGAACGCTTTTACGATCCCCAAAGTGGAATCATCAACGTACATGGATTTGATATCTCTGCTGTTGATGTCGAAAACTATCGCAAAACTGTGGCATTAGTGAGCCAGGATGTTGTGCTCTATAATGCAACTATCAAAGAGAATCTACTACTCGGCACACATGGTCGGGTTGTGTCTGACGAGGATCTCCATTCGGCCTGCCAAAAGGCTAACATTTTAGATTTTATTTCCTCCCTACCGTAAGATTCCCCAACTTTGTGATTTCTAGCAGGACTGATTACTTTCAGGGATCAATTCGCGACGATGATGGGCACGAAAGGGTGTACACTGAGCGGTGGTCAGAGGCAACGTCTAGCTTTTGCCCGGGCACTCTTACGCAAACCAGGCATACTACTTTTAGACGAAGTTACTGCCAACCAGGACTTGGAATCTGAATCTCTTATTGTTAGAGCAATCAGAACAGCAGGCCCACGTTGCACAACAATCAGCGTCACACATCGACTGAACACGCTAGAAGGAGTTGGCCGAATCTACGTACTGGATCAAGGATCGATTGTTGAATACGGAACTCCAGAACAACTGTTCCGTATGAAAGGAGTTTATTATAACATGGCAAAGACTCAAGGGCTGACTGGCTGTTCCTGAAAACTTAACACTGTGTAGAACCTCTTTGGTTTGATAATACGAAATCTTCAACTTGAAGACTAATCCATCTGAAATACTCTGTCCTTAGCACAAGCGGGTATTTCCAGATTATGAACTTATTCAAGTCCTTCAAAAAATACTACCCTTCCCTCGCAACCCTACTCTGAAATTGTACAAATACTGGTGGATTCTATTGCCCGCTAATTCTATCAATAGGCACTCCAGTTTTCTTTCCAAATCCCCACACCACGCTCCATTCCCTGCATTGATGAGCAACTAGCCATTATACTAATTCCTGGGAGTTCTAAAGCTTATCTTTACTAATACTGGGACCTTAATAGGCCAGGGGCACGCCGCGCGACTGCATGCAGAGCGTATTCGCGTGCATTGCTTGCACGTGCGCTGCATCCACGTGCCCGAGCAAGCTAGGATGTGCATGCCTTGAGGATATACTTTTTAAGCGATTTTAAGAGCAAGGGAGGGAGGGACGTGCTTCTTCCCCGCCTTATGTGCGCGTGCCGGGGGCTAAAGAATAGCCGAAAAACAAAAACCTTACTTTATATTAATTACAAAACTTAGCCTTCTAAGCGCGGGTGAGGGGGACTAGAAGGGAAAGAAATTCTCAATTGCATAAGCACCCTTTCTGGGCAGACACTGGAAGGGTGCTTATATGCATCCTAATCAGAGTTGGCCTCCTATTATTACCCCTTTGGGCGGACACCCCTGTTTTAGGAATACTACGCGAGCAGAACAAGGGGCGGGGGGGTTGCAGGGGTTGGTAGGGGCACACTGATACTGTATCTATCAGATTTTACATTGAAATTGGAATAATCCTTCTTGTATATGTTATCTTGGTCTGGTGGGTTTTCTGTGCCCCAGCAGTCTTCATGTGCGTTGAACTACAATTTTCCCCATTCGATCAACCCAGTCGGTTACAAGAAGCCCACCTATTGGCCTGACATGTAAATAGTAACCGAATCCCAGACGTAATTGCACAGAGCAATGGGATTTACTAGAAGAAGATTACTCCTGCGAGTGTACATGTCAGTACTTTATTACAAGAAAACAAAGATACCGGGTGGCTGTTTAGAACATACAGGGATGGCAGGTATGCATTCTCTGCTTGATATTCTTCTGGAGTTAAGTTTTCAACCGCGACCGTGTCTGAGGGAGGCACAATCTCAGGTTCAGTAGTCGTAGAGATTTCGATTGACGCCGTAGATGCAGAGTCGTTCGATGTTGCAGCTACTGCGGGTGAATCTGATGTCTTCCGCGACGCTTCCGGACTGTCAGAAGGTGGAGAAATCTCAGGATGAGTGAGTCGGAATTGTCTGCTCTCCTCAGTGGCACGTCGGTCAATCTCCTCCTGTGCCTGAGATGAGAGATGTGGGCGGAGATTGTCGTTCTTCTTTGTCTTCGAGAATAAGCCCTTGGCTGCCTTGCTCGCTTTTGCAAACGGTGATTTAAACCCGACAGCGCAGACGTTAGAGGCTTTGCTCCTATCTACACCGGGCCGTTTGGCATGGGAACCTTCGATATTTCGCGATGCTGGAGGTGTACGACAAGGCTCAGCAGGCAATGGATCAAGAGTCATAAAGGTTGTGGTATGAGATGAGTTAGGGCTTGCGCTGGGATCAGATTTCTTGCCAAGGAGGGCTTTCGTGCCGTATATATGTTTCTGGCCAAGAATAACGTCGTAGGAAGACCCTATCAGGACTTCAAATTTCAAGCTGTATTGCTTCTTATCGCTTGAGATCCATACGGCATTCACGGTAGCAATACTCGGCACTTCACTGCCGTCGATAAATCTAAAGGTTCCTCGATCGCCTGTAATATCTAGCTTGAAATTCCTTGCTTGGGCATAAGCTAGTGATATGATGTTGACTTGAGCTCCAGTGTCGGCTAGTGTTTTGATCGCTTCACCAGCGAGATGTCCGTCAGTAGTGCACTGGCCTGGTCGGATACCACTTGCTGCATGAATATCGTACACAGCTCCAGTGGAGCTTAAGGATGTGGCATTGACAGTATAGCGCTTGATGCGGTTTAATGTCGTGGTGTTTGTTTCTAAGAGGAAGGGGTGCCCCAGTAGAACGTCGTGAACACATTGGCTAAGGACATGAAAGACCAACATATGCTTTTCATGGGGAGAGTCATCGAAGCTCCAAGATACTTGAGCTGTTCCTATAGTAGGAATCAATCTCCCATCGGCGGACTTGATGTGTGTTGTGCCATTGCTATCGGGAGCGATCGCGATGCCATTCCGGTGTGCATAGTCACGAGAGAGTAAGTTTTGATCACTCCCAGTATCTGGGAACGCGCTTGATGGCTGCTCGTTCAGCAAACCAGAAACTTCATACGTGTACTGTGGAGATGGTCGAGGAGGTGGAATCCAGTCCCAAGAGTAGAAGCGAGCAGCACGTCGTGACCATCGATATGGAAGTACATTATTCAGCCAAGAACAACATCTTAGACAGAGACTCAGGAATCTCTCTAATTTTTCAAGAGCCATTTTCATATGACGGTAATCATAAAACCACACTACAATCTCGGGCTTGAGTGCGAACTGGGTCCGCGTGGGGGGTATCCGTCGGTTTTTCTCGATACAGTGACGAATTTCTACATCCGCAAAATGTCTCCTTTTCTCGATACGGCGATGAATTTCCACCTCCGAAAACCGTCTTATACATTGCAGCAAGGGTTCTCTCGGGCCGCCCAGGTCTGGTGAAGGCAAGCGATTAGGATCCTTGAGGTACTTCTTCTCTTTAAATATATCCCGCAGGGTTTTACGGAAACCCTCAAGGCCCAAAATCTGATAAGGAGAAAAATCTTCCGGAGGATGGATATGGTAATGGTTTTCGTTATTGTTCGCACGAGGCCAGTTCCATACTGTATCTTTAAAGTCGGGTACCTGGGAAGAGGAGAAACCTCCCCACTTGGGCAAACCCAGACAAATAAATCTCCTGCTAATCTTTCTATTGAAACCGAGGTCCAGCAGGTACTCCTCGATTTCGGAGAGCCAGACACCAGAGATATGTTCGTATTTGGCCCTGTCCCAGCTGACATAAATGTACGCTGGATCCCCCAGACCATAGGGGAACTCGATTGGGATGTCGGACAGCTTCTTCGCCTTTGCATCTTTGAATGTTACATTGTTCCCAATATTGTCTGAATTGATTGGACTGCGCCAAAGCCCGTCGGAGAGAGTAAAGCCTTCAGCCGAGAGGTTTTCGCGGTATCTTCGCACCCATTGTTGCCAGCGTGAGAGTTGTGCGGCCTGCGGTGCAATCTCACGAAGTCGTTCCTTTTGCCTTGCAGACAAAATTTCCAGGCGCTGCTTTTCCAGCTCTTCTCTTTTCAGGCGCTCCTTCTCAGCTTGCCGTCTCTTCAACAAGTCATCTTTGCGGTCCCTGATGATCGCAAGCAACCGGTCCCGTTCAAGCATCCAATTCTCCTCGCTACCTTCCCCCTCCGGGCGCCGGGTTTCGGTGCGTGTTGCTTGCTCGGTTTTCAGCCGTGTTCTCTCGTTGTCCCTAGGGATATGCCGTCGAGAACGAGGCGCCATGACGCCGGCGTGGTTCTGTACAGTGGTCGATGAAATTCATCCGAGTGCGAAAAGGTTTTAAGGTCCAGCTGGGAACGAAACCTGCTTTCGTGCGATATCAGTGCGTGGTCGGGCGTTTTCTGTTACACAAGGTTGGCTGGCAGGTAGGTACACAGTGAGGCGGACTCGACTCTCTTAGGCTTTGCTGGCTGCCCAACGGGGTTCCGGATTGGGCGCGTGACACTCAGCAAAAAATCATTGCTCCAACAGAATATCGCGCGCCTTCAAGCTAGCATCAAGAAAAAGGGATCGCAAGGAAATGTCTAGAGCGTCTACAGAGCCGGATATCGAATCGCAACCAACTGCTCAGGAGTATCTGGATGGTTTTCCCGACGTCTCAGAGTATATTGGCAGCGATCGCGAGTTGGCCCTATTCCGCCGCTTCGATGTTCTCGGCGCACGGAACTTGCTCTATCTTCAAGCTCGACTTCTTGTTCTTGAAGAAGTGTTGAAGCAGTATGATGAAGAGGATAAAGACTTTATTCGAAGGAACTGTAAAATAAATGCCGAGAAGGAGATCATCCCTTCAGAGGCTGCATTAGAAGCACTTCAGATAACGAAAGATTGGACGACCTTCGTTTCACGCGCCGAGAAAGATATCCGCGACGACGACTTCAGCAAGAATGGCCGTGCGAAGGATCATTATAGGAAGCGACTGGATACTGTATTAGAGATCCAAACAGTCCTCAAACAATACCGTACGTAAGAGACGCCACGGAAGCCCCTACATGACTTAAATTTTTTTTTTTTAACCCTTTCAGAGGAAGCATTGATACTCCACAACAAAGTTTTGCAGCTAGACTCGCCGGGGAGTCGAGCGCTTGAAGTCTTCAAAGCCTGGTTCAATCGCAAGAAGCCGTTTGCTGGGAAGGGCAACAAATTGATGGAGAACGACGATATCGCCGCCCTAGGACCTAGCCAAGGCCAAGATCGTCTATCAAAAACTTTGCAAAAGAGGGTAGGGTGGATGTTCCAGGAAAAGCGTCCAGTGCCACCATCATGGGGGGAAATGGTCTACTTCTCCGAGAAGCATCTAACGCGTGCTGTCCAAATCCTGAGCGTTCTCTTCTCGGCCCTTGCCTTGACGAGTGCCATAATTGCCCTCCACTATATTGGCCCCACCGGATGGCGTTTCGGAGCGCTGGGAGGCTTCCTGCTGACCTTTGCTTTGGCCGTGGGAACACTTACCAATGCGACAACGCCAGAGATGTTTGCTGCAACCGCTGCGTATGTATCCCTGCTCGGGAATATCCTCGTCAGACGAGTGCTAACATACTGCATAGCTTTGCGGCTGTCTTGGTCGTTTTCATTGCCACCGGATTACCGAAATGAGGGAGCTTGTCGAGGAGACACATGTATCTATAATTACGAAAGGAAACCGCATGCTTTCTTGAGACCTTCAAAGGCATTCAGAGGGATTCTAGTTCCCCGAAAAAACTTGGGAACTTTTGCAAGTAGTAAAACGGGAATTTATGTATATTAAAGAGCGAGGCTCGGGAAGGGGATGGCGTGGGCTACTCTATATAATGAAGTACATCGCGAGCAACAGAATCTTTGTAACACAGTCAATCGAGCTCAATATCCTTGCAGCAATTCGGGGGATACAGCACTCTATCAAAACGGCAATCGTCTCGGCTTCCGGCTGTGCCACCACCCGCATCCCGGATCGTTGGTACGGCAAAGTTTGGGCCAGGAGGCTGGAGAGTTTGGGAACCGTAGGGATTTATGGTAGTAAGCATCACTTATATCTTAGTCGTACAAACTCAATCCATCTCATTGCTCCACAGTGGTATCAACATTCATCAGCAGGAAAGAAGTCCCCACAAGGCGCAACGCTGCGGTATCTCTCAGGCGAATTGCCAAAAGCAACTGAAGCGTGTCGAGCACTGGGTGCTCGTTGAGGGGATCCGGCTGTGGGATCCAAAGCTCAAGGTCAGTATATCTTCAACCAGTTTTCGAAACTCTTTGAATGGGCCAGGCTGACTTGAGCATTCCAGTTGATCGAGTAGCACCTTCTCAATGAGGAAGAGCCGTCCGGTGGCCACGCGCCACAAATTGCTCTGTTCGCTTGCGGTGTTTTTGCTGGGCTTTTAGGGGACTCGGTACTCTTCGGCTTGAAGAGGGTCTTTTAGATGAATTCGTGGGATCAGAAAAGAGAAAAACTAATTTCTTTTTTCGAGGCGGGAAAGTGGGCCTTTTTTGTCTTTTGGGAAATACGTTGGAGTTTTTGAGACTTGGTTTGGTCCGGAGCCTATGGTACAATGGAATTCTTTCACTTACCTTCAAACAATTACCATCTTCTTGACGTAATCTCTTGTTGCCAATGTCCCTAATCAACATCGTACATCAAGTTGATTGCTGGTCCCATTTGGTGTCACCAATGTACCAAGCTTTACCTAATGCAGCCTTCAGCTCAACATCAATAATTGCCCAACCAACTGATTATAAGTCTTAACCTGTCCAGATATACAGCGCATTGCCAAAACTCGAGTAGCGAAAGGCACGTGATCTACCAGAACCTTGTACATACCTAGCGCGGGTGCACCTAGCATCTTGATATCAAATCCCTATCGCAATGCGCACTTGCAACATTGTCTCTGCCACCTCATTCTCGAAAACAACAGACAGGAATACCAGTCAATGAATCAGAGCAAGAGATGCCGTCGAGATTTTCCTCATACAGCCAAGCGCTTGCGGGAGACCTGCCCAAGCGAAATTGCTTTTGTGGGTTCCCATTCGCTTATCATTTACCCCTTTGCTTCTGTTTTGTTTTATCCTCTTTGGGAATCTCCAAAAAAAAAAAAACTGCCCTGAGAATGGGACCAGGAAGGGGAGCAATCGCCGCGCTGCAATCCCACCGTATGTATTCCCTGTATCACTAGCCATAACCCAGTACTTTCCAGCGCTCTCATTCGTGTCCCGCGGGCTTAAACAGAGTTAATCCTTGGAGCCCCGCTTCTAGATCTACATTACTGACGTTGGCAAGTGTGGAAGGATCTTTCGTGAAAAGAATGCGTCCGAATCCAAGTCCTGATAATTCGATGACTCGAAGGACAACCCCAAAGTTTCAGCAGAACTTCCTCCATTCCCAGCCTGATCTCCTCCGACAAGCGGCGGGGGTTGGGGCTGGCGCGAGTGCAGACTCAAAATAGGCATTTCGAGCAGAGCTCCAGGTCTTGTTTCCGCGACTGACTGTCTCACAGATTTCTAATCACTCGATATCCGAGGAAGAAGTATTGAGAATATAAGGAAAAGGATAGCATGAAACGTACATCGAAAAGAGTGGGATGCCGCTAAAGGGATCAACCCATGTCAGTCTCATAAAGAGTGGCCAAGAGATAGGGAGCCAAAGAACTTACAACACGAGCGGCAGAAATCTTCTATTTAGGAGAGAGAAGAGAAGAGAAGAGAAGAGAAGAGGGCGGTTGAGCATTAGGGCACAATGAAATAGAGGTCAGATGGCGAGATTGGTGAGATTGGGGGAAGGTGCGTCTCGTCGTTATTCACATTCCGATAAATCGACTTGCTCCTTCCAATTTGTCATTTCCCTCTCACCGCCCCTCCACACCCTCGCGAATACTTCTTGTCAAAGGGACTCCCATATTCTTCACACAACTTACCCAGCTCTCCCAGCACCAATTTCACTCCTCAGCGAGCGCAAGAGGTACTGTTAGTAGCAGCTAATTACAAAGTTTTCTGGAGGCCGGCAAACTGCCTTGGAAGGACTTTGATCTATTATGTCTTCGTTCCGATATCTTTTAACGGCCAAATCAAACGTTGGTACTTTTCGGACTTGATGTTGCTTTTGGTTGTTTACTTATTTCCTCTATTGGGCTGGTCGAGAGTGGTACAGCTGAGTCAGCACTGTTACCCCTGAGTGGTACTGGACCACCAAGCATCAAAAGTGGGACAAGATCTAACTTGCCATTCCACGACAACAGTGGGGATGTTGCCTCACAGATAATTCAAAATGACTTTAAAAAGAGATTTTATCTTCCTGTCCTTTCCTTAACCCTTGAAAAGGAGTCGATTCCGAAGATGAAAGTTCTCATAATTGGCGCAGGTCGGTGGAGTTTGCATGAGAGGTTGTGATGTATTTGCTGATTTTGAAACAGGCACAACGGGCCTTCTCATCGCTCAAGGACTCAAGAAGAATGGAATCCCATTTGAACTTTTCGAGCGAGAAGAGTCTTATGAATCGACGAAACGATCCAGAGATTGGGGGATGGTGTTGCATTGGGGTGTCGACCACTTCAACACGTTGCTGCCAGACGACTTATTGAAGAGGTTACCACGGATTCAGTGCGATCCTTACTATGAGGGTGAACATGGACCTGTACCTGACATCAGGTTTCTAAACGCCAAGACGGGTGACCTCCTTTCTACTGTTGCGACGAAAGGAATGAGACGAGTCAGCCGACGGAAGACTCGAGTATTTTTCAGTGAAGGCGAGTAAAGCAGATTCCAGTTTCGAGAACTTCGACTAATTAGAGAAGGTCTTGAAATTCAGGTAGCGAAGCTCACTAGTCAGAGATCAAGTGCAGCAATGCTAACTTTTGGCAGTACGGGAGGAAGATCACCGGGGTCTCAACTGCTTCGGACTCCGTAACGGCAAGCTTCGCTGATGGCACCACTGCCACAGGAACTCATCTGATTGGAGTTGATGGTGCAAAGTCATTCTTGCGAACCTTTCTCCTGGGACCCGAAAAAGCAGCGCTCACGCCTCTAGACATCTTGCTTCTGAACTTCAAAACAAGCTTTACCGCTGAGCAGGCTCGCTTCCTGAAAGAAAACCCAGCCTTTCATCCCATCATGAATTTTGGCATTAATCCCGACCCCAAGACATTCTTCTTACTCTCCAATTTGGATGTTCCGGACAGGAACGATGCCTCAACGTGGATGTGGCAATTCACGTACAGCTTTCCCACTCAGAACGCTGACGAAGTGATCGCCATGACGCATGGGCAGAGATTGGACATGCTGAGAGAAGGATCAGAGAAGTGGATCGATCCTTGGAAGAGTGCCTTGAAATGGTTGAAAGATGGAACCGAAATTCCAGCTGATAAAGTGAACCTTTGGAAAAACATAACGGGTTGGGACAACCATGGAGGACGAGTGACTCTGGCTGGAGATGCAGCTCATGCCATGCCACCTTGTGAGTTCCTCCAAATTTTCATCAGACTTGATGGATATGGCTGACACCATCAGATCGTGGACAGGGTGTCAACAATTCGATACAGGATGCAGCAAATTACGTCGTGGCCATGAAGAGGATCATAGATGGAGAAGATACAAAGCAGATTGTCGACGCTTATGATTCTGAGATGCTTGCACGTGGATCAAGGGAGATCGAAATTTCGATGCCCGCTGCAATAGCCACCCACAGTATTGAGCTGTTTGGTGATGGGCCTCTAGCTAAGATAGGCGTGAAGCAGAAAGAATTCACCCCAAAGGCTGAGGAGAGCAGATTGTAGAATAACTTGAGAAGGCTGGGGAGATTATGTTTTGAAGACTTCGAGCGGGGTGTACAACTATTTCTAGATTATTGAATCTCGAATCCGAGAGGGATAATTTTGCGCGGTCCAATTTGATGAAGGCGAACCCCGCCTAAATTTTCAATTTCGACTTCACATTCACCTCGCGATTGCAGTTTATTCTAGGATAAGCTTCAACTTCAGGGGTTTTCTAAAAGTTCAACTTCTGTTCTGGACCATCCATCCTACTGATGGCACGTCATCTTTGAGAACAGCCAAACGCAAATTTCCAGCATTTTGGAGGCATTAAGAATCCATCGACACCGCCACCGATCAGCCCCTCTTCGGAATCGGAACAGCCACCTGCACCAAAGCTGTTGTCCTTCAAGAACAACAGCCTCAGTCCTGAGTAAGTCCAACCCCATCAAGGAGTCGAGCACTTGCGGCACACGTTGATACTTTTCTAGAGCTCTTAGAACCGAGACAGTGCCTCTCAGTGCCGGCCCTGAGGCGAAGCCATTCGCCGTCCACAAGAAACTGCTCTGCGATCAATGCGAATACTTCTCCCAAGCCCTCAATTCGACCACCGAGGAAGCTAGACCTGGCGTTATGAAATCTCCCAGACGATCACGAAGCTGCCATCGGCACAGTCGCCCACCGGCTGTAGTGGTACGAACACTCCCCGAATCCTCATTAAGCATTCAGCCACACCACTTCATTGCCTTTAAAACGATTATTAAATAAAACAGTTACTACCTCGCTACTCAAACCACGATTTCGATGCCTAGATTTGACACTCGAGCCTAGCATCCGCGCTCCATCCCAGAATCTCGAGGGCCGCCTCACGCTGCTGTTCACACTGGCCGATATAGCTGTGCGTTAATGAGCTGATTGATGAACAAACTCATTGCTGTCATAGCAAGACTGGAAAATCCGAGAACCCTCCCGTTATCCCTCACTAAACGCGTTCTCGACGGGATCGAGGCCCAGCTCCGGAGCAAGGAGCGGCGGATGCACAACTGCCTCTCCTCCGTTCCCATCCACAGAACGACACATGAATCCATAGCACATATCAGATGTTTGTGCAGGAACCGAGTCGGAATCCAGCCCTTTCTCTCAAGACGGCTTTTCAGGGTTTCCAATTGCAGAAACGGATGGGGGTTTTTTTTATAACGGTTTATTGGTTTTTACGAGAAGGAATGATGGGGACAGGGTTATAAGAGTTTATGGACGATGTTTCTTGCACAATTTCACGACGAAGGAGGTTTAGCTTCTAGATCAAGACATCTCGTCCTGCAACCCCGAGCCAAACGAGCTTGATACCCAGCTTACCGAAGCGATTAAACATAAACACGGCTTTCCTATTTCCTCATTCCTTCTCATCGACAAATACAAATCCTACACCCCTTCCTAACACCCCGCCTTACGAGTTTCTTACCATCGAAAATATCCCGATATCTATATCTATATCTATTTTTTGATTTTTGAAAGAGGAATTCATCAGACAACACGCCGGTTTCGAGATAACCTTGAAGGCTGACAACTTCTCTAGATACCACGTGCTGATAGATCGTCGATAAACAAACTTTGAGATTATGATTCTTGTAAAACTGGATTTCGATATACTTGTAATCACGGATAATCATAAGTGATAGATAGATAGATACCCTTCACACTCATCTTCCGCTACTGTATGCTGCCTCTGAATTACGTTCGCGACTGCTTTAGACGATGCAGAAGGACTGTGATGTGGATGTACGAGCTATTAGCTGTGAGAAGAACAAGGTTTGAAAGTTAGACTGAGATTGCACGTTCTAGGTGTGGAGCAGAACAACGCCCGAGTATTTCGTTAAGGAGGGTTGAGATGTGAGGATGGAGGAGGAATGAATTAGTACATTTAGAAGAATAGAGAGCGCGGAGTTGCTTGGTCAGGATTCCATGGGGTGTATATTGGAGAAGAGGAGAGTGTAGTGACGCAACAAATTCAAGCTGCTTCTTTGAGGAGGAGATCTTCAACTCTGGAGTGATCTGAAATGACTTCGTGATTGAAACGAAGTTCCATTATCCTACTTCTTCTGGTATAATAATGAGTTTTTTTTCATTGTCTAAACTCTTCTGGTACAATCAAGTTATTCATACAGGGTATCAATCCTCATCACGTCGTCAATGTTCGTACTCTTTGTGATACATTCAGCAAGTCATGTAGAATCCCACGACCCCTGCAATACCCAACACACCAGCGCCCCATCTAACATCTCGCCAGCTACTGCCAACACTCGTGACAACACCACTTTCCACAGTATCTGAGGGCTTTCCCTTGACTTGCTTCGGAACATTATCGATGAAGTACTGGTTGTTGTCACCTACAATGTTGCCTGGAGGATAGTACTCGCAGACAACGTACCAACCCGGAGTCTCTGCACTGATGGTCAGCACCATTCATTGTGATAATACTCCTCGAACATCGTTCATGCCGCTGGAAAGAAAAAGCAACACTCACTATTCTTGTTCGCACAATTCGTCCTGCCACAGCCAACACTCGTAGTATTGCTCCAAACCAACTGCGTGAAGTGTCCCGTCGCCTCGCCGAATCCCGGCTTGCCCCAATTATACTGCTCTCGCTCGAGGCCCCACGCGTCGACCGCTGCACTAGCATTCACGTAGCCCGCTGCGAGGTTCTCGCCGGTAGGCCCGCCCTATGATACCATCAGCCTCATACTTCCTAATGGTACGGGAAGGAGCAGGTATGATTGAGAAAGAGGAGACGTACGCTGTGCGCAAAATTGCACTTGGAGCTCCAGTTCACGGCGTACTTCGCACTCGTGGCATTCCAGGTCACGGCTGCGACGCCGTGCTCGCTGCGGTAGAAGTTCGTCGCTGCAAGGATGTCGTTCTGGAAGCCTTGGTCGCTCGTGTAGCTCGTGCTGGTTGGTGCCGGAGGTGCTGATTGCGTGACGACGATCGTTGACACTGATGCGAGTGCTGTGCCGGCGGAGAGCAGGAGCGCGGTGCTCGTTGGAAGGAGATGCATCGTGAGGAAGGTGATGTGTGTAGCCTCTCACATACGTATTTAGTGTGTCCGTGGTAACTGAGAATGGTTGTTGAATGAATACAGTATCAAGGATCCAGTTGTTGAAGAGTAGTATGGGGCATGGAAGGAGGTATAGAGCTTGAGAGAGCTAAAGTTCAGACGAAAGAAAGAAGCGTTCGAAGGCGGGGACAAAGGTGAATCCGGAAGGGACCCGAAACAAAGGTCAGATCTTGGAGTCCCTGCATCCCGAGGCCTACCTGCTTGCCTGCTGAGATCCAATTCGCTGAAGAGAGAGGCTGTGTGCATATTGAAGCTCACGGGACGCCGACGATGGTCATCTTTGAGGCTGTTTCTTGCTTCGGGGTGTGGGGAAGAGCGGTTGGTTGGTGAGGTCCGTCCGATGACGTTTCGGACAGGGATATGGCCGGGGTCAAATTAGTCAGCATTTTTGGCCTGCAAGTCGTCTCGACTTTCCTTAAACTTTTATTCTGAGATATCGGTAGTCTTCTCTTGATGTCGCTTAAAATAATTCGAGATACGATTGAAATATCTCAAGTTTTGAATACCGTTGTTGAGTCTGCACGCTTACAATGAGAAAGAATTCGAGAAGAAGCTGCCGAAACACCATATTTCCTGCGAAATATACACGCACACGAAAAAACACACACACACAAAGCACACGGCACGCATACGGTTACAGGTGATGCGAATCCATTGTCTACAGGAACCACGGGTATAATATGCAATCGTCTTTACTGATCGTACAAAAGAGGAGGGTCATTCAATTCATGTCATCAAACTCCCTGTTACCCTCACGGAGCGTGTACTCCCTCTAATCTCAATTCAATCCATCATGTATCGCCCATCCATTCAACTCCCATGTTCGCCATGTCATGCAAAGAAATCCATCGCTGTATGCTTATGCCCGAGAAAGTACAAGAAAACTATGGGACATGCAAGGAAAGTCAAGTACTGCAGCTTCGGAAAGGACAGGCGGTGTTCATCCAGAAACCCGATTGAGAATATTCTGAATAATGCATGTACCGCCAGAACTTTAAGAAAGCATTGCAAGCTTCTGAAGAACGGTCAAGACCCCTAGTCCAGTGAGCGATTGTTCCAAGTTTGTCAGGTAGAAGAATACTTACCAGTAACTCCCTGAGTGAGCGTGCAGCCCGCCTCGGTGTTCCGGCTTCCAAGACTCACAGTCGTCACATACTTGACAGTCTTATCAACACCAAGCTCATTTGCCCAGCGGAAGATAACTTCGTCGTCGCGGCCGTCGCCAGCAACCATGAGGAAGTCAACAGGCGACACATGATCGACATTCGGAGCCATGCCTCTCTCAAGACCCTCGAAAATTTGCATAGCTGCTGTGCCTTTGGACCAATCAATTGGCTCGACTATCACAGCACCTGACAGTCCGTTAGCAAATCGCGCGAGGAAAGAAACCAGGGAACAAACCTTCGATGGGAATAGCCCTGACTCTCTGCTCTTCACAAGCATCATTGATGTGACTGGCGCAATCACCGGCCTGGCGAGCTGCACTTTCTTGATCTTCACAGTTCTTGTAGTGGAAGATAAGGCTGCAGTGGCGTGGCTCGATCCAGGACCCGGGGGTACGCTCATGGTAGTACTCCATAATACCCTCGACAGATTCCTTCCAGTCACGCATCTTCTCGGGGTCGGCCATCTCAGCCCATTTAGAAGAGCCAAATTCTTTCAGGAAGCAGCCGTTCTCAGCAATCAGCCCGAGATTGGGGACACGCTTAAAAAGACGATCAAGCTCTTCTGGTTGGCGGCCAGACATAACGTAGATAGTGTTGCGATCATCGAGGAGGAGATCATTCAGGACATCAAGAGTGCGCTACAAATGTAAGCATCAAATCATCCGGGTACTTTTGCTCTCGACTTACCTGAGGGCTGGTGAGGATTATATCATTTGGTGAACCCCAAGAAGCAAGAGTTCCTTCATAATCTAATATGAAGAGTCTTCTCTCAGACCTCTGATACTGGTGACCGAGCTGGTTGATGGACAGACGAGGCACAGAAGTGGTATCGCGTCGATGCTGCTCAGCATAGACTTTTTCAAGTCTTGTGAGAAAAGCGGTGAACCAATGCTCGGCGGTATGGTGCATAACGGCCTTGTAAAGGGCATCCCAGCGTTTCTTCTTCTCTTCATCGTCCATCTCCAGAGCTTTCTTGATCGCATCGGCGCACTGGCGATAGTCCCAAGGGTTGACAGAAAGCTCATTTCCGCCAAAGACTGATGCAGACCCCGTGAACTCGCTCAGAATCAGTGAACCGTTCCTATTGTGACCCTTGAACTTGCCGTCCTGACAGAACAGATATTCGTGAGAGGTCAGGTTCATACCCTCACGCTGGCTAGTAATCATCAATGCATCGGCTACAGTGAGCAATGCCAGGTACTGGGGATAGCTGATGTCTTGCTTGAGGTAGACCACGGGTTGATATGCGAGATTTGCCCAGGATGAGTTGACTCTGGTGACGATGTCCGAAACTGTAGCATCGAGTTCGGCCTGTTCGGTCGTGGAAGTTGCTACTTGGATCATAACAACTCGGTCTCGCCACTCAGGGTACTTGTTCAAGAACAACTCGTAAGCCAGGAGCTTTTGTCGAACGCCTCGAACGTGATCGAGCTTGTCTCGAGCAACAATCAACTTCTTACCCTTGTATCGGTCTTGCATAGTTAGCATCCACTCTGCCACGCTTGGGTCGTCGCGGTTCATGTCCAAGGCAACAGGGTCGATACCGATTGCAAGATCGATCACGTCGACGAAACGGTCCTCCAGTTGGACTCCATCATTCGTAGCCTCAACACACAATAGCCTGCTGCAGGTCTGAAGAAAATGGCGTGCATACTCATGAATCTGGAAACCAATGAGATTGGCTCCGAGCATACCTTCCAGAAGCTCCTTTCGAACCGCCAAGCAACGGAAGACCTCGGATGAGGGGAAGGCCACGTGAAGGAAGAATCCAATCTTCGCATCCGGGAGCTTCTTCCGCACCATGGACGGAACCAGAAGTAGATGGTAGTCGTGGACCCAGATGACATCTCCACGCTTCCAGTTCTTGACGATCTTATCCGCAAAAGCCTGGTTGACCTTCACGTAATAGACCCAAGAATGATCCTCGTAGGCCTTGCTCTTGGGATTATCGGGAATTTGATAATGAAAAACTGGCCAAAGGATTTGTTTGCAGTAATGAGTGTAATGCCCATTGAAATCGGCGTCTTTGCAAAACACCGTCAAACAATCGTGTTCGGTTGCCAATCGGTCCTCGATATCTTGCTTCTGTTGTGTCTCCTCGAGTGCGTCCGTAGGCATGCCTAATGTCCCCACCCAGATCTTATCATTCAACTTGTCGTTTCTCACCGCCGCCTGAACGGCATTGCGGAGCCCGCCATTGCCTTGGTCTGCTGGGACAACAGTCCAGTCAGCATGAGCAAAAACACGATCGTGGCTGTCGCTTCTCAGAGGGAGTGGCTGACGAATACCTGCCCTACCAAGAGTTTCTGCCTTCTCCACAGTCTTATTGTGCTTCAATATGTCTGCGGGCGGAGGAGAGCCGGCTCTTGATCGAGGTTGGGTGAATATTCGTCCGGAACCCCATGCTGGAGAGTGCGGGTCGCTGGGAGCAATTGTAGAGCGAGGGCCTTCTTGCTTGGGGAAATGGCCACGGAGGTCGCTCTGGGCGAAGAATTCGTCCTGGTCTACGTCGGCGATGGGGGTCTGAGGAGGTGTGAGGTCGCGTTGTTGAGGCGTGAAGAGGCTGGGCTTGCCGGATATGTCGATCTTGGTGGCCGAGCGTCTCGGCGCGTGAGGTCTGGGCCGGCTACGAGAAGAAGTAGAGGTAGGGAGAGTAAAGTTGATGGTATTCGGGAGGAATCTGTGGGTTGTCCTCCGTTAGTAACCGTCTTACACACTTTTGGTAATGGAGGGGTTGGCTGGTGCAACTTTGGGCACAGCCAAGAGCTGGAGCTATCACGAGCTCTGGGCAGCGCAAGGGCTCAACAAGCGTGGCAACATTCCACAGAGGGGTTTGGAGCATGTGCAAAGGAGGAGGGAATGATTCTCGAGGCCCAATGGGTTCCGCGGAAGCTCAAGGAAGGCTCTACTTACAGGGAAACAACAAAGACGGTCATTTTAACAGCTTGGAGGGACGCTCAAGGCCGGCTCGTGGTATGAAGGAGGGAAGAGGGAATGGGGTGTTAAAAGATCGAAATTGCGCAGGCATGAGCTTGGTAGGATAAAGAAGAGGTGCTGGTGAAGGGAAGGAGGAGAGTCGCAGGTGGTGCAATTTAGGGTGGTCTGATGTGGCTCCGACTGGAGAGTGTCTTGCTGACGGCAAGGTGCCGACCCCGCACAGTATCTTGAAGCTGGGCAACGAGCTGACAACAATTCGGAATTTCTCCAGCAGTTTGAATCCGGGGGTCACTGGCTCTGCGGATGTGCCGAGCTGGGGACTTGCTGTTGCTGTGAAGCTGCGAAGCTGTTACAGCGAGGGATGCCGCGTTACAAGTAGGAGAGCGCACGATGGTGAAGCGTTGCACAGCGATGGGGGGTCATCCGCGGTGCTCGCGATTGCGTACTCGGATTTCCAGGATTGGAAAGGGGTGAGGTAACGATAATTCTGTGTCGCATCTTCTAGATGTTGCCCATAAAGTCCCATACGTCAGGCACATGCAGAATCTGTCGACCGGGATCTGCTGCAGGTTTCCGGGATTGGCGACCGCGCTGCGGCAGAATTCAGGCCGGGAGAAAAAAAAAGATTTCCAGGAGTCTTGAGTCTCGAGTCTTGATAGGAGTCTTGATAGGAGTCTTGATAGGAGTCTTGACAGGAGTCTTGACAGGAGTCTTGACAGGAGTCTTGATAGGAGATGGGGAGTCCTGGCTCACACCTTAGCAAGCACAGCCCTGCAGCTGTCAGAACTGAGCGTCGAGCTGAGCGTCGCATCGTCGCATGAATGCGCCGGGCATCGACGTGGAGCACTGTCGGGAGAACACGGCGAGGCCTGAGCAGTATTTCGAGGTCGAAATGGGGCAGAAGTGCATATATCCCTCACTCCTATCTATTTGACCGAGAGATTTCAAGCTTCCTTCAAGGGGAGTCAGCGAGGGGGAGTCAGCGAGGTTCACGATACTTCCTCGGCCGGATGGGCAATGCCGCGTCCAGGCCCCTCCTTCAAAGCTGCTTGTAGATTGTCGACAGGCACTGCGGCGCACCAGCCACACCTTCACCGCTTTCGCAAAAGCAGTTTAAACCTCCGCGACACGTTTTGAAAACAGGGAACGGATCTTGACGGTGCAGACGGTGCAGACACTGCAGAGCCCGGCAATCCGTCGTCCAAGCCGGACCACTCACCCAGAGCCAGCGGCCCCGTGTTGGCATTGATTGGTGCAGGAACCCCAACTCGACGTCCAAGGCTCGCTCAAGGCTCTCTCAAGGCTCCAATCCTCCCACGCGCTCCAGCCAGCCCAGAGCCCTCCCCGATGCCACCGCCTAACACGGCGTGAACGGCGTGAACCGCTCGAGAACGAGGCTGCAAACCACCCAAAGCGGATGATGCATGCTTGAGCCGAGTCTTTCCGGCCACTTGATTGCCTGCGAGTCTGCGACGGGTAGACGGGTTAGACGGGCATCTTGCAGCGTGCATCTCGCCGGATCACCTGCGATGGCACCTTTCTTTGGGCATTCGTTGAGAGGGCGCCGCTAGCACGTTGAAAATCGACCCGAACTCCCAGACTCGCTCACGAAGGGATCTCGTTCCGTGTCGTTGGGCACCCACTCCATCACATCTCGCATTTATTTCTGGCTCGGGCACTCCCCTTCCCGCAAGGCTGGGTGTTTAGCTGACGCCAAGCAAGCCCTGCCTGCCTGCCTGCCTACCTGCCTGCCTGCTGTCGTGGCTCTCGCGTCTCGGCTCTGCTCTCTCGAACCCTTTTTACCCCTCCTGCTTGCTACGACGTGTGCTGATTAGCGAGGCCAAGTAAAGGGGGGACAACGGCAAACACGGTGACGCTGTGCAACCCGATCTGGAAATCACGCGAACACCATTGCAGGATCGTGTCATGAAGAGGTTCGCTGGGGCCCATGAGAAAGAATCTGACGTGATCCCGTAAGGCCAAGAAAACTGCCGAGCTCTCAATCGCATTGTGGGGAAGGCTGGCAGTTATATTATCGTCGGCCGAAAATCTGATATACTGTACCCTGCTGTGTTATCAGTAAATCTGGTATACCCTCTCCTCCCGCCGCAGTAAGCTGGCCAATTAATCAATGGGAATTATGAAGCTGTTGATCTCGCTATCAGTACCGTCGCCCCCTATAAGCGCCGTGAATGCCCTCAATAATACCACTTTTCAGCGAGCATCTCGCGATTTTAGTTAAATCTCAATCTATACCATAGACTTATATACTTCCATATGTTACTCACATTTTTTATTTTCACGCTTTAATATATTTTCAATGAGGTTGTATTTAAAGTTCTATAGATTTCTTCTTCTTGTTTTTTGGGAATAGCTGCGCAATATCACATTAGTTAATTGGCCAGCTTAATGCGGCAGGTAAAGAGGGTATATCTGATTTACTTTTAACATAGCAGGGTATACCAGATTTTGCGGCCGACAGAGTTATAGAACTCGGAGCTATGGAGCTCCTCCAGCTCTGCCCAGTAGGTCTCAAAAATCCGGGCACGCCCAAACACTTGGAGGGCCTGGGTCGAAATCCGATGGGCAACACCTCGCAAGTTGATTTATCCTTGCTATATTTAGCCTGTCTCTCCATATGGGCGCCGACAGCCATCAAGCAGCCCAGCCCACCTTCATGCGCTTTTCTTCGAAAGCTCTAGAGGCGCGACTCGCCGGCTGGTCAATAAGCCAAGCCAACCCGGCTTATCAGCCAGCCCATATATAAGCTAGTTTATTAAGCCATTCGGTCGGGCCTTAAATTATTATATAAGTCAATCAACTAAAAATATACTAGTAAGCGACTGATCAGCTAAGTCTTACTAATTTTGTGATTTTGGGGTCCTTTAAATATCTGTTTGGGGGGGGGCGGCGGGGGGAGAGGAGGGGAGGGGGGTTGGGGTAATTAGGTAATTATAGCCTTAATTACTAAGCCTTAAAGCCCTGGAAATCTCATTAGCTCGCATACTAAACGCCTTGATCAATATCAAAATGGCACCCCGCATCTACCCCCACCAGTCGAGCGTCTCGTAATCTCTCAATTGGACCTTCTAAATCGCCATTAAATCTTCTGAATGCCTTTATATGATAGGCAGTGTGCCTACGGAGCAAAAGAAGGACGTATGAGATCGGTGTAATCGACTGGTTATGGAGTACTGGAAAGCACGAGAGTCTAAATGGCCTCATCTTGCTAGAATAGCCTACGATTTTCTTGGTATTCTAACTATGTGCTCTGAGCGCGAGCGAGTATTTTCGTCTTGTGCAAATCTAACTACTCCTGAGAGTTCTGGACTATTAGGTAAGAGCTTATGGCATTACGAATGCTTAAAAAACTGGCAGAGGAGGGGGCAAGTATAATGGAAACGTTTGGGGATGCTATTATTTTGAAGCTAGTTTAATTTAATTTTATGAGATTTATATCTTCAACTGATCAGTAGCTGATTAGTAGAATCAGCTAAGTCAGTCAGCTGATCCACCTCCTATGAGCCAATCAGCTGTCAAAATACCTTAGCTGATGGCTGGCTGACTGACTTATTGACCTGCGTGATTGCTGAAGCTGCAGGAGAAATTGCAATAGCCCATGTCACATGACCCACCCGATTTCGTCTCCCATTGTACAGCTCTGTCCTCAGTCAACTAATGACAGAAGTCAAGAAAGGGATGGGAAATGCCTGGTAAGAAAAGCAGCAAGAGCAGTCCTCAAAGTGGCACCTCTTTAACCTCCTTGACTTCGCCAACCTCCTTAACTTGGCCCGTCACCTCCTTTGCCCTCCGTCGCAATTCAGCAAGCACTTCCTCCAGTTTATCAATTGTACTGTCTTCCTCAAGAACAATCTTCAAGTTCCTCTTTCGACCTCGAAGCTCAATACCCTCGGATTCCTCTGCATCGTTCTCGGGATTTGCGTTTTTGTCTTCATATCTCTTGCTTTGGCTCTGCTCGGATAAGACGAATCGTTCAAAGAAGTCCAAGGCCAGATCCAGATCACATTCTTCCTCCCTGAGATACCTCAAAATTGCTTGTTCTGGCAGTTGAGTGAGTGATCTGGCACTGATCTCTGTGCCTGATTGCGCATGAGTATTTCCAGAACGAATGAGCTTTACCAATGTCAATAACTTGCTTCCAGCATTCGCTTTGCCGGCATCTGAATCCAAGTCGGCATCGATGTAAGATGGAAGCACTTCCAGAGAGCGTATGACCCCTCGAGCGATAAGCTTTTGCGTCCGACTCCTTAAAATCTCATATTGGGATGCGAATGAAGGTGGGTCAACGGACCGCTTAAGACCGCATCTGTCCACGAAAGCCGAATCCAAGGACTCGAGCATATTGGAAGTGCAGAGGAAGATAAGGTTTGGGTAGCTTCTCGTCCGATCCAAGCCCGTCAGCAGAGCGTTGGTGGCCCTCAATGAGTCTTGTGATTCCGATCGCATCATGACAGCCTGTCGAGAGCTTGCGATACTTTCGACCTCGTCGATTAGAACGCAGATGAATCTCTCAGGGTCTTCTTGACACATGTGTGAGATCTTCATGAAGATCTTGTCGACCTAGACATCCCGAATCAGTATTTCATTGTTGCTGAATTCAATTGTCCCAAAAACCCTTTGAACATTTTGAAGACGTGGGACTTGGATGGCCCACGAGTTGTTGAAAGTCCAATTCCAGTCTCTCCAAAATGTCCTGCAAGTTTTTGAACAACCAATTGGGGTAGTGAATGATTGTACGTACTTGCTTGGCACTCTCGCTGTAATATTTGGACATCAGGGCTGCCGTCTTTATCTGGATAAGTTCCGTCTTTTTGTAAGTCGAACTCAGCCGGATGGAGATCTTCTGCGCGAGCCCTTGGCATAAAGATGTTTTCCCTGTCCCAGGTGGTCCATAGAGCAGGATGAGTGGGTTCATTTCACCGCCACTGCCATCAAAACGCTGAGAGAATCGAACTACAGCATGTCAGAATCTAAGCTTCCCTCGCACTCGCTACACGAGTAAACCTACGTATATTCGTCATCATCCATATGAGATCTCCTTTGATATCGTCTTCGAACACAAGCCTGGGCCGGAAATCAGTTTGCATGGCTCAATTATTAATATTAATTTTTCGGATCTGATCGGTACATCGATGTCGGTAAACTTACTCATCCCATTTGCCTTCGAACAATCCATGCGGCATTTGTGTGATTTCTGCTTCAGGAAAGTCTTTATCCTCTGCAAGTGACCGCGGGGTGTGGTGCAATGCGTACACGTGGACCTTGATCCTGATGCTGCTGGAATTGAAGCAACCCTCGAGTGTCTCGGGGCCAAGGTACTCGACGACCTTTAATGATTGCAGTCCAGATTTGGAGCACTGGTAGAATGGACCCAATTTCCTCTCGGCAGCTGTCAAGAAGTTAGCATAGCACATCTGTGAAGTTTGATTGCGTCCCTCTTTCGTGGGCTAGAATATCCTCCAGCAATTCGAAGGTCGCATTTGAAGAAGATAACTGTTTTTCCAAGTCCTCTCGTAACTAGCCAGTGGTCAGAGTTACATTGCACGTAGGGGAAGATGAACAATAGCATCTCTTACCTTTGAGACCGAGATCTCCAGCTGAGGATCGCTCACCACGTCGTCTCGAATCCTAGCCTCAATGAAGAGGGTTCCTTGAATTGTTGAAACATCCTGCTTGCCAACCATGACATAGCCTCCTTCCAAAGGCTGCTTCCCATCATCTGATTTCTCCTCCATCTTGCGCCTGAAAGTGCCTCGAATCTCTCGAACACTTGGAGGGGGAGGCCGTTGATGTAAAGAGAAGAGAGGTGCGGATGCAGTAAATCAACAAGGATTTTATGCAGGCGCTCGCTTATGCAGGTGAAGCGTCATCGTTGGGAGCTGAGTGCACGAAACCAACTCTTGAGCTTCTCGACTCCATGAACTCCGATAAAACATCAACAATCAGGCGACATGGATGGTCTCTCCATCGCGAAGAATCGTACATGTACGCACGTTGATCCGACAAATCCAAAGGCCAACGGACAGCAGAACCAAATCTATGTTCAGCTTGTCCTGTCGTTGGCCCTGGGCCTTTCAGCCTTCTTCGGATTCTGCGTAAGTCTTCACACGACCTGAACGGCCTGAGCAGGGTCCTGACTTTGACAGTTTCTTCGCCCACGATGGAAAAGCTTATACGCTGCGCGGAAGAGGCAGAGCGAATCTGCAGCAAGTCTACCTGAGCTCCCCGATACCTTCTTTGGATGGATGCCCGTATTGTACAAAGTGACGGAACAACAAGTCCTAGACTCCGCAGGCCTCGATGCTTATGTGGTGAGTCTGGCAGATGTATATACTGAAAATATGCCAGGGTCTGACTGGAGATAGTTTCTGGCTTTCTTTAAGATGTCAATGAAGCTCTTTGGGGTAATGTTCCTGGTCACCTGCGCAATACTTGCGCCAATCAATTACAAGTTCGACTATCTCCCAACTCCAGGAGACAGCACCGATCCCCGAAACCCACCCGAGTTGTTTTCGAATAACCCTTTGTGGGGCAGTTGGAGCGTCGCAGCAGACACTGTTGTCCTGGCCAGCGATGGTAAGACGGAACTCCCGAAGACTGACTATCTTTGGGCCTACCTTGTGTTTACCTACTTCTTCACGGGTCTGGCGATTTATTTCATGACATCTGAAACCCAGCGCATAATAAAGGTTCGACAGGAATACCTTGGAAGCCAGTCAACCATAACGGATCGGACAATCAAGCTCTCTGCTATCCCACCTGAACTTCGGTCCAAGGAGAAGATCAAGGACTTCTTGGAGAAGCTCCAAATTGGAAAGGTGGAGAGTGTAACTATTTGCTGTAATTGGAAAGGGCTTGATGATATGATGGATAAGAGAGCCCACCTTGTTCGAAAAATTGAAGAAGCGTGGACCGTACACCTCGGACGCAGCAAGACTGCAGCTCTTGAGCCAGTGCAAGCTCGACGTTCAGGAATACTTGATGAGGATGAGCAACACGAGAGCCAGGAAAATAATACCTTGTTAGGTAGGGCCCATGTCACGGCATATGAGAAGCCCCGCCCAACGACCAGGATATGGTATGGTTTTCTCCATTTACAGAATCGCAAGGTGGATGCCATTGATTACTACGAAGAACAACTGCGGAAACTCGACGAAAAGATCTCCATGGCACGAAAGAAAGAATATACGCCAACGTCTCTGGCATTTGTTACAATGGACTCCATTCCCGCTTGCCAGATGGCTGTGCAAGCACTTCTTGACCCATCACCCCTGCAGCTTCTTGCCAGACTGGCTCCAGCACCCTCTGATGTTGTTTGGTCGAACACATATCTACCTCGCTCGAGCCGTATGATTCGGGCCTGGACGATTACTCTTTTCATCATTGTACTCACAATCTTCTGGCTTATTCCGGTCGCGGGTCTGGCTGGGCTGCTCGACCTGTGTTCCATTGAGCAGGTGTGGCCTGGGCTTGCCAATCTCCTGTCCAGGCACGAGATCCTTAAAGCCCTTGTGCAGACTGGCTTACCCACCCTTGTCGTCTCCCTGCTCAACATCGCCGTTCCATTTCTATACGACTACCTTGCCAACATGCAAGGGATGATCTCACAGGGCGACGTGGAGCTGTCCGTGATCTCTAAGAACTTTTTCTTCACCTTTTTCAACGTCTTCCTTGTTTTTACAGCGTTCGGAACTGCAAGCAAATTCTGGGGGGAGCTTCAAGATTCGTTGAAAGACACTACTAGACTTGCATATAACCTTGCTCGCGCTGTAAAAGGTCTCGCTGTCTTCTACATCAACTTCATTCTCCTTCAAGGCGTCGGTCTCCTCCCGTTTAGGCTGTTGGAATTTGGTAGCGTGTCGCTCTACCCGATTCTGCGCATGGGAGCCAAAACCCCGCGGGACTATGCCGAGCTTGTCCAACCGCCAATCTTCAAATACGGCTTCTACCTCCCGTCTGCCATACTCATTTACATACTGTGCATCGTGTACAGTATCCTCCCGGCAGGATATATGGTCCTATTTTTTGGGCTGATTTATTTCGTGTTCGGGTACTACACATACAAGTATCAGTTGCTATACGCGATGGACCACCCACAGCATGCAACCGGAAAAGCATGGCCCATGGTATGCTATCGCATTCTCGTTGGCTTGGGCGTCTTCCAGCTTGTGATGGCTGGCGTCATTGCCTTGTCAAATGCGTTCGTTCCTGCTGGACTGGTGGTTCCGTTGATTCCCTTCACGCTCTGGTATAGCTATTATTTCGGACGAACGTATGAGCCGCTGATGAATTTCATCGCTTTGAGGTCTATTCGGCGCGAAAGTGACGCAAGCATCAATATTGCTGGCGAGACTGTTGGACTCGATATGACAGGTGCGCGGATCCGAAGGAGGCAAAGCACTGTGGATGAAGAAAGGGAAAAGTTTTCGAAGTTCATTAATCCAACCCTCACTGTCCCGTAAGTTCTTTAGACCTTCATCTCCAATGCAAACGGCTTGTCTAACCCCTTTGAAGCCTAGAGAAGCCCTGGATCAATGCGGAATCGACTTTTAATGGCGACGCACCGCAGACGGACCTGGAACACGAAGAGAGTACTGCAAGCTCTTTGAGTTTAGGCGATACACATATATGGCGCGATAACGGAGATGCGAATGTATAACGCCAATTCAGTGCATTCATAACAAGGAAATCATTATAGGCGTTAGGAAGATTTTGCATAGCAACGAGGGAGTACCGCACCTTCTTTCACTGGTTCCTTCTACATTTTGTAACAGCAATATACCCAAATTGTTCCTTCCCAAAGTACTCTCCTCAAACTTTTCTTCCCGACCTTTTGGCTGTCTTGGTTCTCAATTTTCGTCTTGCACCTTTTCAGCGATACTGCCCCTTCTATCCTGCAGCCATTCTCGGGGCTTGGGAACCCTCTATTCTTTCTCTCAGACTGTATCCCTTTCGTTTTCTTTCATCCAACCTTCTGGTAACAGCATACTATTGAGAGACATCGAGATGACCGTGGTTTCCTATCATTCAACTCTTATCAGCGACTTCGCCTCCCAGGAGGAGGCTGCCGACAAAACGTCTTCCCAGATATTTCTATCTAGGGGCGTTGCCGGTGCAGAAGTTGAACAAGCAACTCCAGCTCCAGCGCCCCGATCACCCTCCCCAACCTTCGTGATGTCCGTTTTTGAGTCTGAGTCAAGACATGTGATGAATCTCGGGAACGCGGCTGCTAAGGTCAAATCGACTGTCATGGCTAGTGATTCAACTCGCGCGGGCCAGTCTCGGCTGCATCAAGACTGTGTTAAAGGGAAGCACCATGTTGCATCTGGTGAGAATATTTTGCTAACTGGCGTAGAAGCCGCTGCGGGCAATCGCAGAATGTCCGACGATCATCCAACAACACTCATGAGATCTCTGGAAAGTACTGTTGAACGGATAGAGGATACACCGGAGGACGGTTTTACAAAAAGTGCTGACAGGGGAAAGGGCAAAGAGGTTGATCGAGGCAGGACGCTGGAGCGGGGCTCAAGATACCCGAATCCTCTCGAAAAAGCCGAATCCAGACCCCGCAAGTACGATCCTACCATTGAACTTGATGTGCAGGCAATCGAAAAACGACAAATAAGCCGCAGCAGTACGTTCTCGAATTTCGAAGATCCCAAGGATCCATGTGCTATCTTGGAGGACAATTTGCTCGAACCTTGCCCGCGTCTTTCAATTCGTAACTCGGTTTCGGAGGTTCTCAGTGCCTCAGAGAGCTCAGATTCTCTTCCGGGTGGTTTGATCCATGGTAACACATGGAGCTTTTTCGAAACGCCAGGCCTCAATCATCCACGCCCGGCTCGGACTCTCACCACTGTCTTTAGTGACTGCCATCCTGTCTATCCCGCGCCTGTTTTGCCTCCCGAGAGCCTTCCAAAGAGTCGTCCAGACATTGACCAACTCGAAAATATAGCCACCTCATCATCTACGCCTCTATGGTCGACCTCAGAAGGAACCCCAAATTTAAGAGCAGTTGATCTGAGTCAAGCATCTCGACTACCCACGGAGATTCTTCAGCAGATATTCTATAACCTGGCACCTGCAGACTTCAATTCTGCTAGACATTCGTGTCGATCATGGTTAATCAAAAGTCTCAATCGCTCACTGCTTGAGACAATGTTGAAGCGAGCAGGATTCTCAAATCGAATCGTCCCGCCCACGGTAGATCAACATGATGATGCCGGAGATGGTATCAGTATCGAGTGGTCGATGAGCAAGACACTTGCCCTAGAATGTGCACTCGGTCCAGACTGGACTGGTAATGGCCTTGCAAGAGATTGCACATCGGAATCATCAGACTCTGCCTTCGTGGAGGTATGCACTCCCCCCTATTTCCCTCGCCTAAAAGTCCCACGATCTGTGGGTCACTGAGAATTCTTTTCCTTCAGTGCGGGCTTTCGCGGCTTCATACATCTCTTGCCCCAGCAGCTGCGATGCATCAAAAATTCTCGGCCCATGGTATCTAACTTCCATGCAGACTTCCAGGGTTGACTTCACCGAAGTCGCGGTAGACTATCCAGGACAGCCACTTTCGGTTGGAACGATCTTTACCATCAGCAGCTGTAGCAGATTCTTGATGGTTGCCAATGGCTGCTTGGTTTACCTGTACGAACTGAACCGCTCGCACAAAATTACCGCAGGTGAGTCGATTATTAGTGCTGGTGCATTGCGTCCAGTGACGAGTATCATCTGCCCTCATCGGGTCCTTGCATGCAGCATGGACACTTCCTCCAACAGATATGCAGTTGCCATTCTCCTTGATGGTCGTATGGGGCTCGTCTGCGACATCAATACCTCCTGGGCATCATCTCCTGCTCCCGCTACTGGGCCAGGAACGAATGCCAACTCCGTAAATGTCCAGAGTCCAGATAGATCTTCCGAGACTGGAGTCCGCGGAACATCTTTCTTAGACAGGGTATCGCTCAGAACCTCCGCTTGGACGGCCAACCCAAACCATCAGGTAGGTAGAAAATGTGCCAGCTCTCTAGGAACAATAATCATCGAGGGATTGCTGACCCTTTTTGCAGAGCAAGGAACCACCGTTTGTCTTTCCTGGGATCGCAACTACGGGTCCAAATTTTGCTCCCGTGAATCGATCTGACTGGCAGGATGTGTTCAGTGATGATATACCGGACCACACTCGTACAGCTGGACCAAGTTCACGGCATGGATCACTTCCCCGTGCACATGCCATCAGTCCTGAGGGTGAAATGGAGCATTCTTTCGCGTCTGATCAAGACCGACAGCCAAATTTCATGCCTATCGAAAATGGGCCGCGTTCGCTTTATCGCAATCTATGTTCTGACGATGATCCTCCACGCTCGGTAGCAATATGTCCCCAACGGCGTTGCGTTGCTTTTGGCTGTTCCTCTGGGATTGAATTGCACTGGGTAGATGCGCTTACTGGACAGGACCTCAATAGATGGTTTCCGCTTACAGCGCCAAGCGATTTCTTGTTCTTTCTGCCGCCAAGAAAGAGCATTGATTCAGCAAAAAAGTTGAGGCTGATTAGCAGTGCTGCAAGACCGGGCGAAAGACCAGCAATTGTGGAAAGACCATTTGGTACCCGCACCAAAAGCAGTCCGTTTTGGGAGAGATTTCCAGTGGTGCTGGGACAGTTCGACAATAGTTCAGACGCAGACCTGATCCAAGGCTCTCTCTCAAGACTCAGAGGAGACGCCGGCAGAAGCTCGTTGACAGGACGTATGGATTGTTCTGATCACTACCGCGCGATCCCGCTCAGCGATGGATACCACATCCTGTTCACAGATCCCAGTACTGGATTGCTGTGTCTTGGCAGTGACGCACCTGTTGGCGGACCCACCAAATTGCTCCGGAAGATATGGTTCCAAGGTCCGAAAGGGGAGGGCAGTCCTCTTACTTACGCGGCTGGTGCGAACTTGAGCTGTGGGGTCCGAATTGTTGCTGCATTCGGCAATGGGACAGAGCAAGCTATCTGGTTATTTTCTGTCCCAAGGGACGTCTTTGCCACCAACCAAGGTGGCCAATCCCCATTGAGTGCCTCTTCTTACTTGAGATCCAAGTCCGGCCAGGAGAACTCAAACTCGGAATGGATCAACTGGTGGCCAGATGATGGGCTGCAGGAATGGCTCAACTACGCACGAGATCCGGTAGCTGGTATTCTGCCTCGAAGTGTATGGCCGGTCAAAGTTCGTGGTCAACAGATTGGCACTTGCAGTGGTTTAGTCGATCTTACAATTGACTCAGGTCCCGACATGACCATCTGGGCTTTCAGTAAGCACGGTATAGCAACTGTGTGGAATATCGATGTTGGGAGAAACGAGGCCGTCAAAAGACAATGCGTTATGAGGGATGGTACTGTTCGAGAGATTGACAGTGACGGCGACGTCGAGATGATAGATGCTCGATCTCCATCTCCTGACATTCTTAAACATCCCAAGCCACTCACCCAAGCGTCTTATGATGGGGCGGCATTTTCTCCGACTATGCAAGCCAATCCAGTCTATGATTCAGAAGGGCATTTGCTGATGGACGAGATGACTCAATCACCACAATTTGATGACGAGGACATAGAGCCCGCGGACCAAGAAATAGTAGCAGACGTTTGGTGCCATGGGGATGGATGGACCAACAGATTGTTCCGAAGACCTGTGGTAGATTTGGTGGAAGAGGTAACTGGTGTATCTAGAATTGACGTGGAGATTCGATGAAAGAATGGATGATCGGGTTGGGGTCAGATCGCACCAGAGGTTGCAGAGAGAAACCTAAACTCTTCTTTTCATTAGAATCAATTGTGCCAGCCCTCTTCGAACATTTCCCTCCACCTTCGCCCCTTTAAAATTCTTATACCTCGCCTAACACCCCTTTTCCAGATCCCTGTAAATCAGGCCTCGACTTGGAATAGTGGGCTTTGGCGCCGCCCCCTGAACGCCACCCGAAGCGAGTCGCCTTGCCTTGATTTCTCCATCAAAACACCAAGGAATCCCCGTTCGTTTGGCACCACTTCACTCGTCATCATGTGCCCAACCACCAGCAGCCCAATATTTCCTTCTGCCGTCGCCGCCGGATCGGCGTCTCTGGTGCAACATGCGCTGGCACGTACTTATACGCCTGCTTCCGCAGTCTCTCTGTCGCGAATCGATTTAGGTTGTTCGTTTGGCGATTAAGCAAATTTTACACACGATTGGAAGCAAGAGAGGAATTTCCTGAGGGAGGAAAATCTTGGCACACGACGGGACGAAACTCCTCTGAATAGACAGGAGGAGAGCAAAGCAACATGTGTCTCTTTAGCAGTACGTGCCTCTGCCTCTGCCTCTGCCACTATTCCAGCGCATCAGGAACTGGAAGCTAACGCCCAGCAGCAAGACCAAAATGGGAAGAAGAAGTCGTCTTCGCCAACCGCCCTAGCAAACGCCGCAGTCGAGTCGTCGAAGAAACCATAGTCCGCCGTTCTTCTCCCCATCCCGCACAATTCATACAAGCCCCTCGAACCTCAACACCTATTATCCGTATCGGGACCCCGCCTCAAGTCGTGAGAGTTCCTGCCCCGCCTCCTGTGCCGAGGATTGAATTGGTGGAGGTGGAGGAGGAGAAGAGGAGGGGCAGTCCGCGCGCGAGCAGGGCGAGCGTGAGTGTTAGTAATGCGAATACGAAGAAGAGCAGACACGGGAGTCGAGGCGGGGAGGAAGTGTACATCGAGCGGGAAAGGGTGAGGGAACGGATTGATCCTGGCCCGGAACCGAGGAGGAGTGTGGAGATGGCGCCTGCTTATAGATATGTGGAGGGTGCTGGGGCCCCGCCCAGGGCGAGCGACAGGTATATTGAGGAGGAGGGGATGAGGCGGAGTAGGAGTATTACTTATGAGACGAACCCGAGGATGTCGGCGAGGACTATGGAGAGGGAGAGGGAGAGGGTGGTTGTCGAGGATGGGGGAAGGAGGAGGGAGTACTATCGACGGCCATAAGGGGTGTTTTTGTGAGAGATGGGATATTGTTAATATGTGGTTGTCTACACATTTATTCGGAGCCAGTGTTCGTGGATGTAGGAGAAAGTACCGTCGGGAGACCGTGATATGGTTTGGAGCGGGAGGTGCATATATTATCATAGTGTGGTTGTCTGCATACTTTTTGGGAGACAGCGATTGTTTTGCATCAGTATAGATCGCGGTCATGTTCATTTCCGTTGATATTTCTCAAGTCTCACTATTTCTCTTTGCGTTCATTTTCTCTTCTGCTTTTACAGCTGGACTTAAACTGCTCCCTTTCGTTTCTTCTCCATACGTCTCCCGAATCAGTTGAGGAGGCGATGATATTGAACCGTGATCGACATCGTCCGAGCCTACTTCCAGACGCCCGAGACAGAAATTATTTCGGGAGGCAGCTGGATCTTGGGAATAAGGCTGCCACACTCCGACATCACGGATTTAGAGAGTCGTGGTTGGGACAATGCTTCGGAGTTGGGCACGAATGGAATGCATGTGCAGGGGTTCGAGATTGGAAAGATGCAGGGCGCATCCAGAGCGTTCCATTTACTGATCAATACTTCAAACGGCCAACATTCGAAGTCCAAACATCACTAGGGACAGTCCCTACGAATTGATGCTCGGGAAAACTGACCAGCTGCTGATTCACGTGAGTCTGCTGGATCCAGTCTCAGAGTCACTCACCACCTCATCTATCAATGTTCACTGACCATGATTGGTGGTGTCACCATCAGGAGTTGGACGTTGGATATGTGACATGCAACGAGAAAAGCAAGACCGATCAAATACCGGTTGAACTCCGAGTTCTCGCCGACAAGCTCCTTATTCCGTCTCTCCAGAGCGTCGGGATCAATGAACCCGAAATACTGCGGAATAAAATTCAAGACTACGAGTACCAGTACGAGATACTTGCCATATTTTTATGAGAAGGCGGGGTCGGATAGTCAGTTGAGGAACCTGGTTGTGAGTTGGTGTGCGTTCAACATGGCCGGTTCGAGGTTTGAGGGGAAGCCGGACCATTCCCGCAGAAGATGTTATTAGACTCGGCGAAGGTTTTGGTAGAGAACATGCCAGAGAATGCTAAGGAGAGGATTTCTGGAGAGAAAGATATGGCGGATTATGAAGTCGAGGAGCCAGGTGAGGCAGCGTAGTGGTGAGTGAAGCGTGTAGGCTTTTCTGCTGGGCGCAGTCGGAACAGGTACAGTATTCGGCGTTTGGATAGCAATTAAATTTTAATTTTGAGTCGCTTCAACCAATTGTGCAAGTGCCTCGATTGTTCTCCTAAATTTCTCATCTCAATTTTTTACTTATGTAAATTTATTCTGTTTGGCTTATTCACCGCATATCCTCTCCACATCCCCCATTGAAAGCACCCCCCTTTGCATTCTATTACGTTGCTCCAGAACATCCTCGACGTCGAGAGTCAACATACCATCTCCCAACAACGTACTCCAAGATGTCAGACTCTAGCTCCGACTCAAGCTGGCCTTCCCTTGCCTGGTCCAACATACCAATCGATCGGTACAAGCCTGACCCCCCAAGAAAGAAGGGGCCCACCTTTTGGTAAGCATTATCGTCTTGTCGATCGACTTTGAAGCTAACGGACCCAGGAATTCGCACCAACTGGTCACTCTGTTTGCAGGGCAGAATAAAGAGGCCAAGTCTTTCCTCATTCACAAAGACTTCGCCTGCCACTATTCCCCAGTCCTAAAAGCAGCACTTAATAGCAACTTCATCGAAGGCCAGACTCAGAGCTATCGAATGGAAGAGGACAACCACGAGGCCGTTCATCTGCTAATCCATTGTAAGTGCTAGAAGACCCATCTACTATTTCAATTATCTCATGACTTTCTCGTGGTGCAATGTTTCTGCTCTCGAAACAATCTTTGTCCCGCAATTGCTAACTTTCTTATTCGTCAGGGTTCTACACGCAGGTCCTGGATACTCAACAGCCAAAAGAACGATTAACCGGAAAGCCAAAAGACAACGAAGACCTCGCCTTGATCCAGCTCTGGATTCTGGCAGACAAGCTCCTCATCCCAGAACTTCAAAATCTAGTTACTGGCAGGATCGATTCTATTCGCCGGATCACTCAAGCTATTCCCACTGGCTGCCTTCAATCCGTGTACAAGGATACCTCTGCAGGAAGTCCGCTTCGTCGTTGGTTTGTCCATCAATGCGCTGCTCAGGGGAGCCGGATTGGTTTACCGAGCACCCTGAAGACTTCCCGCATGAGATGCTCATCGATTTTGCGGCTGTGTGGAGCAGGAAGATGCAGGAGGCAACGAAATTCGGACTTATGGAGGAGACTAATATCACTGATTTCGAGGTTGAGAATCCAGAGTAATGGAGACCTTGGGCAGGAAAGATGGTGTACTTGAGAAAACTTTACATTTCTATCTAGCTCAACGCTATTATCTCGAGGCATCGGGAAGATGGAGTTGGTGTTTGTCTGTGTTTCCTAGCGGTGTGCCAGTTTGTACTTCATGTGGTAGATAGTCGTGAGCCACGAGGTATTTGGGCAAATGAAGTCTTTTTCGATTATGGAACTCTCCGTAAATGTGTTCTTGAAAACTTGATCTTCGTCCACGACGCGTTGGGTGTCTTTCTACCCTGGGTAATCGGCACACTCGCCTTTTGATGCTACTAGCAAATAGCAATTCGGATTCACCTTAAATAACCCATACGACTTCGACCTTCGCCTGACACCTTATTTACACATATTCACCTTGGTACCTCGGTCGCCTCCTTCCATTATAAATCTCGTTGATCCTTCCACCACAATCCATATCCTATCCTAGCTACCCACCTTCGAGGATCTCTGAACCATCAAACCTCGATCACGGAACCATGGCCGGCACTGCAACCTCTTCCTCTGCTCGTCCTGCAGGCAGTCCAAAGACTAAGAAAAACCCATCCCTCGAGTAAGATATTTGCCTTATCCATGGGACCTTCGATCTAACTTGCATGCAGGAATCCGTTTGCCCTGGTGACACTCTATGCTGGCAATGAAGAAAATGCCAAACCCTTCAAGTTGCACACAGATTTTGCCTGCCATTATTCCCCCGTATTCAAAGCAGCGTTCAACAGCGGCTTCACCGAAGGGCAATATCAAGAATATCGACTGGATGTGGAGGAGGAGGAAGTTGTCCGCCTCCTAGTCGAGTGGTTCTATACGCAAGCCTTGAATACTCGCCAGCCGGAAGAGAAGTTGGACGATGCGGCGACCATGGAGGAAGACCTCATTCTAGCCAAACTTTGCGTGCTTGCGGATAAACTCCTACTGCCTCAAATGCAGAATCAAGTTTTAGACAGAGTACAAGAGATCCGCAACGCGGCTGGGCGAATACCTACAGAATGTTTACATTACGTCTACAACAACACGCCGCCGGGAAGCCCTCTACGTCGGTGGTATGTGTATGAATGTGCTTCGTGGCTTGATAGAAATTGGTTGGCGGATCACACTGATCAACTTCCACACGAGATGCTTATTGAACTCACCATATTCTTTTGCTCTTACGTCAATGATCTGCCAAATCCACTGCTGGCTGATTTGAGGAATCTCCATTCGGTGGCTGACTTCCACGTCAAGATTCCCAATAATTGACTGATCTCGGCACAAGGTCAGTGTGCTTCGACACAACTCTCGGTTTGGCAGGATGTGGCTTAGGCAGTTTCAGGGTACCATTTCAATGATAAAGGATGAAGACCATATATCGGGCATTGCTTAGGATTGTTTCGATGGTCTCGGAGGCAGGGGTGCTTTACCTTGTGCTTCATGTGGCAAGCACTTGCAAATTAGTGGTATTTCAAGCAAATAAATATGCTTTTTAAGCATAAAACTCTCTGAACTTCTAATGAATTTGATTGTTAGCCCATGTTTTATTCCATTCAATGGTTCGTTTATCGCTATACTTTCCGTCTTGACTCGAAAGCCTTCCTTAAATATCCTGGCTATTATTCTCGGCAGATACTTCTCGAGGCTATTACCACTCTTTCTATATAGTCCAAGGCAAAGACTCGGCCAAAGACAAAGACGGAAAATTATAAGGTTGAGATCCCGGATTAATAAGCGCCCAGGGCAACAGAAGGCATTAGTCAGTCATTATTTGGTACAGGTAATAGCTTTAAGATATACAGACCAATCGAATTATAGGAAAGGGAAAGGTCGAGGTTAAGGGCGATTTACTAGAGAATCTAATATAATGTCCTATCTCGGAAGGGATATTAACCTACCTATTATAATTATCTAAGATATACGTTAATTCTTTACCAGGAGGGAAATAGTTATCTGAGAGGGTTTCTACTATTTATACCTTTCTCTCCACAGAATTTACAAGCACTTGTACTGGGGGCTTTTCTTTTTTAAAATAATACAAACATGAATACCAATTTGCTTTATCATGATATTGAAGTCTTGAAGTCTTGAAGTTTTGCTCAAAGAGTTTCCTCAGCATTATGCATTCTCCTTGCAACGTGCTCACAGACAAGCATACTCGCGAATCGCATCTAGACCATGGACCCTTGTCCCGGTACCAATGCTCAAGGAAACGATAGCTGTGGCGGCCTATATTCCCCAGCCGGCTGGTTGTTCTCATGACTGTACGAAGTACTATAATAACGTCTTGTGATTTTGACCGAGGATGATAGCTTGAGACGCCACTTCACTTTTGAATAAGCATATAAAGTTGTCAGATCCCCAGGATTCTCGAGAATGTGTTGAGTGGGTTGATCAATTGGTGGTGTAAACTCACCTTGAAGCTATTGCACCGCCAACACTTCAACAATACAGCGTTTTTACAAGACCATTTTCTTTCCAAGTAAATGCAATTAGATCCCCGAATAGCTAGCAGAAGTACTGGTTATTTTTGTTTTGATTTGTTAGTTCGCTGTCCACGTTTATCTACGTCTTTCGGGGAGGTGCTGAACGCGAAGGGCGGGAGACGCTTTCAGTTTCTTCGTGGTTGTAAATTCACTCTGATGCGAGGCTAAAGCTTGGCGTAACTTCCAGTTTCGAAGTCATCTTTCCTTTCCTACTACAACTCGTCAAAACTCAGAGCTCTTCTGGAAAATCAACCTTCCCTGGCAATAGAAGGCAACGCTGATCTTATCAATTGGCCGCGTCAGTAATCCCTCCAAGGACAAGTGATCCCCGACAATAGCTGCTGACTCTTGCTGGGCAGGCACGAAAAGATGGCGACCGCAAGCTCAGGGTCTGGTGCTCTCACCCAGTCGCCTTCCCCTTCCACATCGACGGCCGATACAAGCACCAACAATGAAGATGTGAATAGAGACCCAAACTTCTCGTACGTTCTTCAAACTTGAATTGAGTCTGACAATTTGTTAACAAGCGGCAGAAACATGGACGAAGTGGTGACTCTTATTGCAGAACCGCATCACCGAGAACTGGACACCAAGAACAAGTTCATTGTGCACAAAAGTTTTGCTTGCCACTATTCTCCTGTCTTAAAGGATTTCTTCGACAACGAGAACGTGGACCGCCGGCTTCGCAAATATCACCTTCGCGGTACTAGCTCTAATACCGCCCAGCTCCTATTACAATGGATCTACACACAGAAGGTAGATATTGGAAAAATCGCTGAGCGGCCCGAAGGAGAGGCCAAGAGCCAAAGTTTGGTTTTTCTTTGGGTGCTGGCTGAGAACCTTCAAATCCCTCGATTACAAAACGCTGTTATACGCGAGCTGCAGGCATTGAGAGACCGCGGTGAACCAGTTCCCACCCTCTCTCTGAAGCACGTGTATGAGAATTTTCCACGAGCCAACCCACTTCGCCGATTGCTTCTCCATCAATGTGCTGGCGGTCTTAGCAAGTGGTACACCGACAATCCAGAGCAATTCCCAAAGGATATGTTACTCGAGTTGACTGTTTATCTCAGCAAAGCAGTGCAGTCAGGTACGAGTGCCAAAGATCTGAGGGAGAACACAAATCTTTCCGACTACTTTGTTCCAGAAGCTTGAACTAAGGGTAAGCTGAGTCCCTGAATAAATTTGAAGGAGGCTAACAAGTAGAAAAAGTTCACTCGTCAATTTGGCTTACAGGGGGTGAGTAGCGAAGTTGCGGGGGTTCACCGATGTAAGAGAAGATTCTCCAAGATGCTTCTCTGATTAGATTGACTGGATCATGCATGATGGTTCGGGATTTGGGAGATGCCTTGTAAAATAGCAAGAAAAGCATACTGGGAAAGACTAAATCGCAAAATGAACCAAGTAATTGCATTTCCTCTTCATCAAAGTGACGGTGATAAATTGAACCCAATTTCTCGAAGATCGTGAAACTGAACTTTTGGTGTACCTGCAAATCCACTGTTGATACAACTTCTTACCGGATTTAAAAGGCCTTGATCTCAGCTCCTCGACTCGAACCTCCTTCTTTCCTTCAACATCAGCCACGCCGACAAGCAACCTAACAACAACATCTTATTGTTGAGAAAATCTGGTAAGATTACTTTAAGACTCTTCTGCTCTTCTACTCGGAAGTTGACAGTGCCTCAGTGCAGATCAGACAAGATGGCGAGCACGCAGACTCCAGCGGCAGCGCCTTCACCTTTGACACTAACATCCACCAACACCGCGGCACAGAAGAAACCAAAAACGAAAGTACCAAGTCTTACGTACATATTTAAGTTTAGTTCCTAGCCTGTGAAAGTACGAAGAGGATCTTTTCCCGATCGTTCACTCTTCGTTCGAAAAGGGGAATGGAAATGATGGCTGAACACTTTTGGTACTAGGAAGCCTGCCGAGCTGGTTACACTCTCTGCTGTCAAGAGTGATGAAAAGTTCATTGCCCATAAAGAATTCGCCTGCTACTACACTACTCCCCAGTCCTCAAGGCGGCGTTCAACAGCAACTTCATCGAAGGCCAAATATATAAGAAATCGAACATGAACCGAAGAGGAAACTTAACTTAACATCGATTCGTCAATTCCACAATACATTGGACTTGATCTTCGCAAATGCTAGGCTTGTAAAAGTCCTTCCTTGCTCTGCGCCGTCAAATGCAACAATTCATGTCAAGGTATCTATACCCATCATTAGCGAGGCGGAGCTCAGGAAACATCAGGCTGAATAGAGGTTAATTCCAACGTGAACGGAACAAAAGGCCAAGGTCTCCTTTCCAACATGAAATTCATTAATTGTACAGCGAGTAACAAGTTGGAATTGTGCCACAATCTAAATTATTTCATGAAACGTCTATACATGGACGGGGATTGCATTGCGACGGCTGCAAAGAATGGTCTTCAGACGTCGATCACTTGAAATTTTATTCTGACAGCAACTCGATTGACTTCTTTCACAAATCAAACAGTGGAAGTATGCCTCGACTCAATCTTCAATGCCTTGTCTTGCTCGGACTCTCACTCAGGTAGGTGGTGTTCAATTTCAATGCCAGCAAAAAACTAACCCAGCAAATCACTCCCATCCTCTCCGCCGCACCACCCTTCAAAATCCTAGTCGAAACACCCGGCCTCCCCTCCTTCGTCGCCAAATGGCTCACCGTAAACGGGACGACCAGCTTTCCCGAATCCGCAGGCCCAATCTGCTACCTCTGACAACAGCCAGCTCTTCATCGGGGATCCAAGCCATCCTGTTGCTGTGAAGGTTAACCGGACATCTAATTCTGTGCTGGTTGCTGGGAACACGGCGGTGCAGGGAAAGACCACAGGCCCGTTGGTGCAGAGTGTGGGGTGGGTGATGACGGGGTGGAGTGTGGATAATGAGAAGTTGAGCTTGGGGTGGACAGTGGCGGGGATGGGGAATGCGAGTTTTGTTTATTCGAATTCGAACGTTTGGGCGGTTTTTGGGGATGTTGGTGCGGACAATGTTAGTGAGATGAGATATCATGCGAATCTGGTTCCTAGTTTTTCTTAGGACAAGGGACCTGCTGGAGGTTGAGTTGCGAGGGGCTGCAGTGATTTGATGATCAAGATAGGAGCAAACTTGCATAGACTATATGTCCCGACTTCTCTCGAGCACTTGAGCTTCCATGCGATCCAATAAACTAGGAAGGAGAGGAGTAATCATCTGAAACTCTTTCACTTCCTCGAGAAGGGTTTGATTCTTGTCTATTAAGAGTCTATGACTGTGATTTGATCATGAAGATCTGCGCGGTTTTAGTTCTCGGAAGAAATGATACGAAGGGAAATTTTACCTGATTCAATGACGCCACATCCATATGCGCCAGCCGTTTCTGAGCAATGTTTCGTGCTCTAACGGCGTGTCTACCCTGCATCATAGGCGTAGAGCGACCACTAGACTCGACTGTAAGAGGTGTTGAAGGGGTGCTGTCCTTGGTCGAAGTCTGAGTAGATTCCGCAGATTCAGCATCGTTCTCAGCCTCTTTGGCCTTGTCTCGTTTCGACTTCTTCTTTCTCTTTGACTCCTTTTCGGCCATCTCCACATCAGAAGTTGCCTTCTCTTTCTTCTCTTTCTTTTCCTTCTTCCGCTTCTTGATCTCGATATCGTCCTCACTTTCCTCCGACACCCGCTGCTTTCGGTCCTTCTTGGACTTCTTTTTCGAGATCTTCACCTCCCCCATTGCCGCAGCAACTTCTTCAGCACCGTCAAGAGTAGTTGATGACTTCCGCCTCCTCTTCGATTTCTTGACTTTGATAGCCACAACCTCGGCGTCGGTCTCCAGCACCTCTATTTTCCGCTTTTTGGATTTTCGGGGCTGGGGCTCTACCACAGCAGCTTCATTGTCTGATTTCGATGAAGAACAATCAGTTGAGTCGTCAATACTTCCTGCGGCAAGCCTCCGTATCCTCTCCGCCTCCGAATCAATCAAGTGTTGAATCTTATCACCCTAGTAATGAGTGTCAGCAATTGCCCGATACAGATTGATTTGGGCAAACTGGGATATTGTCTTGGGAGAATTCTATGAGACCATTTAGAATAGGAAAGGGTTATCTCCTAACACTTACAATCAGAAAGCCCCCAGGGACGAAACGAATACTCCCCCATCTCCGCTCCGTATAAATCGCCCTCTTCAAATCTTCCCTCGATTTCTGCTCTCTCTCCAATTCTTCCTCGTCTTTCCCGTTCAATCGCCCTAGTAAATTTGTGAACGCATCAAGGCCTGTGCATTCTCCATGGCCTACACCGCTTCCAATCTTCGCCCCAAGGCCGAGATTATCGTCCTTGACGGAGACTCGGATATGTGATGCGTTGGCAGCGGTGTGGAATTCAGCGTGGGCAGCATTCTTGGCTCCGAGGTAGTCGCCTGGCTGCCAGCCTTGGGAGGTCATAATCTTGAGGCCGAAGGATTCGGTGTCGTTGGTCCATTTTGTGTTATTTGGATCGTGGGACAATTTCATTCGCCTGCAGATTTCTTGTTAGCATTATATTGAACCAAGGATCATGGGAGAATTACTTCTTGGGCGCTGCGAGTCCCATCTTTGCTTGTGGTGGAAAGCAGAGCGGGAGATTCGTTATCGTGAAAAAAGTTCTGGGGGTCGGAAATCTTGGTGGAGTCGATTTTGCCCCCGACTACGCTAGTGTGTGATTGGTCAAAATTTCACTTCCCAGACCCTCGACTTTCTTCTATTAGCACGAAACACGAAACAATCCGTTGGATTCTACCTTGTTTGAACCGGAGGAGAAGCCTGTTTGTACTCTCGAGAAGTCACGTCCGCGTTCTGACAATGGCGTCACGTGAAGCTCGCAAAAGCCAGCCGACAGCTCAAGCATCTGAGTCCGAGGAGGAGAACTCGCAGCAAAGCTCCCAGGAAGCCGACATGCAGGTGCTGAAAGCTGCTCGGAATGTCGTCTCAACTGTGAGGATTCCTCGGATATAGTTCTGGAGCAAATATACTGACTTGAATCTAGATGAAGAATCGTCGCGAGTCCAAGCGGAAAGCCATCGAAGGAGATTTGAAGAAACGCGTAGCAGACATCAGTGCCAAGCTTGATGCTCATTTCGAGTCTAGGAAAAACAGAGTGTAAGTGATGCTTGCCACCTTCCTCTCAACCAGTTTGCAAGCTGACTCTCCCTAATAGTACCAAGCTTCAGAATGCTCAATGGGCTAGACTCGACGCTCTGAACAAGAAACGAGAAGCTATCGAGGCTCAGATTCTCAACAGCATGAAGGCAATTGAGCTTCAGACTACAAACATCTCGTCTGAACTCGCAGCCACGTATGATGGTCGCGTCGAAGAGATTGAAGATGGCGCTTCTCCAAGAAGCTAAGGGTCTAACAGGTGAGTGCTGAACTCTTACGTATGCTTGATCAAGGACTAACTTGAGGAACAGAAAGGACGAAAATATTGCTACATAGATTTGCTATACACATACCATTGTACCACTCACCTGCAAGGCGTTAGGAAGGATTTGGCGGAGATACCTCTGGGAGTTCATTTTGCAAACATTAGCACACATTATACACACCGTATATACCTCTGTCCGGGGACCATGCATAAGCCGTGAATTCCTTAATCCGACATTTCCATTCCATGAAGTTGTTGACCAAACGCCATCAATGCCAATTGTGCCCGTCCGTACTCGTACATTAAAACCCTCTTTCCGGCCTCGACCATCCAGCCAGTTTCCCCAGCTCCCCAATCCCGTCTCTAATCGTATCAACCACCACCTTGACCATTCCTTGCCTCTTATTCTTCCCTTGTGCCGCCGACCCAGGCATGCCGGGCTCCTCACTACCCATCGTTGGTAACACGTTATCGCTTGCAGAAAGGGAGACGAAGAGGGAGAATGGGACCAGCCACACGCAGAGCCCAAAGTATGATGCAATTTCCGTGAACGTAGGGAGACTGGAGGGGTCGTATCGGGACGCGGGGTAGGACATAAGTGTCGAGGTGGAGAAGTGTGTGAACCAGACCCAGTGATTTAGCAGCACGAGACCTGTATCTTCCATCAGCATTCAAGCTTGCTTGCAGGTGGGAGAAGCCCGTACCGCAAGATGTTACAAACAGGGGGTCGGAGAGCTTGACAATTGGGAATCGCCGCATGTTGCCAAGGTATACGACATGAGACACGATGCTCAGGAGTGACAGCCAGAACGGGAAGCCATCTATGAGGCAGAGCAGAACTTGGATTGAGATCACGGCGTATATGAGGCGTGTGAGGAATTTCTTAGCAAACACGGTATGTTCTTCGACGAGTTCGGAGAGGTAATAGAGTCCCGATGCTGTTAAATCTGTAAGCATCCGGCATCCATCTCCTTGGACTCAAAGGGGATGTACCTATGGCGAGGGTCAGGAACCCAAAGCCCAGCGCGAGACCTATATACCCGACGAGTGGTAGGATCCACATCTTGTTCAACGAGTTTGCTATGAGACTTGCATGTCTGAGAGAAGTGGTATTGTTGAAAGATCGACTGGAACGCAGCCAGGGGGACGTGGGACGTGTTCTGATCTCCCCAGACTTTCACGCGGCCGCGAATGCCGAGCCCACCAAAAAGTTTCACCGAAAAGAGTGGTTTGCGATGACATGCTATGAAAAAGATTCTAGACTCGACGCGCAAGAGTTGCAAGTACAAAGATACATCTAAAAACTTGCTGGGAATCGCATGAAGTAGTCTTGGTCCATCTGCTTCGGCAGATTTTAACCCGCCATCATGTCTCGTCCAGAAGACACCCTGTGAGCAACCCCTCCATCTTGAAGAAGAATGCGACTGACAAAGTCTTCAGTCCCCCAGATCTCCATTATAATGACACAGAAGCAAGGAAATACACCACCTCTTCTCGAATACAAAACATTCAGGCTTCCATGACCAACCGCGCCCTCGAGCTCCTCGCCCTCTCCTGCCCCTCCGTCATCCTCGATGTCGGCTGCGGTTCTGGCCTCTCAGGCGAAATTCTCTCTTCTATCGACCCTTCAGAAGGCGGTCCTCATGTATGGGTTGGAATGGATATATCAGCGTCTATGCTCGATGTCGCTCTTCAACGAGACGTGGAGGGCGATCTGATGCTCGCAGATATTGGACAAGGAGTCCCCTTCCGAGCTGGTAGTTTCGATGCAGCGATTTCGATAAGTGCGATACAATGGCTTTGTAATGCAGAGAGCAGTGAGGTTTCATCGGCGGGGAGGCTATCGAGATTCTTTAACGGGTTGTATGCCAGTTTGAAGAGAGGGGGACGAGCGGTTTGTCAGTTCTATCCGAAGAATGAGCAACAGAGGACGATGATCAGCGGCGCAGCGATCAAGGCTGGATTTGGAGCGGGTATCTTGGAGGATGATCCTGGAACGAAGAATAGCAAGCTCTATTTGGTGTTGACGGTTGGTGGCTCCGCTGATGAGGGAACTGGTGGGGATATCACTGGGGTGGTGAAGGGGATGGAGGGTGTGGATGTTCTGGATGCGAGGAAGAAGCACAGAGAGAAGGGGAGAAGAGATATCAAGAAAGGAAGCAAAGCGTGGATCTTGAGCAAGAAAGAGCAGATGGAACGGAAAGGAAAAGTGGTGAAGAATTCCTCGAAATACACTGGACGGAAAAGACATATCACGTTCTAGAAGATGGGATAAGTAGAGCTGCATTGCATGGCGTACAGTGGAGTAATTGATTTTGATACCAAGACCGGGAGCTTCAGCGAAGTTTCTGTGCATGAGCTTAAGCCTTTGTTGTACAAGACCCTGTTTGAGCCTGCCAGGACTTGAATCTTGTTGAAACAGCAATGGCAGCAGCTATAAAAAGTCTGCCACCCTGACATGGTTCAGAGAAGCATTATTCTTCCTCAGTCATTTGGAATAATCTGCGAACCTACAAGCAAAGCAAAATCGCCAAATTTCCCAGATCAGCGAATTCTTCCCGCAACCACTCCATTTTAGCAAGTCATCCAGCGTGCGTTTGACCATCTTTGACCCTCTTCTCGCAACCGCAGCAACTCTAGCACTTGTTTGTCCCATCGCCTACGGCATATGTTAAGTAGGCTGTGCCAAGCTCGGCGTTACTTGCTACTCTGTCGCTGGCTACACTTTTGGCCTCGTCACCGCGATCATGGCTCCAGCAGCAATTCTTGCTTGCAGCGCAGCACAGGGCACCTGTTACGCCGCATGTGCTGTCGCTGCTTCTGCACCGGTTCCTTAAATCTACACAATATCGGAGACTTCAGTATGGAGGCTAAGGTGGATCTCGGACCGGGAGGCATTCTGTCTGTGGGCTGACCCTGCAGTAGAGGATGGCGTTTCCTTTCTTGCCCTCATCTCCGATATATGAGACTTCTAGCTAGGTGCAGCTGTAGTAGCTTTCATCGGAATTGAGAAGTCATTGCATGGAAATGTCTCCCTAAATGCTATGTTGTCGCGTTTTGAGCAAACGCTGCCTGGAGCTTCACATACTAGACTCTCAGGATCGCTTCTTCCTGATAACGATGTGTTGCCTATCTACTTTCTATCGCAAAGCGGCAAAACGTTCTCGTCAGTCTCTTTCAATCTTGGCATCTCAATAATTTGCGCATGATCACTCTCATGTGCTCGAGTCGGCAACTCCTGAGATCCTGCAAAAGGGGGTCGACCACACGCAAAACCAATTCGATGGAACGACTGCTTTCTGATTTTCATTGAATCCGGGGCATGCAAACATTGCAATTCATCTCCTGCAGAATGCAAAATGGATGGGCTGCTTGGGGGTTGTAATAAATCGGTGTTGCAACATTACCCCTATTCATGTCGCTCACCCCTTTTCCATCACCGGCATATCACGCGCAAAAATCGTTACCGCAGCAGCTCTCATCTCTCGAGGCATGCACTTCGCTTTCATTGGTCGAAAAAATCCAACCTCCCCATTTTCGATTTTGGTGTGGTGACGTCGATTTCTCATATTCACTCAGGGGAAAAGGTGAAGCGGTGTTGACATCCACGCAAAAAGGGGTGGCTGGTCCAATCGGATTATCAACGCATCACAATAGCCTCCTTAGCTTCCCCTAAGCTATTGTTCAGTTTGGAGTGTTTGCAGTGCATTGGAAAAAAGTATTTAAGGGCAGGTTTTCCTTCCGATCCTTCCTTTCTTCTTTCCTTTACAACTTTTCCGCAACGCACCGTCAACCCACAACTTCACACTCAACCCAGACAACCCATACAACTTCATTCAAGTCTTCATCACACTTCTTCTATTGAACATTACCTTCACACACACACTCATACACATTTCAGGACCGAGCTCAGATAGCTGAGACAAGGTCGTCAAGATGTCTACCAACCCAACTTACCCTGTCGATCCGCGCGAGATGCTGAAGAACTCCACCCTCGGTGTCAAGGTTTGCGCTTCTTTGATGAATATCTGTGGTGTGAGTTTTCCCTTTTCCAATCCCTCGCACATCAATTGACACCGAACAGCACCTCGAGTACTTGCAAAAGCAGGGTTTCTATTCTGAGCAGCAACGCGAATTTCTCGACCGCGCTGTGCTCAAGTTCCCTAATACTGAGACCCTCGTTGATAGCTTCTTCAAGAGTACCCTTCAACTCCAGAGTATTGGATTCACTTTCGTCGATACTCCCAAGGGTCCCAAGGTCACCTTTGAGGAACCCGTTGCTGTCCCTTCCTCCGTGTCTTGCTCTGAGGAGGTTTCTATTAAGGTTGAGGATGATTCAAATGTCAGTCGTTACAAAATCTGGGTCCTGGAGCAGTGGAGATGCTTACAAATCCACAGGCTGCCACCGATGCCGCCGATTTCACCGAGACTGAGGATGATGCAAAGGTCAGTCCAATGTCTTGGTCTTGGAAGAATGGAGGTGCTAACACAGTTACAGGCTGCCAGCAACGCCGAGGAATCCACCGATGGTGATGACAATGCAAAGGTCAGTATAATCTCTGGGTCCTAGATCAGTGAGCTAATAAGACTACAGACCACTCTTCTGCCTGATGGCTGTCAGCTTCATATGTCCATGTGGGCTCCAGAGAACTACAAGAAGCGTATTGCAATGGCCGCCAAGCCTGTTGCCGTTGTCGCCAAGCCTGCTCATGTTGTCACCAAGCCTGCTCATGTTGTCACCAAGCCTGTCCCTGTTGTCGCCAAGTCTGTCCCGGTTGCTGCTAAGGTAGTCAAGTTCGCTCAGAACGCCAGTCGGAACGGTATCAAGATCAGCCCAGCAACCTGCCCTACCAAGGCACGCTGCTACTCTCCCGACGAGTTGCTGCATCTGCGATCCTCTCTTCCCGCTATCAATGGTGTTGCCAGCAAGTTCAAGAACAGCCCTCACATCGGTATGGTTTTCAAATAAATTCATCAAAGTCGGCTGCTAACTCGTGTACAGCTCGTATGGAAACCGCCATTTCCTATACCGAAAAGAAGGCCCGAGGCCATGAAGAAGTCGCTGTCAGTCATGATTCTAAGGCAGGGGCTTTCATTCGTAGCGGAGCTGTGGATTTCAAGTCCCGATCATCACTTCAGTGGCTTTGGGGTGTGTGCTCCAACTAAGCGGCTGGATGGTCGGTGGTCTGAATCGTTTGAGTGCGTGCAGTCAATGATTGGCTGAAACGGAGATCCACATTGAGGGCCGAGAAATGGAGCTTTTATTTCCTTTTGCTTCTCTAAATTGTACTTGAGGGTGGTATTATAATCATTGGCAAAACGCATTCGGGTACCAACAAGGTGGATTGGGAATGTGTGCAGTCAATAATTGGCGATATGGAGATCCAACTTGGGATCGAGGCTTGTCTTTTTGCTCCTTTGATTTGTATTTGAGCTTGGGTTTATAAGGACTGAAAAGCGTATCTGGGGTATTCGGAAAGTGTAAATAGAACAAGCACAGACTTGAGATGCTGACAACTAGCACAACAAGAAATGAAATGATTGTATTAAATTCCTCCTTCCCCGTGCCTAGAGTCAACTTGGCTTCCAACTTGACGTGAATTTTGAACTATGAATTCTCCCGTTTGGGCAAGAAGTCAACAACTGGCGCTCGCTTATTTCCTACAAGCAAGCAACCTTCCTTTCACTCGAACGCGACACCAGGAACAATCCCCTGGGAGTATCACATCGAACATAACCATCGCCGTTCGCGTGCCCGCGTGTACAATCAAACATGGAGCAAGAACAAGAAATCCTCCAGCAACCCCTGTCGAACGTGATCAACGCATCGGTCATCTCCGCCTTTCTCTCCAGCGACCGTTCACACATCTCAATCTTCGACACCCTGCTCGGATGTCGCATTACGGGCGTCGACTCCGAGATTCGTACCGAATACGAGAATGGTAAGGTCGTTCGCTTCCCCGTCTTGACCCTTTGCCTTGACGGCCTTGATCGCTTGCTCGAGAAGCATGAGCTGGCGAGGCAGATGCTGCAAGAAAAGATCAATGCTGAAGGAGGACGACCTGGCGTCTATGGAAAGCTTGTACAGAGTTTGCCGATCGCTCGGACAGGTTTCTTGTGTGCTGGACAGGGGGGTGGAGATGAGCTTGTTGCGCTGAAGGAGAAGATGAAGGTTGACAATGCCGAGGATCTTGCTAAGCTGAAGGACCAATTGGAGGCTGAGTACGCTGAGAAGAAGGCGCAACTAAATGCTGTGAATGCTCGAGAACCTGCCAACTTGGAGCAGACACAAGACATAGGTAGGTCAGGGTGAGAACATTCCTCCTACATTACCATACATCCAAGCTTCTTCAGAGATCGCCTCAGTGTCCCAATGCCATCGGAACAATCTGTGAAGCAGATGCTGACATACCCCTCGCTCTAGAAGCCGCAACGGACAAATTCGCAAAACTTAAGGAGCAAGTAGACGCTCAAGCTGCCGCCGAACTTAAAAGGTACAAGGAAGATGCGTATAATGAGGCAATGAAGGCTGCAACAGCGGTAATGAACGCCGAGTTCGAGAGAAGCGACAAGATTCGGGAGAAGGAAGCTGCCAAGGAGCTCGCCAAGTTGAAGAAGGGTTTGGAGACCAAAGCCGTCAAGGAGTTAGCCAATTTGAAGGCAGAGCTCAGAAATAACGCTACTGGTGAGATTCAACGATTACGTGGCGGAACAATCGCCAAGAATAACAACGCCTTGGAACATCAACAGGCACAGCACAACAAGAACTACAAGAACCGCATGAAGGAGAACAGGGCGAATTTCAAAGAGTTTATGGACAAGTGGTCCGTTAATGTCGAGCTTGAAGACAAGAGCTGTGCAAATCTCACTTATAGTGCAGCTGCCAAGCTCCTAGCCCAAAACCCTAAAGTATTCAACCAGTACAAGGAACTTCTCGTCAAAGCGTTGAAGAAATACAAGCAGGAGTTGAAGGAACAATATCAAAACCATCTCAATGACATCGAGTTAGAGTGTCGACGGTGGTTGAAAGCCAATGCTGGGAGTGGCGTGAGAGTGGAGGTCATGGATGGACTTCAGAACACTTTGTTCCAAGCAAGAGGCTACGACCATCCAATTATAAAAGGGGGCAAGGAGAAAATCGAGAATCCGGGTGTACACATGAGCCAGGAAGACTTGAAGCAAACAAATCAGGCGATGATTGTGGAGTTTGAGGCACATAACCAGAAGGACGTTTCGGAAAGGGGTCTGCGACTGCAACCTGTAGTGTTCCAGACGGAGAATTTACAGCGAGCGGTCGAGGTACGTGTGTTTTCGACTGATTGTCTCATGAGTTCCGGAACATAAAACCCTTGATGAAGTAATACTGATTACTTGAGCAGGAAAACGAAAATTCGGGATTTCATAAGATGATGGCTATTATCGACAGCTACTCCGATAACTTGGTTGCAGAAAGGACTTTCCTGGGCACACCGTTGAAGGAGATCCAACCAAAGACTCAACAAGTCAACCACCCCCGAAAATTCAGTAACGGTGTCGGACAACTGGGGGTGCAACCAAAGTTGGGGGAACTGGCAGTCAGCGGGCCCGATGTAAGAAGTGCTGCCAAGGAGCACGTCCCGATGCCCACCAATAGCGGAGGACGTGGTGGTATGAGAGGCAATGGTGAGGATGTTGAGCAGGTGCTACACCCAAAGAATATCAATAGCAGTCTCGGTGGGACGCATTCACTCCAGCTACAGCCTGCAGCCGGATGGTATGCTGCCAACAAGAACCGTCCTACGTACACCATGCCCAGCAATCCGATCAACATCAATTTCCATGATGATGGCGACGTATATGCACGAGCTGTGAAGGAGAAATATTCAAGCCCCAAACTGATAATTACTGCGATTCGTCCTTGCGAACCAAGCGGAACCATTCCTAATGTTCCATCGCTTGCAAAGAGCGACGGAGCCCAGATGAAGCCAACGGATATTCCACGTGTTAACCAAACAATCAAGATGGAAGCTGAAGAGCCAACTCGTCAACAGCCATTCAGACAATCGGCACCGATCTTCGCCCGTGAGTCTCGTAGACTACTGACTGAGGCAAACGATCGTTCGACGATAGCAGACATGGAGTCACATATCGAAACTTTATGGCAAGAACAGCCCCTCGCTTCTCAGCCCTCCCGCACGAAGCAGGAGATGTTTGATACAGTGTTCTATGGCAAGACGGTCACCGAGATCTACGAGATCCTAGGAAAGCGCAAGAGATCTGCAAACAACGAGGGAACTGAGGACCGGCCCCTGCACAAGAAGGTTGATCAGCACGGCTTTATGAAGCAATGATTACGATCGTTGCAAGGTACAAGTGGTGCTGGATACGGGAATGAGCATTTTGAAGTTACAGTTCTACTTGTGGTGGGACAGTCCTGCTGACCATTTGTGCAAAAGGGAAGATTGAGCAAATTGCTATGGAGTTTATGCTTCTCGAATTGAGGTGGGCATTTGAGGATTGAGACTTCAATATGTTACTTGCTGGCTTGGACGGGGTTGCCGTATGGTGTATGAAACGAATTGCAATGGCACGAGGTGTTAAGTAGAAAACAGGAATGCACCTTGCTTATGCATACTAAAGTACAGCCGGTCGAGTCTACGTCCCCTTTATACAATTGAGATCCGCTTTTAAGTCGCAGCCTCCATCTTATCCAGAACCGCTCTTGTGAACTGGTGTGTGCTGCTTTCTCCCCCCATATCCCGAGTGCGAACATTGCTGTAAAGCTGTGAGTCTGAGTTCAAAATTTGGAGAGAGCAGAAAATTTACCCATCGCTGATAACATCGTACACAGCCTTGGAAATGCGGTTAGCATGCTCATCAAGACCGAGATGTCTCAGAAGCATAGACCCGGAGAGGATCATCGCTGTGGGGTTGGCCTGGTCCTTGCCCTTGATATCAAGACCAACGTGACGGCACCCAGGCTCAAAGACAGCTACATCGCGGCCCATGTTGCAGCCCGGAACGATACCCGGACCTCCAACAAGCGCAGCTCCGACATTGGACAATATTCCTCCGTATAAATTAGGCATGACCATAACGTCGAACTGCTGCGGCCGCGAGACACACTGCATGGACGCGTTGTCCACAATCATGTCGTTTGTCTCGAGAGTTGGGTATTCCTTCGCAACAGCATTGAAAGTGTTTCGGAACAGACCGTCTGCGAGCTTCATGATGTTGGCCTTGTGGATACAGGTGACCTTCTTGCGGTTATTTGCCAGCGCGAAGCTGAATGCGAACTTGGCAATGCGTTCTGACTTTGCGCGGGTGATGATCTTGAGTGATTCGACGACGCCTGAGACTGATTGGTGCTCGAGGCCAGAGTACTCGCCCTCGGTGTTCTCTCGAATAAGGCAGAAATCGACGTTATCGTGGCGGGTCTTGTAGCCGGGGATGTTCTTGATAAGGACTACTGACGCATAGATATCGAGCTCTTGTCGCATGGCTACATTGAAAGACTGGTGGCCGGAACGCTCGATAGGTGTGTGCAGAATTCCTTTCAGCCCAAGCTTGTTTCGCTTCAATGAGGCAATTGATTCCCGGAATAGCTCCTCGCTGTGCTTGTCTCCCGACTCGACACCCGACACATCGACTTGCTCCCATTCAACTGGCACATTGTCCGCCTTGAAAATTGTCTTCACTGATTCTGCGACTTCGGCTCCAATACCATCGCCAGGGATTAGAGTGACCGTGTATTTCCCGCCATATTTCGTTGGCTTGAAGATGTCGGATTGAACCGTGGCAAAGGTGCGAAGGCTCTGTGAAGAGAGTCAAGTCAGCAACGGCTCCTTGCGCAAGGATTTCCAAGTGGGGAGTATACCTGCGCGGATCGGGAGGAAGCTTGTGCGGTTCGGAGAAGGCTCTGATAAGATAAAGAAGCTGCAGTTAGCTACGGTTTCGTGCCATTGAAGCTTTTACCGGTGGGTATCATACTTGCGCCGACCGGGCAGAGCTGCGCGACAGCATCTTGAAGAGTAGGGCGAGAGGTCGTAGGTGTGAAGAGAGCAGAGGAGGGAGATCGGAGGAAAAAGGAACCCTTGGAGTTGGAGTTGTTTCGTTCCCGCCGCCTTGCCGCTTTGGGAATCGACCGGTGAAATCGGCATCTGGCGAATGCGAACTTTTCACTCCTCCTAACAACTGTCAAAGGCTCATCTTATTCAAGGGAGACCATCAGTGCATCCTTTCACCGATTTGATTGCGAATTTCTTCCTTTTGCTTATGGATGATGTCTGCCCTACGGGAAAGTCTTCTCCCAGTGGCCGCTGCACAACTCTATGCCCCACCCTCACTTCCTTCGCACTGAATGATTGTTGCTGCAGAAGCATCTCATTGGAAAGATCAAAGCTTCCTTGTGAGATCGCAATTATTTTTCCTGAGTTCGATTCTGTCCCTAACTCAGTAGCCATGTTCCAGAATCACATCTGCTCAGCTGACAAAAGGTCGCAGCTTTTCTTCAATTGGAAAATTAAGGGTCTGCAAGTTGTCACCAGACTTTTCCGTGGTATTTATCTTGTGGAATTCTGGAGCAGCACATGCACATCTCTGCTGTGTGTTCTTTGGGAAAGCGAAAGAAAGAATCGGGAGGGATGAATTTGGAAGCCCTCTCCACCCCTCCCAATAGATATACGTACATAGAGACAAAAGGCTCTAAACTTGCCAAAGATACAGTCCTCATTTTCTAGATGGATATCAGAGCTACGACTGTTGGAACAAGCGCACTGATTGAGGACCTGTCTCAATCCCGGGATCATATGTCCCTCGTGTCACCAAGCTTCCGAAAGTTTCCTCAGTGATGAAAATATGCTTTAATCAAGGATGCACTGATGTTGAACGGGAAAACAATAGTCCACCTAGATATATGTGCAAAACTTCATGTCCTGCAGTACCAAATATGGGAGAAAGAGCTGCAGTTGGCATAATAATCAGAGGGAAAGCAAGTTGCACTTCAATTTCATGCAAGGACGATGGTCAAAGAAAGTGAGAAACATCAGAATACTTCGAGGTCAAGAATGTTACATCAGAGCTTAGACTTTGCAAAAACAAGTGTTTCTGCGCGTCATGTATTTTTGCCTTGGATTTCGAGAGAGAGTCTTTTGCTAGCATGACTTTGCCTCATGAAGTTTCAGAGAATCAGGTGTTCTGAGGAGTTTGAAACCGGTCAAAGTGCGCAGTTCGGGGTGGGGAGTCAAGATGCCCTCTTGCTAGGGAGTCAACGAAAAGAAAGGTCACGTACAAAGAAGGAGAGCGCTTTCTAAACCTCGATTTCAATCACGGATACTTGCGCCCGAAGTCGATGCGGAAACCAGGAATTAGTTGCTCCGGTCCTGGTTGTACAATGGCTACGTGGATACTTTTGAATCGATTTGACTTGTCTTTGAAACAAAGTTGAAAAGCTACACTTGCACAGAAGAATTTGGGAGCGCAAGAAGCCTTGGAAGAAGGAGTTCCGATTGGACAGAACATCCGTGTTGACACCTTGTTGTGTACCTTGTGTTTTCTGAGATAACTCTATCAGCAAACTGCTCCTTCCAAGCTCTGAGGATGTAGTCCTCAGAGTGACGGACCGATGCCTGTGACAGTCGCCAGTTATGCGCCAAAAGATTGCTCCCTCGAAAGCCATTCAGCAGCGATCACTCAACGCTGTCAACACAGATTTGTCGGAGGCAGCGAATGCATTTCAAATCGGAGAATAATCTTAGCGTCTTTGTTTTGATTGCCGTTTTGGTGCAGGATCCTTTGAGGTGGCAGATTCAGCAATCCCAGCTGCTCGATACATCGGAAACGAATGGGTTCACGGCCAGCAGCCATTTCCTTTGTTAATTCTCTCCCCGAAAAAGTCGAGTTTGGGCCAATCAATTGATTCCCTTGTTGTCATGGCCAGGCCCCCGGGGCCCGAGTTTCTTCAAGGAAATCTCGCTTAGCTTAAATTAACCGAATCCGGAACTGAATACAGAGGGGTATAGAATAGAGCACAGCGAAATCGTCGGGAGGCGAGAATACTATCTTATTTGCATCAGTTGATTCTTTGTTGGATATGGCGGTCATCCCGAGAAAGTCCTTGGATGATATGTTGGCTTCGGGGCTTGAACAAACAAGATTTGAGACCGCTTATTGAAACTCGGTGGAGAGAAACCTCCCAACATTCGAATCTAGAGTACGCCGCGCGGAAGATTATCGTAAAGAGTACAAGGTCTCGGTTGGCTGTGGTTTGCTGCTTGACCAGTACCGGAGAAGTATCATCCGGGGAGAAATTTTTCTTTCGTGGATGCGACGGCTCAATAGCAGCCTCAATGGATAGCTTCTCCCGCCTCCACCCGCATGTTCAAAGGAACTTATCTTGGCGATGTTGGCTTGAACCTCAATATGTTGTACATTTGAGTATTTGTATTTAAGCATGTCATTTGTTTTCTTTGTTTTTGGCTCTCTGCGAGGACTCGATTTCCCTTCTTGGTCTCAAAATCATGCCAATCGGAAGAGGCCATATCAACATTCATTGTTAAAACCCTAAATCCTTAATCAATTGACCCGACTCTACCCATCTTGCCATTGTGCGTCCTTTGCTGCTCGCCATCTCTCCTACTGTTGTTTACGAGACACGATAGGAATATAAAGTGCAGGCTTTCTGTCTATCTTATAATCATTCCCTCCCTCTTTCCTTACCTCAAAATCCAATCATATAAACACGGTCTACAACAGACACACAAAACACCATTCGAACATCCCCTTACAGGAGTATCAACCACACGAACCACAAACATCTCACCAAACCCCAAAATCAACAACCATGCAGTTGACCAACGCACTCTGCGTGCTCATCCTCGCGGTCACTGTATCCTCTACCGCCCTTCCTAACGCTCAACCAGCCGCTGCTGCCATTGTAGAACCCCGTTGTGGAGCTCGCGGACAGCCCTGTGGCAAGGCCAAGCGTGAGGCAGCGCCAGAACCAGCTCCAAGATGTGGAGCTCGCGGACAACCCTGTGGCAAGGCCAAGCGTGAGGCAGCACCGGAACCAGAAGCGGCCCCAAGATGTGGAGCTCGAGGGCAGCCTTGCGGTAAAGCAAAGCGCGAAGCTGAAGCTGCTCCAAGATGTGGAGCTCGAGGACAACCTTGCGGCAAAGTCAAGCGTGCTGCTGAGGCATTCGCCGAAGCTATTGCTGAACCCACTGCTGAGCCGCAAGAGGACAGTGTCTACGCTAGACATGCCCTACAACTCACTCGAGACCTCGCCTCCGTTGTCGCCGAGACTCAAGATGATGCCGAAGCATTCTGGACCACCCTCAGCCTCCCAGAAGACGGCGAATCCGAGGTCGACAAACGAGACGCTCTTGCGCGATGTGGAGCAAGAGGTCAACCCTGTGGAAAGGCCAAGCGTGATGCTGAGGCCGAAGCCGACCCAGAGGCCGAAGCACGATGCGGAGCCCGCGGCCAACCCTGTGGCAAGCTTAGACGTGCTGCCGAAGCAATTGCCGAAGCTGTCGCAGTCTCAGAGCCAGAGGCCAGATGCGGAGCGAGAGGACAACCTTGTGGCAAGGCCAAGAGAGATGCTCTTGCCTTGGCCCACGCAGCAGACATCGTTCTCTCAGCTCTCTAAGCGACCCAGCCATGGACTCAGCTTATCGATCCCCATCGACCTTCACGCCGCCTGAATGCCTTTCCTTTAGGTCAAATTATCTGATTTGCAACAACACCATCCGGATTTCCCCCGCGCTCTATTACTTCGCTTCACTCTCTTCTTTTCCTTAACAACATCTTTACATTTATGACAGCAGTCATGACTGCTGTTTGTTGGAACTATTTTACCCCCAAATTAGGGCTCTCTAAGAGCTCTTTGGAAGCCGGGATGGAATCGAGCGACGGCTTTTATAGCAATAAAAGTCTTGAACTCAACTTGCTCTTTCCTCTTTTGCATGTGACTTGTAACTTTAATTCCTCCCAGTGTATAATAATGAAACATAAAGGGGATGGTACCAATTGGAAGGGGGGCATTCGTAGGCTCGTAGCTGATTAAACTGAACCTCGGGACATTGAATTTCAGACCACAAAATTCAGGGACATTTGCGGCATTCAGATTTCATTGTACCTGCTTACCGTAGAATATTTGAAAGTACTTCAGTTTCATTGTCCTTATGTACGGAAATTTGAGATCATTCCCTAATCGGCGTGAAGACCTTACTTTTGCTTTCACCAGTCTCCTCAAGGTAGTATTTCTTGGTTCCTGATTGATCGTCCTCCCTTGCAAACTCGAAAGACTTCCATTCGCAGTTCAAAAACATCCCTGTAGGGAACCAAGTCAGCAATGTCCCAAACCTTCTCTGTGCTTTGAACTTTGAGATGACTTACTCTCCAACCCCAGCATCTTCTGCAAGAATGCCCCATGGCTCACCACCAGAATCTCGATGTTTTGGTGCGTAGCTCCACGGCTAACCTCATAGCCCTTCCATTTCCCTCCAGTCTCCTTCAACGCCTCCTGACCAAGCTCCCACAACTCCTTCCTAACCCTCCTGGCTCTGATCCTCCGCTCGTCCTTACATTCTTTGTCATTCATCTCCCACCCTTCTGACACCAAACTCAGATCCGTAATTTGATTTGCGTTATGAAGTAAATGCTGGAGTTCTTGAAGACTAGTGCCAGTACTTGTAGGTCCGCTTCCATGCTCTCGCAGATCCGGATAAGCCACGACTTTCAGTCCTTGAGAGATGAGATCTTCGAAAGCTATTTGGGCGGTCTGGAGGGTCCTTGTGAGCGGCGAGCACAAGATATGCGTAATATTATTGGAGGGAATAAAGGTTTCCTTGAGGTTCAAAGCTTGCTTTACTCCAAGCTGAGTCAACTTCGGGTCAGTTATTATCCTTCGATCGGGATTCTCTCTCAGATTATGGTAGGCCTGGTACTTGTTAGTTTTTTTGTTTTTTTGTTCTGAGATCCGTGGAGTGGGGTGAGGCGGGGCCGTCGTACTTCTGCATGGCGAACGCAATGTATAATTACCTTCCCTGGTGTTGGAGATGGTTGCTGGGGTAGAATGATGGGGCAAGTTCTGGGATACTGAACGTAGAAGAGGGTTTGTTTGGTGATCTGCGGGGGTTCTTGAGCAAGTTGCTCCGCTTCTCTCGTCCTGTTGATGATCGCGGATGGTGACTTGTCAGCGGACAATTTCTCACATGCAGTCCCCATTGTCCCAATACTTCTTAGTTCAACATTCGCCACCATAGATCCAAGAAGTTGTAGGTTCTTGCTCTAACTGGCAGTCTGTGTTTAGGTGGTTGTTCTGGGAGAGATCAATACGATGAGGGCGGAGGTGATTCGGGTGCAATTCTAGATCGGGGCCATATAAGACTGCTTAAAACTTTGTGGTAGCGCCACTATATTATAAGAGCGGCGTTAGAAATTTAGAAGTGAGCGGTTGTCGTTGTGAATATGCTAACTTCTGCCGAGTCGGCAACGACGCCGGCGAACTTTGTGTGCTGTGCACAGAAAATTGATGGAAGCAACATGGCTTGCTTAAATGATGACTATAGTGGAATGACAGCACTTTTGCATTAGTAGTCCAGTGGGTTTCAAAAATATTGTTTCTCCCAGGTATGGTGGAACAATCAAAGAGTTCTGGTATGTATTGTTTAGAGCACGGAAAGGGCATTGAGCGTCTCCAGCTGCTAATTGTTCAGAGTTTTAAAGGAACAATCAAAGAGGTTTAGGTTTGCAAATTCTAAACTGTAGCAGAGAATTGAAGATCTCTGACTCTTGGCTATTCAGATTTATGGAGAAACAATGAGAAACCCCAGCTTTGAATATTCAGAGCCTATGAGGACAATTGGAGAGCCCTATGCCTCACCATTTCCACAGTTATTGAGGGATATTAATCTTCTGTTGGAAGCTCTATGCTATAGAGGAGTAATTGAGAAGCTCCGACTTTTGATGTCTAGAATCATGGGGGGACAGTTGAAAAGCTCTCTCCTGAATGACCAGAGCCGTAAGGGTACAAGTAAACAGCTCTAGATGCTGAAGATTTGGTTCCATAAAGGAACGTTGAAAAATACCTGGGTCCTGAATGTTCAGAGCTCTGGGGGTACAATCAAAGAGTTCTGCACCAGGGTGTCCCAAGCTGGAGGGACAACTAAAGGGAGGTACATTTTAAAGGTTGGTGACACGAAGAAACAACCAAGCGTTTTAGCTGTCCAGTGTCAGAGCTACGACTCATTTCCTGCCCCACATAAAGCATTAAGATAAGGGGGATGTTTAATATCACGTGATCAAGTACAGCTCCCCAAACACTTCAACAGAACATGGGCAAATATGCGACTAGAAGGAAAATAGCGGCTTAATTAAGTTTTCCAAAAGCTAGACTTTGGATTTAATTGTTCCCAGACTAATTTTACAATGCCATCGAGTGTGTACCCTCTGTCAAACTGGTTGAAATACTGTGTCTCCATGTTCTGGGAGCTCTTGAGTTGCTTATTCCCGTATTATCTGGAAAATTCTGTATAATCCTTTAATTGTTTGTTCCTGGAAGAGTTATACAATGCCATTTGATCTCTTGATTGTTCTTTGGCTAATTGTACAGTACAATTAGAATTTCATCCTTTTAGAATCCTTTACACACTCACGTTAGACAATATATTTGGAGAATGCCAGCCCCAGCAACCAGTAGTTCCCTTGTACCAAATACAGTTTGGACAATCCACCAATGAGGAAGTTTGAAGTGCCAAGTTGCACTTGAACATTCAAGACGGACAGATCAGAAGCAGGACTTTTCATTGTCCCAGGGTATCATCATTACACTGTTGCCTTTGCATATCTACTCCATGTTCCAGAATCAGTCTGACAAATCGCCGGCCGCAGCCTCCTCCTCAGCCTCTGTCATGCCCGTAACCACACCAGTCTTCCAACCATCCCGGTCTGCATTATGTGCCATATGAATCAGAGCACTTCTCGGACGAACTTGAACAGCAGTCGGAGCAGGAGTATCAACTACAGGAAAGGCACCTTGGTCAAAACCAAACACAACATTCCCTCCCTCACGTCCAAATCCAGAACTAACCCCCAAGGTATCAGCCACTTCTGCAGAAGTAATTAGAACCCTTTGACCCTTGAATGATACAGCCAGGCTCTTGCAATTACCCTCGTAGCGTGGATGTTGGCGAGGAATCGGGTGAGCTGGCCGGATTGCAAAGCCTGGGAGTTCTGGTCCGGAAACACCCTCCTTGAGTCCACCCTGATATTCCTTCGGCGGCTTCGATGTAGCGGGAGTGAAAGCTTGAAGATGAGCTTTCCCATTGTGTACGATCTCTTCGTAAGCATTGTGAGGTTTGATTCTGAAGTTGGCGAGAAGATCGTCGGGGATGAATTCGAAGGTACGGTACTCGGTATGCTCCCATGGTCTAGCCTTGCGTTGTGCATCTGTGGGGCTTGTCAGCATATTGCTATTTGAATATCCGAAAAGCTGCGGGACATTGCTGGTAGAAGTCCCAGGAGCTGTTCGACATGTGGCTGGAAGGAGGGAAGGAAGGAAAGAGGAACTTACACGTAAGATTGCCCATCAAACAGTTCAGTGACACGACATGTCCAATAATAGCGATTTCGCAATTACCCTCTTCGTTTGTTTCATGCTCAAGGAATTGCTTGCAGGAGACATAAAGCCGATCTCGGCAAAACTCGGCCTGCTGTTCGAGATTGATATTGGTGCCATCTCGAAAGCTGGATCGCCAGTAATTAGGATATTTGCTGATAACAGTCCAGTCGAGACCATGCTTTCTGAACTGCTTCTCGATAATATCGAACGGCAATGGTTGGTCGCAATTGAAAGAGGTAAATTCTTTGAAGTCGGGAGCGACGACGATTTCATGACCCGCTGTGCCAAAGGCATAGATCGCTGTCTGAATCGAGCGGCGAGACGGAGAGCAGACGATATGTGTAAGAAGTGGTGTTCTGGAAAAGCTTTTACCAAGATTTGCTGCTTGAAGTTTACCAGTCTTTGTGAGCTCCGGGTCATCCAAAGACAAGCGCTCCTCTTCGGTCATGTCATTGCTCATGTCGTCATGGTCCGCTTGAGCATGGCGTATAAGATGAAAGATGATCTTTGGCGGTTTGGTGGGGACCTGGCTGCTAGGGGGTCGTTAGTATGGTATGCCTGGAAAGCAAAACAAAGGAGGTAATCGCGATAAAGATGGGAGCGAAGCGGGCATGTTTCTCAAGACTTCAGAGCGAAGTCAACATGCTTATCGTGAAAGATGGGAGCGAAGCGGGCAAGCTTCTCAAGACTTCAGAGCGAAGTCGACGTGCTTCTCGTGAAAGATGGGAGCGAAGCGGACAGGGATTCTCAGGACTTCAGAGCGAAATCAAAGAGCCTCTCGTAATAAACTTACCGTTGAGTGGCAACCTTCTCTCCCTTTCCTCTCTTGAACATCTTTGGTAGCTGCATCGTGACGTGGTGGTGACGAGCAAGTGTTGAAGACGGGATGGGGTCAGAGTGAGGAGAAAATGCCCCAAAAGAAAGAGTTTTGGGTCCATCTTGCCGCTTTATTGTCGAACAAGTTTTGACAAGTATGCAATGGTAGCCCCGGAGCAGTTTATAGAGTTGCTCCGCTGTTCTTGTTATCGATAAGTCATTGTGTGTGAAAAATTAGACAGCTGTTGACATTCACTTTCCATCGTCTCGCTTAATTAGGGGGCGGCCACCAGGCCAGATTTGATGGCTAGACTCGCAATAGGCTGAGAAAGTCGAGCTAATCCAATGCTCCAAGTCAAAGTTGGTCATTTATTTAAACTTGAGAGGGGAAGAAATTGATACCCAAGAACTTCTGAGATTCTTGAAAAGAGCAGGCTTTGAATGTAAGATTACAATGATGCCTATGTATAGTACAATTGTTTGAACTTGACAGCAGTTGATACCCCGAGATATTTGGAGGGGAAAAAGGCTTTTAACTTACAACAATGCATGCCGACATTTAGAAGTAAGTAATTGCAATGAAAAACTTGACTTGGAACAGTGACATAAGTTCCACTTTTCATGCCAACCGGGAGGCAGAGTAGATGAGATCACAACTCCTCGTCATCTGGTGTGAATTAAAAGATGAGAATGAATTGATTTAAAAACCTAAGCATGTATTTTTTGTATTTTTTGTGAATAGACAATACAAAACATTAGAGCAAAGCGAAACCGATTCGACTTTGCAATATCAGATGACACCTAATTCTCAAGTCCCGTAGGTGTTATCTGAAGAAGGGAAGAGAAACATATGGGATATATCAAATATCCCAATTAAGGAAGAAAGACTTGAGATGAGATAAGTGAGTCTGTAACAATAAACTATGTCGTATATCACGAGCATGCTCTCGCTCCAAAAAGAGAAAGCAGGGGAGGGACCAGGGGCGCCCGACAGAAAAAGTCGAGCTGCATCACTCATTTTCAATGTTCCATGCCAAGGTTCAGTATGGAGCTAGATTTGGAGGTTTGAGGAACATCAGATCTTGGAATTCTCAAGATACTCGAAGGAGGCAAATTTTGACACGCAGAGGACCCATGAGTAATAGCATTCATGCATGGTCCCTCGAGAGCATTTCCATTCCATAATAAGGAACAGTGACGGTATGCCCCTCGGCTATGTGTGTGATGAATCGTAGCATTGTAGCAGTAGTAGGCCCCCCGGCCTGAGGGAAACGACGTGGTGATCAGTAGATTACCCGTGATGTGCTTGGCTCCGATTTGGGCTTGCGTTGGAGCCTTATTGTTGGATAAATTTCATCAATCGTGAAGGAGCTGAAATCCTGGATGCACTGGTACTCACCATCGCGAGAAGTACAAGGCCCTTCATCAAGTGTGCGTTCTTGTCTTCCGAACCCAACGAGAGGGAGACAGAAACGAAGCCGACTTGACTTGGTGACTTCAGATGGCGCCCAGCTGATTCCTCTTACTATCTGAAGTCAGCGGGGGTATTAGGCAGGAGCCATCTCAAGCTTGTGTGCTGCTTGTGCTTTGGGTGCCCTTACTCATCAAATCGCATAAGTTCTCGAATAGAGATATGGCGGAATAGAATCTTCACAAAACAAGGCATCGAAGTAGGAACGAGCAAAACAAACGGCTTGGAATCATTGATCACGCATTCTCAGTCTTCTGAGCTCAAGGAAGCAGCAAATATGATGTAGGTGTTGATACAGGGTGCTTTTCACACATACGTGTCTATTCCTCCATCTTGTCTTCCTCAGCTGGCTTATCATCCTCCTTCGTCTCTTCCTCGTCATCGTCGCCTTCTAATGCCTTCTTCGCTAATCTCTCGGCCTCCTCGAGAACCTCCCTTGGAACATCCTCATGTCTTCCCTTCGTAGGACCCTCCAGATTGCTGATCCAAGTCATCTCCAACTCGAACTCCTTGTCCTTATTGTCGGCATGTGCAACGTAGATGATTCTGGCCGCCTCCTTGACACCATCCTCCAGACTCAATTTGCCAGCCGCCAGGTCCAACTTCTCCAGCTCAGCCTTAGCGGTTTGACGTCCCTTTCCGGTAGCCGCGCCATAATATCCCCAGTATAATCCACTAGGCTCAATCATGTAGAGACCTGGTCCACCGTATTTCTTGCCCTCAACCTTGCCCCCAGCACCAATAGAAGGTCCGCTACCAACTTGGCCATCAACAGGAAGCTCGAGCTCGGAATCCCAGCCTCCTACAATAGCAGTGATGCCGAACGGTCGAACGGAAGAGTACAGGGTATATGCTTGAAGATATCCACCCATTCGACTTGCTAGATCTGCGGTTGTGATGGGAGTCTTGTAGACCTTTCGCCAACTTGATGCTTCATCGCGTGCTCGAGAAATAAAGTGTCTCCCATCTGGAACAAGGCCTGATGAAACCTAGATATAGTATTAGCATATACCCAAGGGTTTTGATTCCCATGCAACCATTGGCACTTACTGCACCCATATGTCTGTCGATCGTTGCAATACGTTTGTTTGCTCCCGGCTTCAACAACTTGCTGGAAATGACCTTCTCGACCGCAAGAACAACGCCATCTTTACACCGGATGCCAATGGAGGTACCACCGTTCTCTACCGCCTTGACTGCATACTCAACTTGGAAATTTCGGCCGTCTGGTGAGAAGACTGAGTTTGTGAGATCGTAACCCGTACCTATCGAAGTCTAAGGGGGTCAGCTTTGGAGATTCATAGCATTTGAAGCTGCGGGAGAGCATCTCAAGCTCACCATGATGAATTTTGTGTGGTGGAGTGATTCGGAGCTTCAAGGTGGGAGGATGGAGTTGAGGTTGTGAAGATCTTTGGAGCTCTGTCGTGCCTGCAACACGGTCGAGAGCTTCAGGCACCTGAAGCCGCGTCGAATACGCTAATTTCATTAGGCATCAACTTTTCCCTGAGGCAACAATACTACTGCACGTGACATTGGATATTTCCATTCCGGCTCTCGACTTTATTTTCGATAAGAACCGGATCGTAATCTTATATCCCTGCCAATATTAATATTGTGGGAGAGCATGACGAGCTGTAGGTTCCTGCCGAGCTCCTTTTGAGTTTGAGGGCATATACACTGAGAAGTATCGTTGAGCAAACACAACAAAGCCTAGGTTCCACACAATCCCAACTCATGATGCCGGTGAAAAGTCGTCAGACTGTCAGAACATCCTAAATGGGTCAGATGGCCCTCGTGGTTGCAGATTATTGGCAAGCAGGCGCTGATGGTGCAACGCTAGCATCCCAGCTGCCCAAATTTGTTTCAGGAGTGGCTTCACCGTCGTTGGGCCGCCCCGTCATCGCTTCCTTTGGGAGGGGTAGGTCAAGCCTTTCTTTGATATTTAACCTCATGCCCTCGTCTTTCTTCCTCCAACAACGACACCCGACTTCTTCAAAGCGACAAGTCTTGGCTTTCATGGCCAGTCGCTCAATACCGACTTCAATAATACTTACTTTCCGCGCCTGGCCTTCCTTTGATCCGCCAAACTCCAGGCACCCACTTTCGCTCCTTCTGGTCCAGGATCTCCGGTTTCGTTTCTCGCACTTCCTCTACCTCAAGTACATAGCATAGTGAATAAAAGCAAACTAGCAATTCTCTTGCACCTGTCCACAAAGCCTGCTCAGTCCGCTTCGAGTATTCTGTTGCACATTTACGCGCTCTGACTCCTAGGTTTTTCCTACCTCGCAGACAACCTACACTCCTTGTTCCCCTGAGGAACCCCTTCAGGCAGACTGGCTCTTTGCAGAGCTACACTTGATCATCTCGAGTATATTCGCAGCAAGGTATGCTGCACTCCTTTGAAAGGCCCAGCTCGCTGACATCTGTCTATAGCCGTTGACCTTGGAACTGCCAACGATGGCGACCCAAGAGGACCTGGCAGCAATGTTTGCTCGCAACCTCTCCCTCCAGAATCCCCCTCCATACGTTGCCCCCAAAGAGGAGCCAACTCCCGTCGAAGAGCAATACACCTACTCGATTTCCCAGCACTACCACCACTCTGCACATCTCGCCCAACCACCCCCTTCTAGACCTGCCTCCGAGCCCCCTCAGACAGACCAACTCACTGTTGAGATCATATTAGCCAGACATGGCGTTGACGCGTCTACTCTATTCCCCTCCCAAATCGAACTCTTCAAGACCGCAGACACAGGCCAGCAGATGCGATTGATCGAGCTCTGGCGGATATGCCCTCCCGACTATGGCGGACACGCTCTGGCACAAGACCTCGGCAACTGGCCTTCAACCTCTTTCCAACAGGAAGAGGCGATGGCTAAGTTGAGATACGAGCGATTGATGCTAGAAGAGCGCATGTCTCGGACAGGCGGGGATCAGCAGAGCATGGACAGTGACACGATGAGTGATTCCAGCAACACGACACCCTTGACACCGATTCAAGGAGGTGATGGACGCTGGATGACCAACAGCCATGTTGCAGAGCCGTACATGCAATCCGGCTATGAAGCCCTTGCTCAACGTGAGTACGAGGCTTCCGCTGGTCCGTCAAAGGATATCTATTCTCATTTTGGTAACTCAGTCGGTGGTAACTACAAACCCGCCACAGACCCCGTCTACAACTCGGTCTCAGACATCCACCGATACTCCAATGTCGGCGGCGACTGGGAGAGACTTGTAGAGCAACGAAAACAAGCGATGGAGGATCAGTAGTAAGTCATCGGGGAGCAAGATATCTCTGGCTCTGGAGATTTCTGGGGCCCCAACTTTCACAATGAGAGGATTTACTGACTATCTTTCCAGCGGCGCATTTGATCAGCAATTCCACCATAACATCGGCGGTGTCACAGTGGGAGAATACCAAGGAGAAGATGAGGAGATGTGTAGATAAAACCATACATAGTAGATAGGCAGACAGATTGCACATTAGAGTTTAGTTTTTTTTGTCATTCGCATTGAGGATGGGAAGGCATACTTCTGTTTCTAGCGCGGGAATGATGGATTATTCGTCAGGCATGGGATGGCATTCACGGCACAACAGATTGACGACTTCCCTTGGAAGGATTTGAGTGGATGCAGACGGGCAGGACGTTCTTAGGCATCTACTCTCTCTCTTCGTCTCATGTCTCCTCTCACATCTCTTGATTACAGCTGGCTGGTGTGGGTTGAGTCCAGCTTACTTGATACATCACATCTTCATGTTCGGAAAACGTTTCCGTGAGGTACGTACCTTCGACCCCGATATTCCCTCCCCAGCATTCCCCAGCATCTTCCCTCCCCTCTCCTCTTCCGATTGAGAGAGATATTTGGCGAGGTACGTATGGAATACATCCTCCCTTCCCTCCCCTGGCCGCTCTCACTACTCATCTGAAAGCACTTCCCTGGCGACAGCAGCTCTCAACACTCGACCACAATGAATCCTGGATCTGGATCTGGATCCGGATTTGTCCCTTCCCCATTTTCTTTTCTTTTCCTGTGTTATTGTGCAGATAATGAATGAATGAAGATTATTTTACACCTACGCGTGCAAGTAATTGTTCTGTTTTGCTGTGAAGTTGAATGTTCCACGCACAAATGGGAGACCTCATCACACACATTATAGCCACGTGTCCCCTCCCTCTTCTCTTATACACCCAAACGGCTGCCTTAGCCACCCCTCTGGGGTTCCAAGCCTTGTTAGAGCTGTGCGGACAATCAAGTCCCCCCCAACCTCTCTTCAGTCGCGGGCAGGTGAAGATTAAATCAGGAAAGAATCTCTTTTTCAACAATGAAGTCCCCAGCCTAACCAATTGCTCTCAAATTCTTGGGTCCCATCACAATAGCGTTGCGAAGGACCCGTGTAATGACATTGGCACTTGATAAGGTCAAGTAAGGTACGGGCCGAACAATAGGCCCCAAGCCTCAACATCAATGAGCCAATCAAGGAGCCAATCATTGAGCCTGCAATGCTGTCGTAATATTGAAATCACAACTGGCAAGACACTTCAAACGATACATAAAATATTTCCTCGGTATCATGAGAATTCGAAGACTTCCTCCATCCAAGCAACGAAATTTTTGTCCTCTCAACCCACACCAAATCCACCACCTCCTTTGAGCCAGTTGCAATAGCCAGAACTCGAGCAAGACTGGATAACAGCACAGACAACAGCGGAACCTCTTGTTCATCCAGCAGAGGCCATTCTCCTGCAGGCACCAGTCGCTCTCCGGTAAAGGTTGCTCGAATGACTGTTCCCTTGTAAGTCGCCCATTCGTGACGAGTCGGTCGTCGTGACTGGTCGCTTATGATGTCGCAGGTTCTCTAGCCTAAACATTTTGGGTTAGATCGCTTCTCCCACAATTCATCTCTTTCCACACTCCTGGCTATCAACAACTCAACACTTCGAAACCTTGAGGATGCTAAACGTATCCACCGGAGGCAGACGTATATCCCCACGCATCTCCTGCTACTTCTGTAAGATTGCCTCTACCCATTCAGGCAGGGTGCAAATCCGTCGGCTCGAGGTTGAGCGCAAGTTTTTGGTCACACCAATTGCCGTCTCCTGTTTGCGTTCCAATAGCGGAGGCTCAAGGTTCAAGAAACACGAGAGCCTCGGAAAGCAGACTACGCAAGATACCTACTACGACCGAAACGGTTTGCTCTTTTCAAAAGGGGTTTATATTCGTCGGCGGAATGGGCATTGGGAGGCGAAGATCCGCACGGGCGGCGATTTCATCAATTCAGCTTTCACGGAGGTCGATGGTAACAATGCAGTAAAGGAGGTCGTCGAACAGAACTTGACTGTCTCTGCAGATGGACTTAGCATCGAAGAAATGCTGGAGCCTTGCGCCGATTTTGTCACGGAACGAGAGTCCTGGATAATGGACGGCAGGTTCAAGGTTGACGTCGACACAACAGATTTTGGACATATGGTTGGAGAGGTGGAGTTGACAGGAACCCTCTGGTCTGCTAATGGTGAACATGGCGGGGAAGAGGAGGAAAGGGAAAAGTTGAAGCAAGAGATGGACCAAGACATCAAGGCATTCATGCAATCTTACCCACAAGTATTCCCTGCTGGACGGCCCCTTGGAAAACTGAGTGCCTACTTCCGCTGGATCAGAGGCAGAATGTGACTTCATTATCTTCGATAGCTAACGGAGAGGGGTCCTCATTTACGTGGACGAAGATGCCGTGGAGGATATAGCTGGATAGTCTCAGTTGAATCCAGCCACGATGCACCGTCCTATTGATCCGCTCCTTCTCGCCTGGCTACCACGAACGACCTCTCACCATTCAAATTCCTTTGCCTTGTTACTACTCGAGCCGCAACCCGCTTCGCTCACTTTAGTCCAATCATAAAATCCGCCTCTCTCCACGAACGCAGTCCGCTCCCACCTCACTTGTGTCATCGCCTTCCTCACGCCAACATCTAGGATACTCTCACTCGCTTTCTCCTCCCCATCGCCTTTGTCCAGAAAGCGCATATACTCGTCCAAAATCAAATAACTCCCTCTCATTATCTCGTTGCTCTCCGGCACGAAACATTTCAGGTGCTTGTGCCTGTCGCAGAACGCTTTCCACTGCTCGTTGCTTACGAGAAACGAACGTGCATCGCGCTTGCGCTGTTCATTATCGTTTTCGCCGGCGACGATCAGGCACTGGAAGACCTTCCATCGAAAGGGCTGAAACCGTGCAATCGGACAAGTCATATCTTCATCCCAGTTCAGGCTACATACAACGGTATTGACTTTGAACTTGATGCCGAAGTGTCGACACCAACTGGCGACTTTCGTTAGTTGCTCCACGTTCTCTCCACTCCTGCCTCTTCCGATCTTGATATTTGTCTCTGGGTCGAACGAATCGCCTGGGTAACGGGGGAGTTAGTATTACTAGATTAAGATTGTTTCGGGAGAGGACATTGTCTTAGGAGAAAGCCATGAAACAGCCCGTAATAGGAAAGGGTTTCTCCCCCAACACCTACAGGATATAGCAAGGATGTCAATGAACGCGGCGTTCTCGCGCAAGAACTTCTTGGTGATCTTCGAGCCGTTCGACACGATACTTATACTTTCTATCCCTAGTTCCTCTTTCCCATAGCGGAGAAGTTCACGCATGAACATGGGATATAGGAAAGGCTCACCGCCTGCGAAATTGAGCTTCTTCATCCCGGCCTCTTTCAAGAGCTTCATTCCGCACTTGGCCTTGTCCAGTGGGAGGATGCTGGAGGTCTTCTCGGTGTGGAAACAGAAGCCGCATTCATAATTGCACTTGCGGGAGAAGTGGTAGTTAACCGAGACTGGAGTTTCGGCTCCGCTCATTTGCTGAAGTTGATGGAAATGGTATAAGAGGCAGGCAGCTATTATGCAAGAAGCTCCCGTGATACCAGTGACGATCGGACTGCTGAAGAGAATTGCAGACAGCATAATAAAGGTTAGGGTTGTTTTCTAGACCAATTTTCGAAGGGAATATTTTCAATTAATCAAGAATCCACTTGGTCAATCTCCTGGTCTGTCATTGAGTGACTGGTCTCTGTTGAGTGCTGGCTTGTACCGTGTGCATGGCTACTTTGGTGTGCCCAGTCATTCGAGTGCGCCTGGTTATAGGAGGTGTTGAAGTCTTGAGCTTGTTAAAGTGTGGGGCTATAGCAAGACAGTAATCCAGACGCAAGCCATGAAAAGGCTTGCTCCGCCCCCACAGACCCGTGCGGCTCGGCACACTTCTGGATTCGAAGCTCCTTAGTCTGTGTAACTTCACAAAGTTTGGAGAAACAAACTGCCACGTGGGCTGCTGATACATCCTCCTCAAAAAACCAAGCATCTCTCACCGAACACGTGCTCACGAATCGGATTCTTGCCATGTTCCACATCTTGACGAACGTTATGCACGATACAGTAGATACAGTAAGAGCTCACGCCAATCTCCCGTTTCCATCACTAGTGCTGCGGGAGGCCTCCTGGAGGCCTCCAGTTGCTGTACCAGATCGAACGAAGATGAGACAATCGACTCATGTTCAAATGTGATAGGGAAGCGGATAGGTTGCCGCTGAATGACCAAACCGAACGGGCTCTTGAGGTGGTATGTCTGTCTGCAACGATCGTTCAATGCGGCTTTCTCATCGGGCGATTCGGCATCATCAGATCACGGCAACCCAGTATATTGAAGCATCAATCATTATCTGATCTATTCAACCTTTAAACAAACAATGTCAGCTCCGCCGAGCCACATCAACCGAATCACAGTCCTCCCAGGATCGACGATCTTAAACCCCTCCATAATTCTAGTAACCTTGGGTGATCCAGCAAATGTACGGTGAGAAGGATCACATGCCCGCCACTGTGTATAAACTTTAGTCCACTTCAGGTATAGAAAGAGCTCAACAACCATGCACCGGCAGATCTCTGTCATCTTTATCCTCGGTAGGTTCTCTTAACCTCCTCCGCTAAGTATATTGAGCCTCAAGATTCTAAGTTCTCTCTAACAGGACCCCCTGGAGCGGGCAAAAGTACTCTAGGCGCACTTCTCACGGAGAACTTTCCCGTGCAACATATCTCGGTTGGCGACCTCCTACGGCGCATCATTAAGAATGATACTACCCATCCCCAAGCAGGAGCCCTCGCATCTATGCTAAACAAGCAGGAACTCATTGATGCAAAGGTTCTGGTTCCTATCCTAAGGAACGCGCTAGAAGAGTTAGAGTCGCGAGAGCAGGGGAGGAAAGTAATGCTAGTGGATGGATTCCCGCGGAACTTGGCACAGCGGAGGGAGTTCGAAGAAGCGGTAAGCATGCTCGCGAGCAAGCTAGCAGCGGTGTTGTGTATATACTACTCTATGTCCTAACGTAGTAAGCAGTTTGCAGAACCCATACTCGTTCTCTTCTTCAATTGTCCTAAAGAAATCGCAAAGCAGCGGTATCTTACGCGCAACTTGGAAGGGCGGGAGGCAGATAACGAGGCAATGTTCGAGAAAAGATATAAGGAGTATGTGCAAGAGAATGAGGAGATCGCTCGTGAATATCGGGAGAGGGGACTCTTAGTGGAGGTTGATACTGGTAATGGAATGGAGGAGTCGTGGGAGGAGCTCTTCACCAGACTAGGGAAGGACTCCAAATGGACGGATGTTATTGGAAAGAGTGTTTAGAACCGGGCGGGGATGAAGGTGGATTGAGCTTATAAACTAGATCCTTGATCATAGGCATCTTCTGACCCCCTTTTCAGTCATGTAATCATGCAGGGTGAACAACAGCGAAGGAGGAGAGCATTTTGGCTAGTTCCAATGTCATAGAATACTTTCCTGCATTTCATTCTAAGTATCGGTACGTTTCCTGTATTGTCTCCTCGATGTCGCAGTTCTCTGTGGTATATTTGCCTTCGATATCCAAGCCCAATGGTGCAGTGGTCAGCTCCGGATCTCTGGAGTACTCATCTGTATCTACCCCTCAGTTATTTGCTCCTCATTGCACACACTACTCCAATGTATCAGTTTCCTATTGCACCCTAGGACGCACCCTTAATGATGAGAAACTTTGGGAACATGATCTGGAGCCTCGTCTAGTCTTCCTTGACATGGAAGTCGGCCATGTGTATCGAGAACTTGGTTCCTTTCATGGTGACATCTCGAAACACGTAGCACATCTCTGAAAGCATCTCCTTTGGGAAAAGGCTCAGGGAGGTCCGAAACTCGTCTTTGTTCAAGGTCCAAACGCATTGGCTGATGAAGATTCGACGAAGAGGACTGTCGGCCACAGTATTGTCCCACACGTACTGGAAGATTGGGATGTGGATTGTATTTTCTATTGGGCGAAGTTCCTCGATCTTATCAATAGCGATATTCTGCAGTCGTGGCATCAGAAGCTTCCCCGCCAGAACCCACACGCGACACAAAGCAGGAACAGACTTGGTCTGTCCACCCAAATCTCCATCCAGTTTCTGAGTGTAAACCCATTGGCAGAACAAGCCAAAACCCTCTTCGGTAGTGTCTTCCAAGGTGTAGGTTTGTGTCTGGCCCTCAAGGAAGCTGCCAATAAAAGCTGCCTTGAGGACCGGGGAGTAATCGCATGCGAGCTTCTTGTGAATGAAGAACGTCTTCTTTTGGGGTCCAATGATGAAGGTTACGGCCTCGCCCAGGTTGCTGAACTATCTTTAGAATCTAAAGTATGGAAAATCAACATAGACTTACCAGAAGTCTGGGAGCTTCGGCGCGGCAGGGGGCTTTGGGGTCGGCCTTCCGAAAGTTCCGAAAGGCCGCCTTTCGGAAGGCGGCATCTTGTCACCCTTGATGCTAATGTCAGTTATTTTTCTAACAAAAATGGCTTCTTGAATAACTTACCTGAAGCGGTAGAATGACTAACGATATTGTTCGGACTCAGAGGGGTAGAAGGCTCCGAGCAGATCGGGCTCCCATAAATATTATCGATAATTATTAATTACTAACTAATTAGCGCAATTATCTATTGATCGGTTATCGAACCTATCGGAGCACACAATGGTGGTCTGACCCTGAGTGCAGAGTCATAATACTGAAGCTCATGAAATAGAGGGAAGTGAGCCAGTCAAATGCTATGGATGAAGAGAGCTTTAAGCGATAAGAGACGAGCGCACTTGCGGGCCACCCTCAGTACGCACTCGCCAGAAGATGAGCCCCGGATTGAAGATGCTCCCTCTAGTTGAAAAGGACCTTATATTTCTCTCAACCAGTCCCGGCACGGGAGCACGTATGATTGAGGGAATCGGCAAATCTCTTTCACGAAGTACGAAGACAACGGCATACAGTATCGGGAATACAGGGCATTGAGAGACTTTTAGGCTCTCCGGCATTCAGATTAAGGTATGAAACTCGCTATAAGGCCCTATATTTCCAGTCCCTTCCCCTAAAAGCAGCCTTTACGCCTTCGACAAGGGCTACCACACCTTTTCAGGGCCTCCCCTTGTAATTACAACTGAGTCTTCGCTAAGGAGGCTTATGTAGTAAATTTGTATGTAGAGGTACTTTCCTTTGCGAGAGGGGCCAGATAGTTAATGAGGGGTAAGGAACACCAAAAAAGTGGACCTTTTTAAAGTTCTTAAAAAAACTATAAAAAAATCTAAAAACTATTAAAGCGATGTTCCTAATTATAACGCTATACTTGCTTTTTTAATTAAAGGTAATAAGTATAATAAGAATCGTAGTTAAAAGGGATAGACAGGGGGGTCCTCGATTCTCGCTTAGAATCGATACTGGTATCGATAGTATTAATACCTTACGATTCTGGTATCAATACGGATCAACACCCGAAATTAGGTATCATTGCCGAGCCTGGAGGGAGGAGGAGAGCTTTGCCTCGATGCGAACGAGAGGGAGAGATTCTTGGTGAAGCTGGATGGTAAAGTAGCAGGAGGGAATTGTTCAAACTGCGACTCGTTCCTGCTTGCCCTCCTTCTATCTCCCCCCCTTTCTAAGCTTCCAATTCATTAGACATTCGAAGTTCTTGGTGGTGAGGTACAATGAAAGTTGAGAGTTATGCCATTTATGTAGTATATGGACATCTAGCTAGATCTCCGATGCGACAGAAGGAGATTGAGAGCAACTTGCCTACAGATACAGCCATCACTCGAGCGTGCACTTCAAGAAGTTTCTTCGGGTCCCCCATCCTCCTCACCCGTCCCCGCATCAGAGTCGCTGCTCTCAACATCATTTTCGATCTGGTCCATACGCCTAACAAACTCATCTTGAAGACGACGCAACCAACTTAGCAGAGACTTGCCTTCCATGGGACCACTCTCAGCCTGCTTCAAGGTCTCCTTCAAGCCCAGCACAAGTTTTCTCCTTCTTGCAAGTGCGAATGCTTTCGAAGACTTCTTCTTCGCTGCTGCTTGGGCATCGAGCATCTTCGAGACTTTCTCAGCGACTTCAAGGATTTGTGGTGGCAGATCAACGACCCGAGCAAGTGCAAGTCCATAGTGTTCCTCCTTCACAAAGCCTTCTCCAACCCTGTATAGCATTGTCATTGTATTATCTTCGCTCATGTCGACCGCAAGGTGGAGATTGACTACGCCGGGACGCTCGGACATAATCTGGGCTGCACAAGTTCAGCGGAAGCTCATGCAATAAAGTCAGCCACATACCAAGCTCTCTGAAGTGCGTCGCAAAGAAAACCAAAGCCTTGCTTTCGACAAGAGCTTCTGCAATGCTCAAAGCAATGGCAAGTCCATCTCGACTACTCGTGCCTCGGCCAAGTTCGTCAATAATTGCAAAACTGTGCTTGTCGATGTTTCTGTTAGGTAGAAGGTCAACTCTGTCTTGAAACTTCGGTAGAAAGAAAAGTCACCTCAGAATGAAAGCCATCTCTCTCATCTCGGATGCAAAAGTAGAAACGTTGGCTTCGATGCTGTCGTCCATGGAGACGCGGGCAAAGAGCTGGTGGATCAATGAAAAAGAAGCATACGCGGCTGGCACAAAGCTACCAACTTGGGCCATCACAGTCATGAGAGCAACGGAACGGATGTAAGTGCTCTTGCCGCTCATGTTACAGCCGGTGATGATCTGAAGACGCGATTGCTGAGATGCATAAATATCATTGGGGACGAACTTCTGCTGGTGAACCTAGAGCCATCGAGAATTAGCAAAGGGTCCTCTCCATCACTGGCATCTAACAAACCTTCTCTCGAACTGGATGACGACCAGACTTGATCCCAATACAATCTGTGAGCTCTGGTCTGCAATATTCGCTGCTTGTGGCCAAATGACCAAACGCTGCAAGCACGTCTAGCAACGCAATGCTCTCGCAGACTTGGTACAGGCTCGGGATCTCCCCACGGAGATTCTCTATCAGTTCTTGGATGGTTTTATCACTCATCGAGACGACTTCTAGATGAGAGTCCTGGATTCGTTGATTCAATTTCATAAGGTCCATTGTCTGACATTCAATAAAACCTTTCTTCTTGTACCGATTGATCAAGATGTTTGGGATTGCTCGACCGTCGAAATCACTTTCGTAAAGTCTCAGATAATAATGACGTGCATTCTCATATCGCGTCTCAGCCTGCATCTCAAATCGTTCTATTTTTCAACAGTCAGTGTGAGCATGTGCGGTGTATGGTCTGACGGTTGAACTCACGGTTGATGTCAGTGACATGTTGGTGGACATCCTCAGTAGCCTCCTTGAATGTTTGACGGGCTACATCAAGAAGACCGCTGACACCGGACTGCAGACAGTCAGACTCTGCGAGTGAGAAGGAACGATTCTCGTACCTTCACAGCATACGTTCTTTGGTTTCGCAGATCCAGAGGCGTCTTCTGGTAGGTAACATCCTCGTTGATGACTTGCTTGATGAGTTTCATTGTGGGATTAATGATATCGGGTCGACAATTCTCTCGGATCTTGACAAGCATTTCTGATTGAGCTCCTGCGAGGGCTTCGAATAATGGGCCGACAGACTGTACGAAACTCTTCAGCATCATTACGTTGTTGATCGATTGTTCTGAGTATCGTATGTCCGGTTGAGTGGGAAGGACGATTAGCTGATCGAGTCAGTAGGTTTACGGCCAAGATGGAGAAGAGGCTTACACTGGTAAGCAGCTTTTCCACATCGTGAGTAGACTTAAGAGCTGAATTAAGTCAGCAGTAGTGCTTCTCAGAGGGGACATGGGATCGACCAAGCCGTGTCTGATAGAACATATCCTCCTTAATAGTAAAATCATGAACAGCATCGTATCGTTGATTGAGAACATCTTTCTGAGTAGATGGTTGAAGGATGTTGCTCCGAAGAAGCCGGCTCCCCATCGGTGTCAACGTCTCATTCATCACGCCAAACAAACAATCCTTCGACTTGGAATTCTGTATATTCTGGATCAACTCAAGAGATTGAATCGTGGAGAGGTCAATCATCATTGTACCTTCGGATGGCTGGTATTTAATTCGGAGAGAGTGAAATGCGAAGGTCAAGGACATCGCCAGGTCAATATACTTGAGAGCCTGTGCAAAAATGAATATCAGATATGCAGAATAGAAACAGACGAAACCAGTCAGTGGGACATACTGCAGCAAAGCAGCATGTTGCGAAATAATTTCCTCCAATTGCAACCTTGATTGCCTGAACATCTTCAGAGAAAGCAAATTGGTCAATAAATTCAAGTCCAGCTGTCTCAGACCAATACTTGCGATCGATCGTAATGATTCTAGCTCCTGGAATATTCTCTTCAATCAATTGGTACATCTTGGATTTCGGGTTTGGCGGCCCCGCGGTTGAAATGATCAGGATTTCTGTGGGATCAAAAATCTGCAGCTTGTTAAGAGTTCTGACATAGAATTGACTGTCACAAATTTGACTGAGCACCGCTTCTCCAGTAGAAATATTCACAAAAGCAAGTCCGACAGTTGGGGATATGCCTCGAGCTTCACTGACTGCACAGATGATCTGTTGAGCGTCGCCACCACCAATGATGGAGCCAGCTCTTGATCGACGACCGCTACTTGGGCGCGCTGTGCTTGGGCGAGTGATGCTAGGGCCTGCAGTACTCGGTCGACGGCCGTAAGTTGGCAGAGAAGCCGAGGTCGAGTATCCATTCTGGTCGGAAGTCCTGGACGTTGAAGCATAACTGTAAGAAGTGGAAGGCCTTGGCGTGGCCATTGTGTGCGGATGACGAAGAAGATGTTAGTCTTGAAGAATTAAAGGGTATATCAAGTCTCGCAGATCAAGTCTGGCGAAATCCAGATCCTGAGAGATGGGTATGAAGTTCGCAGCCTTGCGAAACGTTGGAGGTTCAGATGATGAAGGGGTTCTCCGCTTGGTGCACGGACCAACAAGGCTGAGAAAACTTCGGCGAAATTATTTTCGAACCTCTCGATGGCCCAAGAACTTTTGAGACATTGAGTCCTGGACAACGAAGATACTTCGAAAATCTTCAAAAGACTCAACGAAAATATTAAATCTGCCACCATAAGATTAGCAGAAGCTATGGCCACCATTCTTCCGCCCCCGAGTAAACGACAGCGCACCGAGGCGGCAGAAAGATCCCGGGCGCAGCAGGACGTTGAGGAGGTTCCGAGTGATGCAGGAAGTCTGCGACTACAGTTTTTTGATGAGACGACTGGGATACCAATCGGCCAAGGCCCTGTTTTGGTTCCAGTCGCAGATGCAACGCCCAAGAACCTCGAACTGCTACTGAACACGCTGCAAGGCCATGTGATCTTCTCCCTCGCATGATTAGTAGAGGTGTCTCTGAAACTGACTACCTTTCAGGACTCTTCGGAATATATCCCATATCGATTTACGCTTCCAGTCCCAACCAAAACAAGCTCGGATCCGATCACGACTGCGTTTCCCACAAACGTATGGAAGGCTCTGATAAATCCCGGTCTGATCAGCACGGAAGAGGTCCAGAATATATCTGCAGCACCTCAGGCTGTATTTAGAGTACAGGCGGTGTCGAGATGTGCTTCGACAATTCCTGGGCATGGAGAAGCGATTCTTGCGACGCAGTTCTCGCCAAAGTCTTCGTCACGAATGGTCAGCGGCAGTGGAGACAATACGGCCAGGGTTTGGGATTGTGATACAGGAACTCCGGTACATACTTTGAAAGGACACACGAGTTGGGTTTTGGCGGTAAGCTGGTCACCAGATGATTCCAGAATAGCTACGGGCAGTATGGATAACACGGTTCGGATGTGGGATCCAAAAACCGGAAAGCAGTTGGGAAATCCGATGAAGGGCCACACGAAATGGGTCACGAGTCTTGCTTGGGAGCCATACCATATTCAAAAACCCGGGGAGCCAAGACTAGCGTCTGCCTCGAAAGACGCGACTGTTAGGATATGGTCAACAAATCAACAGACAATTGAGATAGTATTGAGCGGGCACAAAGGATCGGTATCATGTGTGAAGTGGGGAGGAGTAGGTCTCATTTATACTGGTTCACATGACAAGACTGTGAAAGGTAATCAGCCTATTTCTTTGTCCCATGCCCCGAGCTCCCTATTTCCTGGCCGGGAGCATGAGACACGCTCCCGACTCTCTGACTCCCCCCCTCAAAGGAAACAAGTTGCTAATTCGTTGAAGTCTGGAATGCGAAAGACGGAACACTTGCTCACTCTCTCAACGCGCATGCTCACTGGGTCAACCACCTCGCATTGTCAACAGATTTTGTAATTCGAACAGCATTCCATGATCATACTGGCAAGATTCCCGAGTCCGAAGAAGAAAAGGTCGAAAAGGCCAGAGAGAGATTCCTGAAAGCGGCAAAGATACAAGGCGAAGTTGTTGAAAGATTAGTCTCTGCGAGCGATGACTTCACAATGTATTTGTGGGAGCCTTCGAAAGGGACAAAGCCCGTAGCTCGAATGATGGGACATCAGAAACAAGTCAACCACGTTACCTTCTCGCCTGATTGCCTATTGGTAGCATCATCTTCCTTCGATAATCACACCAAGATTTGGAACGCAAGAGATGGGAAGTTTATCAATACTTTGAGAGGTCATGTGGCGCCAGTATATCAGTGTGCTTTCAGTCCGGACTCGAGACTGTTAGTGACGGGAAGCAAAGATACGACGTTGAAGGTTTGGGATATGCGGACACACAAATTATCTGTTGGTAAGTTTCTAGAAGTCGTCGTCGGGCTTGTCGTTCATTAACCATATTTGCAGATCTCCCGGGGCACAAGGACGAAGTTTACGCTGTAGATTGGAGTCCAGATGGGCAAAAGGTTGGTAGTGGAGGAAAAGATAAAGCTGTACGTATCTGGAGACATTAGTGCAATTTATATGGCACTCTTCAGCTCAGAATATGCTTGCAAGTTGCATGTCTTTCATTGATGCTATGCTCTGCTGCTCCAGCCATCCCGGTCTGGTAGCAAGGAAGCTTTCTCATCTCCCCATCCGTCGACGAACAATCGCGCCCAACAGTTTTACTCCCATTATCGGCCACCTGGACCTTGATCTGGTGAGTGCTGCAGAATGTTAGCCCACGATCACGCAATTGCGGAGTAGTGTAACATTACGTTATCTATCCTCAGGCACCTCTGAATCAAGAGGTAGGACGAAATCCAATGCGTTCGAATCGGAGGCGTCCTCAGGCGGTTCAAAAGTTGTCTTGTATTTTTCCAGGCCATGAGGAGTTCGGAAGGAAATGCGGTGAGATTTGTGGAAATCTCGTACTTCATGCAGAATAGGCAGGCGACTTCTGAAACCATGAACTGGCGGGGTAGACTATCAACGGCAGTATTCTCCTAGATATAGTGCAAAGTCATGACGGCAACGCCGCCGCAGGCCTCTCGAACCTCACTTAGCTTCGACACAACGAGGTTCTGGAGAGCAGGTATTGCCATCTTTCTGCAAGTACCCAGAGCTCAGCAAACTTCATATCCTCTCGTGCAATATCGTCAGCACTGTCTTCGCAGTCTTCGTCCTGGGCAAATTTCGAGTCAGCATCACTAAAGGGCAGGTCGAATGTCCCCCAATTCTCGGGAAACTTGGGAGGGATGTCCAGAAGTCGCGAGACATTAGATTGACAGAGACAGCAATCAAGAAATACGCATACCTCCTCTCCGCAATTCTTTAATCGATCAAGGCTCAACTTTGATGATGGATCCACTGTGTGAATAGTTGAAAGGTGTCAGGTGAGGCATCATCAAGACGGTACGTTTCGTTCGACCTTCAACAAATTTTCCATTGAACTCGGCGTTCAAGATCAGCGAATAATAGCGACATAATCCTTATGCAGGGTGAGCTTCTGCGGATTATCACCTGGACCGATCAGAAAGGTAACAACGGCTGGATTTCTGTTGGATCATTAGTAGGAGGGATTTTTCTGTTTTCAACATGGGGGATGAATAAGAGCATACGCAAAGCTTGGCTCGCGCTTTCTGCACCTCTTTCGAATGTACCGTCATCGTCACAGATGTTTGAATAGACCTTCAGTTTCCCACGCTGCAATAGATGTTGTTGGAGTGTTCGTCGCGTGGGAAACTGAAGGTCTATTCAAACATCTGTGACAATGACGGTACAGTACATTCGAAAAATTAGACTCGAAGGTGAATTTCGGACCCTATCACTCCTTAGATTCACCACCAAATCCCAGAAATGATCTACGTTATAACATTGAGCTGCAATGTTGCGAACATCTGGGAAGAATCAAGCGGCTTCCGGAAGGGCTTTATAAGCGGCTCATCCCGTCCCTCCCCTCAGAGTACATTTCTTCTATTTCCACAGCAGTCCATATTCCAATGCACCAGCTTTTACAATATGAAGTCATTCCGCCGCTCAGCAGTCTACATTGAAAGGAAATTTCTGGTAAGCCCTCATATGATCCATCTTTCCCGTCCCGTCAATGGAATCCCCCCTTCCTTTCAATCCATCATCAAATACTTCAACCCCAGCGCCTTCAACCTCCCTTATAGCAGTATCTATATAGCTCGACCACCGAACACTGAATTGAGATGTTTGGTCAAAGAGGTACCAAGAACTTCAGGCCTCGCAGAGTAAGTAAAATTTCCTCCAGCTTCTCCAAGCTCTTCACTTACAATTATACAGCGTAACCAGATGAATGCTCCGGTACAGCGCAACGATCTCCACGCCTCCGCCACCGATGATATGGAAATCGTCGACGATCAACAAGTGAGCCATCAACAATTGCTCTTCTCTGCTGAAGTGCGTAAAAAGTTGTTAAGACGGAGACCTTACCAGCCATCTTCTTTGAGAAGACAGCACAATGTTGATAACACTGGTAATGCCCACGAGCAGCAGGACGTCGAATATACCGTTCTTCTCTCAGGAAGCGGGTTGAACATATTAGATGAAAGTAAACTAAGACGAGCTGTGAGTGCTCTTCTATATACCACTCAGAAGTCAAAGCTGACATGTCTCTCTAGCTCCGGACGAAATTCCCCCACATGATAAGAGCGCAATGGTGGTTTGACCTTCCCTTCCATGAGCAAGAGTCGATCAAAAGGAAGTACAACTTCAGTGGACCTTTCGTTAAAATTCACTTCACCAACGAGGTAGAGCGCGAGAAGGCAAAGAAATCTACAAATTCCCATTTCCTCGGAGGGAAGGAGCTAAGGATACACACTTACACTCCGAGGAGGCAAACATCAGTTGTACCTCCCAGCTCTCCTGAAGGTAAGCACCCTTCTTTATCCCGAAAACCGGAGAATATGTTGACACCTTTCCAGTGAGTAAAGACACCGATATTTCAGCCCTGGTGGAAAGATTTTCGTTCAATGAATACTCCAGCCAACTCGGCTCAATTCGCCAGCAAGACTCCTCCCATTGAGAAATTTTCGAACGCTGAGAACGAAGGACTTGGAAGTGATGGATTAAAAGGTTCGAGCCTTTCAGGGCGTTTCGTTTTCCCAGTCCTGTGATAGAAGTTTCTGATGTTATGAGGTCTCACTTGTTTCCCTTCTCTTGGTGTGAATTTGAGGCTGTTGGGCAGCTTGGGCTTGGTTAGGGGAGGCCCATAGCTTTCAGCATTGCCTTCGCTTCGATTTCCTTTGTAATTGTGGTTCCGTTTTAAATAAATAAAGCTTCTGATGGCACCAAATATGTTGAATATTTCCTGTGCACCAGGGAAGTGAGGTGTGTAAAGCGTCCGTGTCTCTCTCTCTCTCTGCTCGAGGCAAGCCTTGAACAGAGTAGTTTCCCAGAGTCGGCGCACATATTTGGACGAAAATATCTTCATTCTTATGTGAACTGATGGCGAGATCTCACTGAGAATTGTACCAGTAGCTAGAAACTAATGACTAAGCTTGCTCCTGCTTAACCTGAACTTCCTCGTTGGGGGTGCGGAAATTGTCAGCTCCACACGCTGCTGCTATGCTAAAAGATTGGTCACAATCACACAATTTCCATCACGAGACTAGTTAGTCGATGGGAGAACGCCTTTCTCTTCAAGTCTCCTTTCCACTCAAGAAGCCCCACTTTGAGCACTCTATGTATATCGTAACGATAATCACTTCATTACTTTCTACCATCCACCTTTTCGAGAATCATGAGGCGGACAACGGCATGTCACAGAAGCAAGCCGAATTGCCCAGTCATCCAAGAACTTCGCGGACCTGCGAGTATCAAACTTCTTGAGAGAGTATTGCCGCAAGGCACAGCCGGCGTGACTATTATCGCAATAGACTTCGAATACCTTTCTCCCTCTATTTACGGTGGCTTCGCAATTACAGAGATAGGGATCTCTACTCTTTCTATAGATGGCCGGCAAGCAATGGGTCAGCACCCAGAGGAACATCATCCATTCACGACGCCTGATTACGCCCAACAAAGCATCCCGCCGAAATCTCACAATTTCAATTGGAGAATCCGAACGCATACTTAGGAGAGACATACCCCAATTTCTGAAGCTATCGTCCCCACAGATCCCCCACTTGTGAACCTCGCAAAGTTGTGCTTGTAGGCGACCGCATATCTGCGGGACTGGCCACCATGGAGTAGATCGGCAGCGATTTGAGAGACAAAAATCTCTTCTCAATCGAGGGAATCCTCGAAACCATAACTATCTCCAAAGCCATAGGAGTACAATTATCTGGGCCGCTTTCGTTAGGAAATTTGCTGGGTTTTTTTTAGTAATTCCTTTCCAGAAGCGTTGCCTTCGCAATTCAGGAAATGACGTCCATTTTGCGCTCAGAATTCTCTTTATGCTGGCCTCCACGGCATTTCGGAAAATTAAACTGGGTGGTCTTTCAAGACCTTGAATCGACTATTTGAGAACTATTGCAGTGACTCCGATTGACTTCCATTCGCTGGCCCCTGATCAGGAGAGGAATGTCCGGACGGGAAGGCCAAAACAGTCAGCATCGCTCGCAGCGAATCAGGAACATGGGTTCAAGTTTTCCAGCAACTGGTTGGATGGCTTTGATGAGGGGAGTCTAGGAATGACGATATCTAGGATGGGTGTCGAAATCTAGCTGCGGGATGAAGCGAGGTCCCCCCTTTTTCGGTTTTTGTGGGTCCTAGCCTCAGGTTGCACAAGCCTTGGCGAGGCAGCTCCCGTGTCATCCCGAGAAATCTCGCTCACAACCTCCATCCATGAACATCAAAGACATCATCTCAACCACCATCCCCAATAGCCATGCAAACACCAAGATGAGAGTCCCGCCAGAATCATACAGACTCTACAAGACGCTCTACGCTTTCGCTATCAACCGGCTATTTGAGACCTGGCCCGGCAAAATTTCCATGATGTGGCTGTTATTCTCTTCGGGGTATGGCTGCATGTGGGTGCTTCACAGGATGGGGGAGAAGGAGGAAATGAAAGAATTGGAGACATTGAGGCAGGTGGAGGAGATTGAGAGGATGTTGGAGAAGGCGGGGAGATTGAGGGCTGCAGCAGCCAATTATAGGAAGGGGTTCGAGGAGACGGAGAAGGACGAAAAGAAGTTGAGTGAGAGAGTGCGAGAGCTGGAGCGTTCGAGAGAGACTGAAAAGGAGACGAGGAAAGGGGGAGGCTGGTTCTCATGACGCCGTTCCGTTTTCTGATGAAAGAAATTATGCCAGGAATTTGAGACGGAACGGGCCGCTGCAACATGCGAAGCTGCAAAGGAGCAAGACGAATAAAGAGTGAACATATGATAAAAACCGTAGTTGAATGAGACATAGCTGATGACATCGAGAGTAGAAGCCAAATCAGGTGAAGTAGATGTGTGGTGTCCATAGCAAGATGTTCTTGGCCAAGAAGTCCGGGTCAGCCCGTTTGTCACCATGGCTCTGCAATACCACTCCATCATGCGTTGGAATTACTAAAGTCGTCGCCAATGCTGGGACCCTCATCGCCAATTCAGGGACACTCTCATATCGACGAAGGTGGTCAGGAACGTTCCTGGCTTCCCCCGCTTCCTCTGGGGTGATTAAAGATGGCATACCTCGCTGGAGACCAATTTTCACTCTTTGATTGAATGATCTGGCCAGCAGATGGGTGCAACCAGCAAGAAAGGCGTACCGCACAGGGTTGCTATCTTTTGGATCGGGGATGGCCTGGATAGCCCATCGGTGCTGCCGCCAGAAGGCCTCTAGAGCAGTTCGGTAGTCGAAGACCTTGTCGAGGATGATAAACTCGTACAGACGGTAAAGTGCGTACAGCGACGAATCCTCGAAAACGCCCCGAGAAGCTGCAAACTTCCTGGCTGAGACTTTGGTCCAATACTCCGTCGGTGCTTGAAGGATGGCTTGGGGAGGCGGCGGTGGGAAGGTTGGATATTCCTCCGGAGAGGGCACGTAGACCTCCCGATTCTCCGCTGGTTCGGCTTGATGGCGTCGCAGCCATTGTCCGAGGCTAAACCACAATTTGGACGTGGTAGACATAGTGTAGATGATATTTCGACGACTTAGATATGCGTGGAGCACCTAAATACACTGGAGGAAGCTGGAACCATTCGTTGACGACGGTGTAACGGGACAGAATCCGATAGCTAAGGAAGGCGTTGATTTGGTTGATCGCGACATGTACGGAAAGTCGTAAGGAGCAGATGTGTCAGCGAACTTTTTCACTTACGACTTATGACTTATGACTTGGTAAGCACATGCCCACCCTACCAAAAATCGCAAATGCCCACACACTACGCCCCCTCTCTTTGAGCTTCGATTATTTACTCTCTCTTTAATTCTTATATATATATATATATAGAAGTACAGGGCTAGGAGAGAGGGGCAGGCGGGCATAGGGAGAGCAAGCGAGTGAAAAGTGAAAAGTGAGCTTTAAGACACATGAGTCGCGAGGAAAAGGAAGCCCTATAATTATAAGCTACTTATCGCTAAATTTTAGGGCCACGATTGCTAAATTATAGGCTATAGACACTAAAAATTTAGCGCTTAACTTTTTCATGGGGTCCCTTGCCTTGCCCCATCCCCCTCTCTTGCCTATACTTATAGAAAGAGAGAGAGAGAGAGAGAGAGAGATAAAAGAATTAAAGAGAGTAAATATTTTAAGTAGTAATAAAGGCATAGGGAAAGGGGGCGTGGTATGTGGGCGTGATGTGTGGGCGTTTGCAATTTTTGGTAGGGTGAGCACGTGCCGAGTCAGAAGTTATAAGTCGTGAGTGAAGAGTTCGCTGGCACATCTGATCCTTACGGCTTTCCGTATCCTTAAGGTTATGGCTTTCCGTAGACCAATTACGAAGGCGCACAGTTTTGAAAATCGTCTGTTTTTGGTAGGGTGAGGAACACCAAAATCTCACACTTTTAAAAATTGCGCATCGCAATGCGACCACGTCCAAATACTTTAAACTAAGCTCTAGGCAAAAGAGAAGAAGCTCAAGTACCTTTCTTTTGTGTTTTAGTGATTCTAAAACTCTAGGGAGTTTTATTGCGATTTTCAAAGACGAGGGGGGGGATTTTTCAGGATCTCGCTTAGCGAAATGGACGATCTTCAAAACTGTGCGCCTTCGCAGACAAAAGTACGCCCAAAAGTACGCTCAAAAGTACGCCCAATCCTGAAGTCCTTTCGTCAGCGCCTCGCGAAGTATATAGGTGACCCATTTGCCAACACCTCATCTCATCTACTCACGTTGACAGCCTTGTTACCCACACTGCTAAAATTCAAGAATCTACTGCATTTCTGCCTTCATTGATTAACCCATCCCACAGTCGGGTCGATAAGATGACCCAAAATGGTCAGGTAACCCTAGATTGGGCCAAACATGAGAGCGAAATCCGCGATCTCTTCGTTTCCAAGGGAAGAACCCTGAACGAGGTTCAAGCACACATGAGGGAAAAGCACAATTTCGAAGCAAGGTATATCGACCACCATTCCATGTTGAGTTACTGGATCATCAAGCTAACGACACAAAAATCAAGCGCGAGGCAGTATAAATCCAGGTTCCCAAAGCTTAAAAATGTGAAGGCCGAGGAGTGGATCTGGATTGGTCAAGAGATGCAGCATCGCGCTGCACTTGGCAAGGAGTCTGAGCCTTACCTTCATGACAACCCGCTGCCTCTCGATCGTGTTGTTCGTGAAATCGCCCGTCACAAAAATAAAGCTCCTGCTGCGACACTCTCAAATCGTGAGTACGCCAACACTGATTCTTGTTAAGTCTGCTGATCTGACAAAGGGCTGCCAAATCCATCACCAGGAAGAATATCCGTCCGGACCCCACCACCAATGGCTGCGATTGCACCTGGACTGAATCTTCATCCCCTATGCAACCCAGTACAAGTTCATGCACCTCAAAAATTCCCCGGAACTTCCTCATTCAGCAGCCCCCCCTGGGGATGGCGTTCGCGGAGGAACCTCTGGATGAAGCTCGATGCTGCTATGGAAGTAGAGCTTGAGATTGACCCCAGCCCTTTGTAAGATACGCCCATGGCATGGCTGTGTTTCGAACTAATAATTAAAGTAATAGTTCGTCCGGATCTATCAAGTGAGTTGAACTTTGGCGATCCTAGTCGACCTTTCGAACTCGTCCTGGGGCCAGCTGAGGGACCCGATGTTTATCTTCCACCGATAATTACGGGACAGTCCTTCCAGTTTCAGCGCTGGTAATTCTCCTCGAGCCTCAATCTGCAGGACAAAGACTGTCTCCATATTCCCAATTGTCACCTACCCGATGTTATCGATCCTCGTCCCCGATTTTCAGATCATGATTGGCTTTGCCGTATTTTCACTTCAGACCATGCTCGAGCAGCCAGGTATGATTAACTCAGTGGATTCGCGAGCCTGTTTCCCAGACCTAAGCGTAGCTTTTAGAATATACCTTCCAGTGCAGGTACATCCTATCGTTTAGACGGAATT